TCATTCATTCATTCATTCATTATTTCATTTCATTTCATTCACTCATTCATTCATTCATTCATTCATTCATGCTTTCATTCTTTCTTTCATTCATTCATTCATTCTTTCATTATTGCATCCTTTCCTTTCCTTTCCTTTCCTTTCATTCCATTCCATTCCATTCCATTCTATTCCATTCCATTCCATTCCATTCCAATTTTTTGCATTCATTCCATTCATTCATTCATTCATTCATGCATTCATTCATTCATTTCATTTCATTTCATTCATTCATTTCATTTCATTCATTTCATTTCATTCATTCATTCATTCATTCATTCATTCACTCATGCTTTCATTCTTTCATTCTTTCAATCATTCATTCATTCATTCATTCATTCATTCATTCATTCATTCATGCTTTCATGCTTTCATTCTTTCATTCTTTCATTCTTTCATTCTTTCATTCTTTCTTTCATTCATTCTTTCATTCTTTCATTCTGTCATTATTTCATTCTTTCCTTTCCTTTCCTTTCCTTTCCTTTCATTTCATTTCGTTTCATTTCAGTCCATTCCATTCCATTCCATTCCTTCATTCATTCATTCATTCATTCTTTCTTTCATTATTTCATTCTTTCCTTTCCTTTCCTTTCCTTTCCTTCCATTCCATTCCATTCCATTTTTTTCATTCATTCCATTCATTCCATTCATTCCATTCATTCATTAATTCATTCATTCATTCATTTCATTTCATTCATTTCATTTCATTCATTTCAATTCATTTCATTTCATTTCATTTCATTTCATTCATTCATTCATTCGTCAATCTATTCACTCACTCATTCACTCACTCACTCACTCACTCATGTAAGAATTCAATATCAATTGTACTGATACTATGACATAGCCCTGCATTGACTGTTGAAGCTTGAACTTTTGGCCGCACCGCCGCACCCCCCCGCCCCACGTAGTCGTGTTCTTCAGGTTGCTGAACCGGAACAGAACCCACCACCCAAACCATTAGAATGTCAATGCAGTGATCCGTGTGACAGCCAGTGCTTCTGAACAGGGAGAGCTGCACCAAAGCGACGGCTGTACCACAAGGACACGCGCATCTGCTTGCAAAGCGGAACACCAACACCTCTAGTGTAGCAACAACCACAATAGGGATGACAATACGATTGACAACTGCAACCATTCCATCCACTCTAGAACACACTCCCCCGGCGCCCTAGTTACCTAGCTTGCTAGCTGCTCAGCAGCCAGAGCTGGTGAGTGGGAAACCGAATGTACTTACAAGGTTCTGACACGAACAGCATGTGACGAGACGGTCACGATTACAGCTTTGCTTGGCTACATGGGTGGTTGTCAAAATTATAGTCCTTTTTGGGTCCCGATAATAACACGGCACCTATGACTTAGGGTACCCAAAAAGGGACCCTAATTTTGACAATCACCCACATGCTGGAGCAACTTGGCGTGAGGATCGCTGCTCTTGCCTGCCCCAACCAACCGCTTTCTCAGACCTAACCTTGGGCCGGAAAAGTCTACTAGAGTCACCTTTGGTTAGTAGGGAATGGAAGAATGGTAGTAATAGTAGTTATAATTGTACCCCATTCCTCCATTCCCTACTAACCAAAGGTAAGTAGAGACACCAGAAGGGCATCAACAAGTAGAGTAGGGTTCTGGTGCATACCCCAGAACCCCCTGTATACGCCAGTGTACTCATAAGAGGGAACCTAAGGTATCTAAACCCTAAACCCCTAAACCCTAATTCTTTCGGCTTCTACATGGGAATTTCCAAAACTAAGGGGTGCCATATTTTGGGGTCCATATACTAAGGATCCTACTATTTAGGGCACTGTATTAGGATCCCCAATTTTTGGAAACTTGCACAGTTATGCAGAGCGATCCAACCCTGGCCCTCCGTGCGCAAACCCGAAGGCAAGCCCCCACGCCCCAAGCCCTGAAGCAACAAACCCCTAATTTAGAACCCTGAACCCTCAACACCTTCCTTTGAAAACTCAACTCACTCTCACCACGCCAGAGGAGATCCTGAGCTATCTAAGCATGCAAAGGACCGAAAAGCGCACCTGCTGTAGGTGGGCGGTCCGAAAGAACAAGGGAACAGAAGCAGACTGCACAAAGGGGCAAGGGAACAGAAGCAGACTGCACAAAGGGGCGAAAATCAGAGGCCGGACCCCAAGAAGGGGTAGACCCACATCGCACGCAGCAGTGAGACTGCACGGGATGGAGAGGCGACGCCCCGAGCCAGCTCAAGAAGAGCAGCAGTCATTGTCGTGCCTTCCGCAGTTCAGGTGGGATGGCGGATCCCACAGCAAAAAGCCGACAAGCAGGAGGCGCATCTCACAAGCAGAAGTTACACACCACAGCGCGTACAACCACGCCAGGGAGAGCTCAGCCGCAATGCCGGAGGGATGGCAAACCCCTTTGCAACAAGCCGACGACGACTTAACAAGGCAACCACACCTTCGAAGTAAGGCACGGCTCACAAGCGGAAGAACTTCGCGAGGCTCTCGTGGACAAGTCAGTCCAGTGGAAGCTTCAAAGGGCAGCAAAGTCCTTCTCACAAGAAACGACCACGACCACGTCGGCAGTCTCTGCACCCAGGAAGGTGTTTCCTGGCAGAGCTCCCCTTGGCCTAGCAAGGAGAGCTCGGCGCTAGGTATGAAGGCACGAATGCGAAACCTAGCTGGGGTCTGGCACTCCCTGAGGAAATGCCACTCTGCGAGGAGAAAGCACCCCAATCAGGGTCTAAGCCGAGACGCCTGAAAACTCAACCCTTAAATCCCAAACTCAAAACCCTAAACCCTGGACACTAATCAAATCCCAAACCCCAGTTCCAAAACTCTAAACCCTACGACCCCTGCCCTCCCCCACTGCCCAGGCACACGCGGGATGAGAAGGTCCATGAGGATGAACGCCGCGGCTTCGGCCTGGCCAGAGAATGCAAAGGGGTGGGGGGTTGGCATTGGGCTTAGCCTAAACCCTAAACCGTTTTGCCGTTCAGGGTGTTCTTGCGGTTTGTGCTGGAGCGTAAGGCTTCTGACTTGGAGGCTTGGGTTTAGGCTCCGAGGTCGAGCCTCGACGTGTCCTGAAGAAGGCTTGTAAGTAGTAATGATATCCACAGTAGTAATTAACGTTAGAAGCGTAACAACAGTAGTACTAGTACTCAATGTACATGGCTTTCAGTTGGGGCTTGGGATTCTGCGACGGGATGTTGGAAGACCTTGTGACGGAGGTGGCACAAATATTCTCGGTATCATCGGCGCGCTTATCCAGTTAGTAGTGATGCTAGCAAACAAACTAGCTGTAAACCTTACAACTTACAACTGTAGCATACGATTTCGGCCATAAGGAGGCCTTGTGCAGTCGTAGTCGTGGTCGTCGTAGTCGTCGTAGTAGTAGTAGTAGTAGTAGTAGTAGTAGTGGCAGTGGCAGTGGCAGTGGCAGTGGCAGTGGCAGTGGGAGTGGCAGTGGCAGTGGCAGTGGTCGTGGTAGTGGTAGTGGCAGTGTAGTAGTAGTAGCAGTAGTAGTAGTAGTAGTAGTAGTAGTAGTAGTAGTAGTAGCAGTAGCAGCAGTAGTAGTAGTAGTAATAGTGGCAGTGGCAGTGGCAGTGGCAGTGGGAGTGGCAGTGGTCGTGGTAGTGGTCGTGGCAGTGTAGTAGTAGTAGCAGTAGTAGTAGTAGTAGCAGTAGCAGTAGCAGTAGTAGTAGTAGTAGTAGTAGTAGTAGTAGTAGTAGTAGTAGTAGTAGTAGTAGTAGTAGTAGTGGTAGTAGTGGTAGTAGTAGTAGTAGTAGTAGTCGTTGTGGCGGAAGCACCGAAGGCGGCCCCAGCGTTTCCGGCTAAGGCCCCACCGTCCACGGTGCCCACCCCATGCCCCCAGCCTCCGGAGCATTCCTCTTCGGCAGCACCTGCTCCCCCACCGGCTATCCCTGTTTCCCCGATCCCTCCGCACCCTCCCAAGTCCGCCTCTTCCCCTGCCCCTGCCACCCTGGCCGCTGCGCGCTCCCACACGCCCCCTCCTCCTTCCCCCCGTCCCCCGTCAGCATATGAGCCCCCGGAAACCAATGCGGCACCCGTTGGTTATGTTCCACAGCCGGCTCCACAACAGACAGTACGATACACGAGGCAGGAGCTGGCTCAACTGCTGAGCTCCCAGTCCCACCAGGACTGGATTCGGGCCTTGGCTTCCATCAATATCCTGGTGGCTCCCGTCATTCTCGGTGGCCTCACCAACCACGAGCAGCAGACCCTCTGGTCTACCAGGATGGACGCACTCCGCGAGGTACCCCCGCTGCTTTCTGCCATCAAGTCAGTAAGGACACAAACAGGCCTCACATGGGACATCGCCATGTCGGTGAGGCGGGTCCTCACCAGCGATGGGAAGGTCACTATAGCCACAGGCGCGGGAGGAGCCTATCGCGAGCTGGATGCCCCCACAAAGGTGCATGGCCTTATCCATGCCTGCTTCCTCAACAAGATGTGGGACGAGAAGGACTTTCAGCAGCACTTCCCCTCGTGGGTCGAGTTCAACATGATCGCCACTACCATCGTGGCAGTCCACAATGAGATGGCCAAATCAGCCGGACTCCCAGCTCGTGTCTTCAGGGTCAAGCCCAACAAAGATGCCTACTCCATCATGAAGATGCGGATTCAGCATGACAAGGGGCACGAGGAATACAAGCGCATGGCCAAACTGGCTGCTGCTGCTGCGCCTAACAAGCGCCCACAGATGCAAGAGGCTGACACAGAGGGCAAGCGTCAGCGCGATGCCCCCTCCTCTTCATCCTCGACCCAGTGGGCCAGGCAGGCACGCTCCTCCCAAGAGGACGACTGGGACTGGTGGCAGCAGTGGTCCTGGCACAGTTACTCCCAGCAGTGGCCAAAAGGTCACGACCAGTGAGGGTAGAGATATGTCACAGACTTTTTGATCCCTTATGTCACAGACTCTGGGAATTCGGAACTCTTCCGACGCTTAGCAAATCTCTTCGGAAGCCTGTGAACCGCGAGCTAGTCTTGCTTGCTTACAAACAGCACATCACTGCATCAGAGAGTTGCCCACGTCCAAGTTGCCAACAGCCTCACTCCATCGGCGATGCATTCAGGTACATGCGGTCATGAGCATATGACCCTTACGGCCTTCTGTCTTCAACATGAGTAATCCGTGTGGGGCGCCACGAGACGGATACTCCAGGTGTCGGCTTCGTCTGAGGTACGGCCTAATTGTTGTGACAGGTGCACAGATGGACGCGTCTGTTCACACCAAGGTGTCGGAGGAGGAAGCTTTTGTAGCTGTAGTTTTCATAGTTTGAGCTGATTAGAGAGGTATGAGCGATGCATGCTAGAAGCAGTTTCACGAGTGCACGAGACCAAAGGCGCCCGCAAAGCGCAGAGCACGCTCGCGCAGCGTTCAATTGAAAAAATAGTAGTAGTAGTAGTAGTAGTAGTAGTAGTAGTAGTAGTAGTAGTAGTAGTAGTAGTAGTAGTAGTAGTAGTAGTAGTAGTAGTAGTAGTAGTAGTAGTAGTAGTAGTAGTAGTAGTAGTAGTAGTAGTAGTAGTAGTAGTAGTAGTAGTAGTAGTAGTAGTAGTAGTAGTAGTAGTGGTAGTGGTAGTAGTAGTAGTAGTAATCAGTAACAGTAGTTGCGAAAACTATAGAAGAAACATTGCACAACTTGTGCCTGGCGCAAGTAACTTGTGGCATCACGGCTCATGTAGAAATACTAGAGATAACAGCTGTCGACATTGTTATGGCACACGAAAAATACCTACACATCGGAACAACGTTGGCAAGCTGAAGCACCCTTACGACATACTGCATGCTTGCGGAGGGTAATGTCTGCACCACCTTTTGCCACCTTATCAATGGAACATACATGCTGTGATCAAAGAGATTAGATAATAGACACGAAAGCACGAATCATGATAGCAGCAGTGCTGGCCTTGCAACAGCTACGAACAGTCATGGCAACGATAGGCACCATCGTCGTAGAGTAGTCCGAGCAACACTAGAAAGAACATCAGCCGCACACTCTTTAAACACCTATACAAATACAGCGGTTAACTCCCCTGACAGAACGCTGGGGGTGGTGGCAGTGGTGGAGGTGGTGGGGGTGGTGAGGGCGGTGAGGGCGGTGTGGGCGGTGTGGGGGGGGGGGGGGGGGGGGGGGGGGGGGGGGGGGGGGGGGGGGGGGGGGGGGGGCCGGGCACATTGGCAGCTTCAGGGTTCAAGCTGAGGGATATCGTTCTCTTCACGGTTTCCGATGTTTAAGCGTGGGCGTTTAGAGTTTTCGCTCTGAGTGGTTTTGGGCGACATCACCGTCGTCACCGTCATCATCGTCATCATCGTCATCGTCATCATCGTCATCATCACATTATCACATCATCACCACGGAAGTAGGTATCCCGTTTTGGGTTTTGCACTGCACCGACCGGGGCGTTCATGCAAATTGTTTAGTTTCAGAGGGTCCGGCCTAGTTATATTTATATTCCCTGCACAGTAAGCTTAGAAGGGTTTTGGCATTTAGTGCCCGACAATATGAACAGCTGTGAGTTAGGGAAGTGTCTATATTTACATTGTGGAGCAGATCCTGAACGAGGGACCTGTTTTACGGGGATATTGCATCCTCTGGGGTTTTATGTTTCTGAGCAAGTGACAACGAGGATATCCCTGAAGTTTCAATCACCCCCAGAGCCCTTAAAGGAACCCTCAAAAGAACCCTCAAAGGAACCCTTAAAGAAACCCTTACAAGAACCCCTATCTGCAATCTGCACCTCGATGTTTCCTGGCTCAGCAAGGATTGGACAGTCCGGCGAGATGGGTTCGCGCTCTGTCTCGGAGCCTTCGCCGATTTGGGTGGTTGTCAAAATTATTGTCCGCTTTTGGGTCCCTATTATAGTACGGCACCTATCTAATTCAGGGTACCCAGAAAGGGACCAAAATTTTGACAACTACCCACCTGAGGTTGAGGCGGAGGGTTCAGGGCATTTAGAGTTTAAAGTTTAGGGTGTAGGGCATTGAGAGTTTCGGGCTTGGTTGTACGAATCATTGCTGCAGCCTAGCCAGCAACCATCAGGGGGCCGGAAGGTCCGGAAAATCCCTCAACCACAAACCCGAACCTTCATCCCTGCACCGTAAAGCCCGCCCAAAGCCAGGCTGCCCTCATAAACTTTCCGGAAAGTACGCGCTCTGCTTGACGTGTATTAGCGCGTAGGGTTTAGGGATTCGGATTTCAATTTCCCGGATGTAGGGTGCTAAATACAAAAGCCATGCCGTCCATCAGTCTTTATGCAGGGGCTCGGGGTTTTGGAATGCTGCTGGGACCCCTCGCAGGTGAGGCTTGGGTTCTTGGGTTCAGCGTGCTCAACCCTCGCAGAATCCTTATCGCTCCCTGATGCCTGAAGATAATGCTCACCCACAATCCTCACACGCGCAGCCCTCCCCCCGGAAAACCTAGAACCCTACCACATGATAACACTCCAACAAGTCCTGAATTGCGAACCTCTTGAGCCTTCTATCCAACATGTACACCCAAACTGCGCACCCTGATTCCCGACACCCCGATCCCATAATCCCCAACACCCTTCAGCCTAAACCCTAACACCCCAAAAGACTCAAAGCCCGAACCCTGCAACAACCCAACCTCCCGCTGAAGCCCAAAGCGCCAGCGTCTTGTGACGAAATTTTCACGGGGTCGCGAAGTCGAGTGTTGCAAAACTATATAGTGGACATGAGAGAATATGATTGCTGATTGTTCAGACCCCTATATTGGAACGCTGGACAACCTTCAACCCTTCACGTCGTTATGGAACCCCGCAACCCTAAACTCTAACACCCTCTAACACCCCTCATAGGACCTCCACAGAACCGCAAGAGATGCCACTGAGAGGCTGAATTTCGTGCTAGTGGTCGCGACAGAGCTCCTCACCTCAAACCAGCGACAGAAAATCGAAAGCCCTCAAGCCGCTCAAGCCTCGACCTCAACCATAGAGTTTAGTGCTTAGAGTCGTTCGGATTTGTGGTTAGCCACATGCTAAGCCTACACGCCCTGAACGCTGGCTGAAGCCTATGCCACGCCCTGCTCCAAAAAGAGCCTAACATCCTCAACCCACCTCCATACCCCACTCCCTCTTCAAGCCGTAACCCCAAAAACTCTAAACTGAAGCCACCTGATCCACCAAGCCACACCTGTTGTAGGTCCTTATTCTAAAACCTAATATGGAATCTATAGAAATCCTACAACAAAAGCAGGTTCTGGTAGGTTATAAGGTATGAAGCCGGGAGCACCCGCAGCGCATGTTGATCAGGTTTTGAAACCTTCGACCGCACCAAGAGATCGCAGACGTCTTTGATGGAGTCCTGGCGCCCATCCCGGAGGGTTTCATGGAGGCTTCTTTTGGGGTTGAAAGGTGTTTTTAGGGTTCAGAGTCTAGGGTTTAGGGTCTCGGGTTTAGAGTTTAGGGGGTTTCGCGTTTATTCACGCAAGGTGTTTGCTTTCCGGGGACGGGTAATGCGTCAGTGGTTGCGTGGATCTTGCGGCGGACGGCGTGCTTACAGCGAAGGCTGCCCTTCGGCCGGCTTGGCCCGACTTTTCTTCCCACCCGGCGCTGTTCATGAGGGGGCACAACCACCCAACCCAATTCCTTTTAGGGTTCACAGCCTAAACTCATGACGATTTTGCAATACCCGCTCCTTTTCCGGAGGCCATTTCCAAGGCCGTGTGCCGCCGAAAACACCAAAAAAACACAGAAATTGTCGATTTTGCAATACTCGCTCCTTTTGCGGATGCCATTTCCAAGGCCCTTGCATTTCTTGGATTTCCGGCTTGTAAGGCCACCGAAGTCGGGGGAACCCCACAAAAGCACCAAAATTGTCGATGGCGATTTCCAGGGCCCCTTGGATTTCTTGGATTTCCGGTTTCCGGTGCCGCCGAAATGCGAAAAAAACGCAACAAAAGCGCCAAAGCTGTCGATGTTGCAGCACTCGCTGTTTTTCCGGAAGCCATTTCCAAGCCCTTTGCATTTTCTCCGGATTTCCGGCTCAAAGCCGCCGAAATAAGGGGAACCCGACAAAAGCACGAAAATTGTCGATTCCCATTTCCAACGCCATTTCCGTCGTGCACTGGGAGGCTTTACCCTCCCTCACCGTCCTGTCGAGACGCTCGGCCGGGGGCCTGGGTCGGAGCCTCGAGCGCCCATGCAAATGGTCAGCGGCGCTCTCGGCAGTTTAGGGTTTAGGTATTAGGGTTTAGGGATTAGGGTCTAGGGTTTAGGGGGTTTAAAGGGTTTAGGGTTTATAGGGTTTAGGGTTTAAGGTTTAGGGTTGAATCGGATCAGAGGGGCTTTGGAGTGGAGGGCGTGCAGGGTTTCATGGGAATCCTTTGGTTGGCTCCTCGGGGCTCTACCCTGGCATAGAACTGTGGCATGTGCCAAATTGGCCCTAACCCCCTGCAGCCTTTAGGGCTCAGGCGCCCTGATCCTCAGACAGACGCTTACTCGTCTGTAAGCTTGAGAGCCCTAAACCCTAAACGCGTCCTTGGGACCTGCAGCCGCATAGCCTAAACATCAGGCCCCTGCAAAATTCAAAACGTCTGAAGCCCTGGAACCTCAACCGTTTTGGGCTTCGGGGTTCCCATCATGGATGTTCAGGGTTTAAGGTTTAGGGTTTAGGCCCACAATTGAACCTTGAAGCCCCAAAACCCCAAACCCTAAACCCTAGAACTCAATAGCCTCACGCACACCTGTTCCCAAAGGAGACTCACGTTTGGGTTTACGGTGATCATGTGATTCTTGGCTTAAGCACAATCTTATGGGGTCTAGCGCGCAGTAAAAAGGTGGCAAAAAACTGAGCTCATCAGGGCTTGGCAGGAGGTCCTTGGAACTTAATCGGTAGCCTGCTTTGTTTGGGGCTCCTGTTATCCGGTTCCTAGTCTTCGATCTATATATTGGGTCCCCCACTGTCTCAAAGTCTCGGGTCTTTGGTATATTTGGCAGTCAAGCCGTCGGGGCATTTCTTCATCTTGCAAAACACGCCCAAAATGCGCGGCTGTCGTTGCAAAGTTCAAGGTTTGAGAGCCGGACAAGTCTGCCCCAGGTACTCGGGCAGCGAACACGACGGACACACCCTCAACCCTAAACCCTGAAGCCTAAACGCGAAACCCCAAACCCTCAACCCTAAACCCTGAACCCCAAACCCTACACCCGAAACCCTAAAACCCTACAATCCCCAAACTCCCTAAATTAAAGCCTAAAACCTAGACCCTGAACCCTACCTCTTGGGGATCAAAGCCGGCCTGGCAGAGGCTGGCGGGCAAGATCATGGAATCCGCCGTCTGAATAAACCGAAGACTCTCCTTCGATGCAGCAGGCTTTCGGTTTAGGGCAGTTAGGAGTTTAGTGGTTTAGGGTTTAGGGTTTAAGGTTTAGGGTTTAGGGTTTGGGGTTTGGGGTTTAGGGTTGCGGAGATAGGTTATCCCTAAAGTAAGGCTCTTCATCGGCAAGCAAAGATGCTACACACAAGAAAAGCTCTAAAGCTTTCTACTTGGAGGTTCATGGGTAGTTGTAAGCAGGGTGATAAGTAGGGTAACTGTACTTATAACCCATATTAGGGGACTTATAACCCCACTTATAACTACCCATGAAAGAACCTCCAAGTAAGGATGACCTCACCGCCCCAAGAAAGGATTCACACAGCGCACAGAGGTCTGCTCTCAAAATCGCAGATGTTGGTTCCGGGCACCTCTACGGGCCTCGGGGTTTCGTGTTTAGGGGGTACTTAATGGTTAGAATAGAGCTGGGGCTTCCTGGTGAGGATCCCCAAGCAATAGTGTTACTCGGTTGCAAACTGTTCAAGCTTCTATGTTGTGGGAGTTTCAGACAATGACGGACCACCACATCGACACAACAGAGTACTTAGTATCTGCACTTATGGCCAGTCCAATAAAGCCCCAAACCCTGAAACGGAAACCCTAAACTTTGGGGTGTGGGCCTGACAGGAGGATCGGGCGACGTAGTAAGTAGGTTGCACGTAAGCTTAGAAGCACCGGCACCGAGCACCACAACCCCAAGTATGGCAACGGTAACCCGACTTCATCACCCACTTACACCCTAAACCCTAAACCCTGAAACTCTTGGTATTTTCAGCCAAGACACCCGGACGCTCTAAACCTTAACCCCTAAACCCTAAAAACCCTAAATAAACCCCCACAAAAAGACCTCAGTTTATGAGGTCCCTATGCCAAGGCACCCGGAACCCTAAACCCTAAACCCTATGCCAAGGCACCCGGACGTCGTCCATGGAGATGTTGTAGTTTGCCAGGTCTTTGACCCCTGCGTAGCACTGAGGAGCTGAGGGCTTCCTCTGGGGTGTTCATGGGTAGCTAAAAGGGTTTAGGGTTTAGGGTTCCTTTACGGGTCCCCGTAAAGGGATCTATAGGGATTTTATGAGGGTATAGGGTTTGAGGCCTACTTGGAGGTTCATGGGTAGCTATAAGGAGATCCTTTAAGGGTTCTATAGGGTTTAGGGTTTAGGGCATAGTAGGTTTATAGGGTTTAGCGTACTTGAAGGTCCATGCCTGTACAGGGATCTATAGGGATTTTATGAGGGTATAGGGTTTAAGGCTATTTGGAGGTTCATGGGTAGCTATCAGTAAGGTCTAAGGTTCCTTTAAGGGTTCTCTAGGGTTTAGGGTTTTAGGGGAGTTATAAGTGGGGTTATAAGTCCCCTAATCTGGGTTATAAGTCGAGTTGCTTTACTTGCAATCCTACTTATAGCTACCCACGAACCTCCAAGTACCCTAAACAGTGCAACCCCAACCCATCGATGGAGCACTGACCCTGTGACGTCTCATGCGCCCCTATTACGTCGACAAGCACTTCAGCGGCCTTGTGCAAGAGTCCACCATCTAGAGGGTTTAGGGTGAGTATGGTTGATGCTTTTTGCTCGCAATCAAACGATGATTGCAGACCACCATCCTGCTGGAAAAACTCGCAGACTCTAGCAGACACCCCGACGCTGCAAGTCGGGCTGCTGTGGCACGGCACGTGCTCAAGCTGGCGGCTACTGTCATAACATAACTATGATACTAGGCAAAAGTATGGAATTGCGAGCTGTCCAGGCCCCTAGATTACGGAGTCCATAGTGTCGGGTTCCCCGAAAACCCTAAACCCTAGCCCCTAAACCCCTAAACCCCTAAACCCCTAAACCCTAAACCCCCTAAACGTGCAACCCCTAGACCGAACCAGAGTTCGCTCAGTGCTTCGGACCTTTTCCCCAGAGACTCCAATACCCCTTGATTCAGGAAGATACCTTAAATCATAGTAGGATCCCGAATATAATCTAAAGTAGCATCCTTAATTTAAGGGATATTGGAGTCTCTAGGACCCTAGCTGTAGCTTGACCCTTGCCCTCAAGGGCCTGGGGACTGGAAGCCTGGACCTCCGTTTCAAACAGTCGTTTTTTCAACCATGGAGGTTTTAGGGTTTACTATGTTGCTTTGTGTTTTTGTTTAAATGCCCTCTGTTCCTGAAGCGGTGATGTTTTTCGTTTAGGGTTTAGGGTTTAAGCCGGGACTATTGGATATGATTGTTCAAAGCGAATCTAGTTCACGGCTTTTGCCGGGACTTTTCAACAAACAAAAAGAAGGCTCAGAGATCGGAAGTGCATAGAGCCCAGAGGCTACAACGCCGGTGGAAGTAGCACAAACAAAGAACTAACTGCGCTACAACGCATGTGGAAGTAGCAGAAACAAAAGTATAGCAATGTGCTCGGGTGCCGCCAGCTGCTCTCGCAGCAGCAAAGAAGCAACTAAGAAACACTAGGAGAACACAGACTGCGTCTCAGCATGATGATTGCCCAAGCAGAGCCTCTCGACCTCGAGGCCTTCCCTTGTCAACCCGAGCACGAGCATGTGTCCTACATAAAGGATCATGGGACTTAGTAACTAGGGTTATAATTAGGGTAACTGTACTTATAACCCCAATTAAGGTACTTATAACCTTACTTACTAAGTCCCATGATCCTCCAAGTACTGCCAACTCCAAGCCACCAAAGCTCGAAATCAGAGGCCCTTCGGGGCCGATCCCTTGAGAGTTTTCAGGTCAGGGGCACTTACTTCAGGGATACTGGGAGAGACCCTGAACCATCCCAAATCGGGTTAAAAAACAGGCGCCTGGGATGATGCTCTCCATGTTGCTGATGAAGAACTCGTCCGGATCCACATACTCCGGCCACTTGACAAGGACCTCTGCACTGTTCTCACAAGATTCAGCAGAATGCCACAATATCCCTTAATTAAGGTATATACCCTAAATCATATAAGAACCATACTATAATTTGAAGTATAGTCTTTAATTTAAGGGATGTTGGAATCTCTGGGTTCCAGGTTTTGAAGCTCCTGAGAAGCAAAACCCTGAACCATATACTCCTCCCCCTACCCCCTCCCCCGGCCTTAATGGTATCCCCCCAGTTGGTCATACCCCCTCCTCCGCCTATGGAACGGCTTGATCTGTCAGAATGATGCAAGCTTACTGTAGGGGCCTTAATACTTATAATAGGGCTTTGGGAGTTCTCTCATGTCTAAGATCACCGAAACCCGATGCTAATTGTTTAAGGTCCCTACACTAAGGGGGGACTTCCTGAGAATCTGGGACCTTGCTGAGAATGTAGGAGCTCAGGCTACCTAGGATACCCAGTAGCCTAAGAGTAAAAAGGCCTCTCTTTTTGGTATCTGGTAACTTTATAAGGAACCTAGGACTACAAAAAGGGAATAAGGGTACTACTGGGCATCCTAGCTACTGGTTTCAGTCTTGGCGTCCGGATCGATGAGGCTGCGATGTCTTTCCCGAAAGTAGCGGACCCTGAAATCAATCCTAAACACTAGCATCCCCATTACCACGACCCCTGACAACAACAAGTAACAAGGCACCCTCTAAACCCTAAACCCTAAGCCCTAAACCCCTGAACCCTCAACCATAAACCCCTAAACCCTAAACCCCAAACCCCAAAACACCAATCCGGACAGACGCCAAGCTGCTGTGTGAACATCGTGGGCTCGCGCAGTGCAGATTTCGCCGATGCACCACTTGCGCAACCTTCGCTGGAAATCACGGATTAGGGGTTAAGGGTTTAGGGTTTAGGGCACGAGAGGACATCCATTTTAGGGAATGCTGCAGGCCAAACGTGTGGCCTTACACTCCTGAATGGCGAATTGCGTAAATCATCAAGATTATTCAGACGTTCCAGCTACAGATCTAGCTGGCTACCTGTCCACCTGCCTACATGCGCACCTAATGAATATTGACAAATATCTAATAACAACAACATATACATGACAGCGAATGTCAGCCACTGCGGAGAGTCTCTACTTGATGTACCATCTCAATCCTGCACCCTGAGTTGCTCTAAGCCCAACTACACTTTGCAGAGCCCTGTGCCCATTCTTACATTCGCATGGCTGAGACCTCTCTGGCCCGACATAAACCCTCCCGCTAGAAACCCCAAGCCCCAAAACCCCCAAGCCCTCGACCTTTATATGCGCCCTCAGGCTGTAAAGCTTCAACCAACCGACAACTCCAAACCACCAAACAACACCAAAAAAAAAAAAAAAACTGAAGTCGAAGGTCTGAAGCCCAAACTGAATGGAGGTTGAAGACTACCTAGTACCCCCTTGAACTCTCCAACCCCGCCCACCTCACACACACACACACACACACACCAAAAAAAACACCGAAGCAACCCCCCAGGCCCCCGAAATCAAGACTTCCCAGCAGGATGACAGCACATCTGGGCTGCACAGTACCACGAAGGTCTCAGTGTCCTGGCCGCTCATTAGCTGTTAAAACGTTGAGGGTTTAAGGTTTAGGTGTACGGTAGGGTTCTCTCCTGAACTTTCAACCCGATATCAAAACCATGAAACCTCCTAAAACCCCCCAAAAAAATGGGATGTGTGGATCAACACCTATAGAACCCTCTGTGGGAACTCTTAAAAGGAGTCCTGGATGTTTTGGCGCTAAACGCTTAAAGGCGAAAAGCCTGAACCCTCAACACTTGACCCTAAACCCCAAAGCTCTGAAAGCTTAACGACTTGATTTTTAGGTTTTTCGGCCTCAGGTTCGTCAGCTTTACGTGTAGCCACAAAGACCTACCTTTTTGGTGTTCCCTTTTATGGTTTCTGTCTAGTTCCTTAAAAAGGTGGGTCTTCTCGGCTACAGGTAGGTTCTACTCTTCAGGATTTGAAGCTTCGGCCACCGGTTTTTGGTTTAGGGCTCAGCGACTGGAGCTGCGGCGGACGATTCCTCGCTTCAGTGTAATATAAGGGCCTTAATAATTAGAATAGGGTTTTGTGGCCCATTATACTATAGCTGTAATAAGGAACACCCACAACATTATAGGTAAACATTAAGGCCCCTATAGTAGTACACCCTTGCAATCAGCCCTGACACCCTAAACCCTGAACCCCAAACCCTACCGCAACATCCGGTCCTGGCCCACGTAGCTGAAGAGCCTTGTGAGGTCATTTAGATCGTCCGAGTCGACGAAAGTGCTGTTGCCTCGGAGCTCATTGGCTTTAGGCTTTAGGGTTTAGGGATTAGAGTTTATTGAAAGCTTTGGAATCAGGGTTCAGGGCCCACCTTTTTGTTAGGGTTAGGGCTTTAGGGCTTTGGAGCTCCTTGGCCCTGAAGCACCCTCCAAGCGCCTAACACTGAACGCCCTAGTCCCCTCAAACCTTAAACTCCTTTGGGGCTAATCCCTGGGGGGTTTAGGGATGAAACCAGAGACTCCGATATCCCTTAATTAAGGAATATATCGTAAAATCATGTTAGGGGTCATACTACATTTTAAGGTCTATTCCTTAATTAAGGGATATTAAACTCTCTGGGAGGGTTTCGGGTTTAGGGTTTAGGGCTTAGGGTTTAGGGTTTAGGGTTTAGGGTTGGGTTTGGTAAGGGTTTAGAGGCCTGTAGGGATTTTCGAGTTTCGGGTTGAAGAAACGACAGCCGAGCCATTCGTCGGCCATCTTCACCTGTGGCCGGGCCGAGTACCCCTAAGTTGCAACTTAATGTAGGGGCCTTACTAGTTAGAATAGGGTTTTGGGCTCCGTATAATCAGGAACCCTAAGGAATAGTATTGGTATTTGGTTGGGCTTCTATACTAGACCGAAGAGTAACCTAGGAATAAAAAGGGTGCCCTTGTTGTGTTACAGGGGCTTATAAGGGAACCTCAACCTCAAAAAAGGGAGTAAGGGCCTTACTCTAGGTCCTAGTATAGTATCACTGGGAACACCCTTGCAGAACCTATGAGAACTCGATAGCCGGGCTGCGACTGCTGCGCTTCTGCAGGCGCATCTTGAGGAGCCGAGCGACGCCTGCGGAAACATCCAAAAAAACACCCCAAGGTAATGTACACGGTTTAGGGTTTAGGGTTTAGGGTTTAGGGTTTAGGGTCTTAATAGGGGTCTTGGGGCATATTCTAGTAGAAATGTAATCAGGACCCTTTGGGAATTAAAAAAAACACCCTACCCCAATGGTTAGAATAGGGGTCTTGGGAAATATTCTGATACTAATTTCATCAGGAGCCCCTGGGAATAAGATTGGTAAGAAGGAACTAAAACCCCTGAACCCTAAACCCCTAAACCTTTCCCTTCGATCTACTCTGGGAGCTGCAGGTGAGAGAAGGGAACAAAGTCGAGAGCTGGGTTTCGTTGCATAGATGGGTCTTCTAAACACTCGGGGTACCTTTTTCTACGGTTCCTTACCACAAGACGGCAACTGGTGTTTTGAGTTTCGGGCTAATAACCCTAAACCCTAAACCCTAAACGTCGCTTGTTTGCGGAAGTTCGGGCTTCTGGATGGGACTCCGCCAACATCTGTAACGGCGCGCCATCTGGCTCGACACAAAACCCCGATCCCTAATCTAACCCCTGACCCCTCCCTAGCCCCTAAACCCTAAGGGCCTCCTGCAGCCAGCTTTTGATGGCACAGGAAGAACCTTCAGGGCTGCACTGTGGTTCCATGACTTGCTGTTTAAGGTCGAGGGGTTAACGTTTAAGGGGTCTTGGCTCTTTGCGGCTTAAGGTTGAGGGCTTTTGCTGTTTATGTTGTTTAGGGTTTTGCATACATGCTTTCCGGGAGGTTGCTGAAGCGTGCTGCTGTGTTGAAGCGTGGCTGCTTGGACTGGCACCGAGACACGGTTGGTGATTTCCCGCGACCCTAAACACAAAACCCTAAACCACTGCTTCTCGTGACACAGTTGGATATGCTGATGTGGAAGCCTAAATACATTACCAATATTGCTTTTCATATAACTCCATTATAATCTTCCCTAAGCAACTATTCTAGTATGTTAGGGGGTTCGTGGAAGCTCGAAAAGCCCAGCTTGGGGCTTGCTACCAAAAGGACACCTCAACACTAAACTTTAAACTCGAAAAACAAGCCTCAAATCACAAGACTTAGAACGGGGGTGAGTTCCCCCAAACCCTACATAAACCTTAGACACTAAGCCCTGCACCCAAGCCCTAAACCTTGAACAACATCAGATGCCGAGCACTTCTGACTTGTCTCAACGGAATACGGCCACCCTTTCGGATCGTTTGGTCTTGAACGAAACCCTTATCCTGAAGCTGTCATAATATGGTTTCAGATATCAGAATTGTCGAAAATTAGGCGTGCTGTATTTGGGGGTCCGGATAAAAAGGATCCTACTACTTAGGGTACTATTTTAGGATGAGTGTCCCCCTACATGGGTCGATCACTAATAGGACCTAATAGGATTCGTGCTACTTTCTCCACTACAAGATTGACCTGCTGCCGGGGGTTAAGGAGTTTTCGTGAGCGAAAGAAGCCAAGGGATTTGGGGTCTCTGGATTGGGAACTACTTTAGCAAGATCCCTAATATGATCAAGGTATACGTACTCCTCAACCAACGGATATTGGGGTCTCTGGGTGAAGGGCACCGGAACAGATAAGTACAGCTCGGAAGCAGACCCCGCAGAGCTTGCTTAGGCAGCCACGGTTTAGGGTTTAGGGTTCGGAAGGGTATCCTAGCAGTCATGGCTCTGGGTTTGCCGAGGGGTCGCGAACCAACGCTGTCGGCAGTATTGCAGCTGCCAGCACGCTCCCGAAAACCCCTGAAAAGCACACCTTTCGTACCAAAACCCCATGTGCCATGCGCCAAAATCCCCACCCTAAACTCCAGCTCCGCTCCTCTGGTTTGGGGGTTTGGGGGTTTTCGGATGGGGGCTTCAGGGCCGTCCTTCGTTCGAGGGTTTTGGGGGTGAGCCGACGCCTTCGGCTAGACCCTGCCATCCCGAAGCCACGGAATGAGCAACCCCAAGTCCCCAAACACAAAAGCTCGAAACTCCAACCTGAAACCCTGTTTAGGGTTTAGGGTTTACAGTAGAAGCCAGAAAGTTGGAATATCATGATCGTAACCCCTTTAAGGTAATTTATAGGGGATCCTACCAGTAATCCATATTCCAACTTTCTGGAGTTCCCTTTAAGGGAAACCTTTCTGACACGCCAGACCCTAGACCCCGTTGCCTGAAAGGCTTCTGCTGCTTCAAGCGCATGTGCATCACGGCCCCGTAGAGAACCGCAGCGAGGATCGCCAGGAACCTCAGTTCATCAAAAAGGCATAATTAGGACTTTGAGGTTTACTGCTTGTATCTTTGGGCAAAGGCCTTACAGGATCAGAGTCTACGCAGTGTCTGGGGTTGAGAGGTAAACCCCAAACCCTAAATCCAAATTCTTTCTTGGGTTAGCAAAGCACAGAAGACGCCGAAAACTGGGTTGGTGCACGAAAGCATTTTGAAGAAGTAGAAAGGAATGCAGAAAACATTGAATCCTAACCCCTAAACCTGAAACGCTAGAGCCTAAACCAAACCCAATACCTAGACCCCCCAACTACCCTCTATTATACCCCAAATACCCACTACTAAGGACCATAAGGGCTCTAATAAGGCCATTGGGGGTTCCCTATAAGGGCTTCAGGGTTTCAGGGCTCAGGATTCAGGCCACTGGGCTCAGGATTCGACGTTGTTTGCTTAAAGGGCCCTGAAGTTTAGGACTTCACCCTTTTGTAGGGCTTAGGGCTCAGGGTTCAGGCTCATGTTTTAGGGTTTAGGGTTTAGGCTGATGTTTTAGGTTTAGGGCTTTTTTGGGGATTTAGGTTCATGTTTGAGGGTTAAGGGTTTTGCCGATTTTTTGGGTCTAGGGTTCAGGGTTTAAAGTTTAGGGCGCACCTATAGTCTCCGTTGCAGTTCCTCTTTTGGTTTAACCAAATATATTTAATCAGGATCCTGTAAGGTAACCCCCAAAACAGAAGTACAATGAAGACTGTAGGTAGGGCTCAACATCTCCATGCTCGCTCAATGTCCAAACCCTAAACTCAAATCCCACGCCCTGGACGCCTGGCTGTGTGGGAACCGCAGTACCCAGTACCGATGCCTATGTGTTTGGGCTTTACTAATTGGAAAGGGTTTTGGGGCCCACTATACTATAATTATAGTACCAGAAACCCACCAAAATTGTATTGATAATTAAGGCTGTAAACAACATCTCCCGCAAGCCTCCAAGAAGCTGGCTTTCGTGACATCTGTATCTATCTATGTATGCAAAATTGTGTATATATGTACATATAAATATACAGATGTACATATACGTATACAGTCATGTACATGTCTATATATACACATATACATATACCAATACTTATACATATACATATATACATATACACATACATATACATATACAAATATACATACATATACACTTAAACATATATATATATATATATATATATATACATGTATGTATACCTGTGTTCTGGTATTTGTGTATTCATACTCACTTATATGTGCGTATGTACACCAGCCTTACTTTAATGTTGCACCCAAACTTAGGAAGTGAAAAGAACGGAAACTACAACACTAAAAGTTTCACATCCGGCAACATGAGCACCAGGAAGAAGACGCAGATGGCAATCGACGTGTCGGCGTCCACCTTCGGGGTTTCAGGAAGGTTGGAAGGAGGGCGGGAGGGCGGGAGGGAGGGAAGGAGGGAAGGGAGGGAGGGAGGACTGCGGCATTCCATTGTAGGAGGTTGATGCCGTAGTCTGCAGAGTTGTTTGTCACGGCTACTGCTGATAGACAAACACCTGCTAGGCAGGACCCAGCATTTGCGGTCTTGGGAATGCACTTGTCAGAACGCCTGCGTTACATTCCCTGCCCAAGACTATGGTATATTCATACACCACCCCAGCAGCAGCAATGCATTCTGGAAGTTTCCGCAGTCTCCATAGGGGTAGGAGAGTGATCTGCGGATATGCCTTTCTGCCCGCTTGCTACAGTTTCTCAACGCAGGGTTCTGACACAACATGTGCACGCAGGGCTGCTCGAGTCGAGATAAACACTGAACCTATTATTACTATTATTGCTATCGTTACTATTGTTACTATTATTACTACTATCACTATTGCTACTATTACTATCAGTATTACTACTAAGTCTACTGTGGAATCCAGCCAGTATCCAGTAATACGGCCCCAGCCGTAAAGCATCTAGGAACACCGTCCCTCAACCCTAAAGCACTGGCCAGAAACCCACCTAATCCATAAAACCCTGAAACTCTGAAACCCCAAACCCTAGAGCTTAAACCCTAAATCCTGACCCCGAAACCCTAAACTCTTAAACCCTGAACCCTAAACCCTAATCCCTAAAACCCTAAACCCTAAACTCTAAAGCCGTAAACCTGAACCCTAAACCCTAATCCCTAAAACCCTAAACCCTAAAACTCTTAAACCCTGAACTCTTAAACCCTAAACCCTAATCCCTAACACCCTAAACTCTCGAACCCTAAACCTTGAACCCTAAAAAAAGCCCCACCTCCGCTCCAACGAAGACTGACGCCATGTCTAGAACCACGATGATGCAAATCTGTAGCAGCGTGTCCTTGGGCTTACGGGGTAGGGTTTAAGGCTTAGGGTTTAGGGCTTAGCGTTTTGGGTTTAGGGTTTAGGGCTTAGGGTTTGGGGCTTAGGTTTTGGGGTTTAGGGCTCAGGGTTTAGGGCTTAGCAACTTGGGTCTAGGGTTTAGGGTTTAGGGCTAAGGGTTTTTTTTTTAAGTGCAATGGCGTCTTTCTGTGGCAGAGTCTCAGAGTAACGCCCGCCTCACCTACGGGGCCTGCACTAAAGGCTTAGGGTTTTAGGGCTTAGGGTTTAGGGTTTACGGGGTAGGGTTTTAGGGTTCAAGTGAAGGAATGGTTAAGTGACTCAGCTGGAGTTTCGGGGCTGGGGGGTTGGACGAAGGCTAGTTCTTTGTTAGAGTCCGAGTGGCTGCATTACATTTGCACACTACATACCTTGCACTCTCAGAACTCCCTGCATGGTATCTCCTACCCGGAGAAAAAATCCATTGGTTTGGACGTTTCCTCATGACTAACGTGGCGCATAGTAAGGGGCCCGTCACTTAAAAAAAATTCTCCACACAGCTAAAAGATGAAATTTGTTAGACATTATTTGCACTTGAATTTGGACCCCTAGGCCTTGCAGGGTCACCGAACCTCCCAGAATACCAGCGGATCAAACCCTGAACCCCAAAATTCTAAACCCTAAAAGTATGGGAGTTTCGGAAAATTAGGGCTACCTTGTTTGGGGGTCCTTATAATAAGGATCCGATTATTTAGGATACTATCTTAGGATCCCCTGATTTCGGAAATCCCCATCGAATCTCTTGCGGTCGACGTGAGCCGAGCCCCCAGCGCTCAGAAAACCCCAAGCCGTAAAGTTTGAGGCTTCCGGTTTACGGCCTGAACCTCCTTCTGAATCATGTGGTAGTGTTAGACTTCAGACCCTGAACCATAGCCGAACACCCCAGACGATCCCAAAGCCTGCGTTGAGAGCGACAAGAACACCAAAATGGCCGCAGCAAAAATCTGCAACGTAGGTCTCGTGGGGTTTTGGGGAACCAGAAGCCTCGAAGGGGCACTAAAGCTGCGGGTAAGGCCGAGCCGTGAGACTACCCGTGGGCCCCAAGACAACCCATGCCTGTCTGTGGCGGCTTTGAAAGTATTGGATTTTGGACATATGTAGCTCAAGCCTCACCGACTCGACATTTTCGCAGGCACGCCAGCTACAGAACCGCTGTCGCCTTGTAGCCCTTGTGAAGAATATTTTTCAAGTAACTTAACTCCAGTAGCCCTTACAGTAACCCTTACAGCACCTCGGTAACCCCTATTCAGAGCCTGCAGACCCACCAGGTGCGAGCTAAGACACGAGCATGTTGCCTGCCATCACTCGCCACGGCTTGCAGAAGGATGTTATGGTCAGGCTCGCATACCTCATTAGGTCAGCACAGGGGTCTTGCTAATTAGAGGAGAGGGTTCCTGTAAAGGGCTCCTTTAAGGGATACGATAAGGGTTCTATAGGGGTACAGGGGCCTGAATAATTAGTTTAGGGTTTTCGGGTATACTATACTATGAATATAACATGAAGCCCCCAAAATGGTATTGGTAACTATTCAGGCCCCTAAATCACCAAGGGTTTAGGGGTAAGTCAGGCTTATGAAAGGGTTTCGGGTTTAGGGCTTGGCGCCTAGGGTTGAGGGTTAAGGGTTGAGGGGTTAAGGGTTTCGAAGTTTTGGGGCCTCAATTCTGAAGACCCTGACCCCTGAAACTACACAAGCCCGACGCCAAGCCCCCAAACCAGGTATCATAGCCACTAGACTATATCGGGTCTTACAGATTTCCGAAAGTTGGTCTACCTACAAATTTGCTTATTCCTGAGATTCCAAGACCAAGAGACCATTCGAGTCAATGGCTGGATGGTGCGTTAAAGCATAGGGCCGGGGTTTAGGGCTTAGGGGCTTAAGGTTTAGAGCTTAGGGTCACCAATCTTACTGTTGTCATTATTTCCTGGCAATCGTATTTTTTAGTGTTCATACTTTTCCTGCGACCATCATTAGCAGCAAGAACAGCTAGGACGCAGTAGGATGTTCATGCAGACCAGCTTGGTGGAGACGGAGGGGATCAGCGGGCAAAGCACGATCAAGGCGTTGCGAGTCCTTGGCGAACTCTGGATTCAAGGGTTCGGGTTAAGGATTCTCTGACCCCTGACCCTAACCATACGTTGGGACCCCAACTCTACCCAAATCCCTAAACCCAAAACCCCAAACCCTACGCCCCAAGCCTTGAACCCTAAACCCCAACCCGAGAGGTAGTCGGGACGTTCGGCGGGTTCCGTGGGTGCCTGGCTCTCAAGCTTAAGTACTTGGTGTGAGCCTGCATGATCGCCGAAAGAATCCGTCAGGCTCCGTCACTCTTAAACTCAGTAGGGTTTAGGGTTTAGGGTCAGGACCGCCAGAAGGCACCCTAACAGTAGCTCCAGAGAGCCACCCACATGGCTCTTCAGTAGCAAATCCTGCTGCGAAGTGGCTTCCGGAATCCCTGGTCAGTGGCTAGGTAGTTGAAGCGTACACGGTTCAAGGTTTCGGGTTTCTCTCGCAGGCACCGGTATCGACAAGAGTAGTGCGACGTACTTGGGGTACTTGGAACCCGAAGATACCAAGGACACGGGAAGTTCCCTCCCCTGGTGCCTAAAAACCCTACACCCCAACATTTTATCAAAGGGGAAAAAGGAGGGACCCTTAATGGGGACCCCTGCCCTATACTGGGCCATATAATGGGTATATACTAGCTATTTGAAGGGTATATACCTAGGGGTCCTTATTAAGGGTCCCCTAAACCCTAAACCCTAAACCCTAAACCCTAATACCCCTCCTTCTGCCTTTGGATTTTAGTTCAGCTGAGTTCGGGACTTGGGGCTTGGGGCTTCGGCCCTCCGCGGTTCAGGGTCCCAAAGGGTCCTATGGTACTGTGATGGGGAATACTTCCCTGAGTCATAATAGTAATTCCTAATATGGAAACCCTACATTCTACTATATCGGTACATAGGACCCTTTGGGGGTGTAAAGTGTAAAGATTAGAGTTTAGGGCTTAGGCTCTGTGTTTCTGGCTTCTGGTTTCGCAGGGGCAAGGTTTCCGGTGCAGGGAAGACCCTGAACCGTAAGTCGTAACACCCTGAAACCCCCCCCCCAGCCGTAAAGTCCGCAAACCCTGAGGCCGGCAAACATCCTACGGTTGATGATATGAATCCTGCATTACCTTAAGGACCCTAGACTATGGGAATGATGGTATATTCCTTATTATGGGTAGTGCAGGATTTATATCATCAACCGTAGCCCCTGAAGCCCTTCTTGAACTCTTGTACAAGCCTTGTAGAACCAGGTCACAAAGCCTCAAAGCAACCTTCCAGGACACGTCCAAAATCTCATCGAAACCGTATATACTTGGAGTAGTTTTGAGGGCTCCTTCAAGGGCTCTATAGGGTTTGGGACTTAGGGTATAGTAGGATTTATGGGGTTTAGGGGTAGTTATAAGTAGGGTTAGAAGTAGGGTAACTATACTTTTTACCCATTTCAGAGGACTTGCAGCCCCACTTATAACTACTCATGAACCTCCAAGTAGAACCCTAAACCCTATACCCTTCTAGACTGCCTATAGATCCCTGTAAAGGGACCCTTCAAGGAACCCTTATAAGTATCACAAAGCTCCAAAGCCCGCCCAGGGGCAAATACAGCACAGAGAAGATTTCCGCACCAGGCCGGAAGCGGATGTACCTTGGGCTCCGTGTTCGGGCTTATGGTCGCGGTGCTTAGGATTTGAGGTTTAGGGTTCAGGGTTTAGGGTTAGGGTTTCGGGGTCCAGCGTCCGGGTTCAGGGTTCCGGGTCTCAATTCTATACGACCCTATTATCTATTTAAACCAAATTGGCACCTCCAAACCCTGAATCCACAACCTGAAACCCTAAACCTTCGACCCTAAGCCCTAAACCCTGAGCCCTAAACCTTCAACCCTAAACCCTGAACCGAAAGCCAAAAAGATCCCGGAAAACCTTACTGCTACTACGCTGAAACCTCAACCCTAAACCGAAACCCCAACATGATCCCAGGAGCGGGAAGAGCCCTTAAAGGAACCCTGAAAGGGTTCCTAGCCTCAACCCTAAGCCACCCAAAAAACATCCCAGGAGCAGGAAGGAGCAGGCTCGCACGAAGCGCACATCGGCTTCCTGGAGTCGTCGGGGCAGCTCCACCAGCGTCACCCACCTTGGGAGCTTTAGAGTTCAGGGTTTAGGCTGGGATCTTTAGGGTTTAGGGTTGGAGAGCGGGCTGTCATGGGGCCTGGGTTTTGCATTTTATGTTTTTGGGCGTCTTTGGCGTTTTAGCATTATACGAAGCACCTATGCATGTGCATGTATGTACGTATGTATATATATATATATATATATATATGTATTTATACATGTGTGTGTGGTTGCAATTGCTTGTAAAAGGCCATGAGGGCCTATGAACATATAAAATGCATACACTCGAATACACGTGCACATGTATATATTCCACAGCTAAACTTACATGAGCACATGCACTGTTTATGTGCTTGCATGGTCATGGTACGAATAATAATCGCTAATTATGGCACCCTGTACGCAGTGGACACCCGGCCACGTCCGAGCGAAACGAAAGAAGACAAAGTATTTCACGCACCGTGCATCTGTTTCCACAACCTGGACTCTCGAAAATGTTTGGAGCCGTGTCGCCCGCCGTGTTCTGATTTCCTTGTGTGTTGAGTTGGCACATGTCCGTGAGTTTCCACTTTCTTCCCAGTTTGAAGATTGCAGTATTACCTACCTATGCGGGGCTTCACAACAGTATACAACAATGCTGACAATCGCAGGAATTTACTGCTGCAAACTGGGAGCATGTACATACATAGTATGTTTTATGCAGTGCTACAACACACATTGTGTCAGGGGTGCACACTGCCTGTATGTACACAAATCAGTGAGTAGTGTGTTTTAGATTTAGTTTCTATTGTAACGCAGTGCTACGTATTTGGAGCCTAGGGCCTTCCAGTTTCACAGCAATACATAGCTTTCTGTTCGGTTCATGTGATTTAGGTTGCGATGACCCTTGAACAGTTGTTTTCCCAGTTGCCACCCCACCACTTTCACATTAACACGGTCCTCAACTCGCATACACTCTGCATCATGGTTTTCTCAGTCGAAGATGCGTTTTTGTCGAGATCCACAATTTTTCAAAATATGGATGTATCACCACGTTCGTCGAAATCAACAGCACAAGGCAAGCGAATAGCGGAAATCAGCGAAACACAACAGCACACACAGTGTATATCGTCATATCCAGGAAGCAAAGGCTCGGAAGCCTTGCATTATGACATACATACAATACATCAGTGTCACATAAGTCACATAAGCTGATCTCGAAGTAAAGAACGCAATTTCCCAAAAAAACTGCTGTAGTGCTGGCAGTAGCAATGTCGGATATTGCCAGAATTTAGCTTCTCTTGAAGAGTGAAACTATGATGGAATGTCAAAATAAGGCTTTGAGGGTTCTTTCTGGTCCCTAAACCCTAAACCCTAAACCGCCTTCCATCCTTACGACTGTCCTTGATGTGTACATCGCGACGGTCTGTGTGCAGCCGAGACCCTGTGAACCGTAAGAAGATACAGCACTTCTGTAAGCAGCTCACGTGCCCTGAACAAACCATTTGTTCATAGACAGGGAAGGGTGATGCTATACAACTTGTTCACAAAGCATAAACTCATACACTTCAGACGCAAAAAGACATTGTAATTACCAGCGTTTTCACAACATCGGCGAACGAAGTTGTGTTGTATGCGAGAAATACAGCAACTCGACGTGTTCTTCCAAGGAGGATAGACAAAGTGGTAAAGCTTGTGGAAATGGTGCCAGCGCGCGCTTGGTTTTTGGTGTGTGGTGCATGGTGAGTGGGATTGGGGTTGGGGGTGGGGACGGGACAGCAGTAGAGAGAGGGGAGGGGGGGGGGGGGGGAGCAGGTCTCAACATGTCAGCCCCAAACCCTCAGCCCCCCCCCCTCCCCCCCCCCCTCTTTCATCTTAGTTTGTAAACGCCAGTCCTGGTTATAAACACAAGCCATGCTTATAAACACAGACACTGTTTATAAACACAGGCCCTGCTTATAAACAACAACATTATTGATAAGCGACATAAATGTCTACAAGTACGAACAATACAGTACATAACCCAGAACTGTTTATACAAGCATAGGATAGCAAGATGATGTGAAACAAATCGCTGCGAAACCGCGAAACGTGATGTGTCCCAAACGCAGGCCCCATGGTAGCCCTTTCTGTAGGGTTTAGGGGTTCAGGGCTTAATTATGGGTTTATGGGTTTAGGGTTTATGGGTTTAGGGTTTAAGGGGTCTGCAGGTTTAAGGGTTAGGGTTTAGGTGTTTAGGGTTGATGGATTTATGGCTTTAGGGCTTTGGGTCTCGGGTTTGCACCACTGCTCTTGGGATCTTTGAAAGGCGGGCTCTTGAGGGCTGTTTACAAGGGTGCTACAAGGCTTTTTCGGCTTTCTGATTGGGGTTGCTGGGTCTTCAGATCTTTGGGGGCGTGACAGGGTTAGGGTTTAGAGGCCCAGTAATGTAGGCAAGAGGAAGCCCTAAAAAACGCCCCGAAGTTTCTAAACCCATGTCATGAGCCATAGCAGCTGCTAAGAAGCTGCCTTACAGCCTACTTACTATGTTCCCGATCCGCCAATTGCAGCTTTTGACTTCATGGGGTCTTCGATCTTCCGCAAGGGACGGTTTAGGGTTTAGGGCTTTGGGTTTAGGGCTTAGGGTTTTGGGTTTAGGGCTTAGGGCTTAGGGTTTAGGGTTTAGGGGCTTCGATGGTTGCGCAGAGTGCGTGAACACCATTGATATTGAGTTTGCGCAGGGCTGAAAGCACACAAGGTACATGGTTTAGGGTTTAGGAGTTAGGGTACAAGGCATGCAGCAGGGAGACCCTCATAGAATCCCTGATAGTAACCCTTGTAGGAACTCTTACTATGACCCTCAAAGAATCTTCAAGGAACCGTTAACCCGAGTGGCAGAAGGCCCCTTTGGGTCGGGAGAGGCTTGGAGTTTGCTGCCAGGGTCCTTTGTGCTTTGCCATGGCTCTACCCATGTGACAACACTCCCTAGGCCCTGACGCCTGTAAAAAAAATGCTGTAAAGAGTAGTAGTACTAATAACGACCATGCCTGTTTGGAAGCCAGGGCTTTGGGTTTAAGGTCTGGGATACAGGGCCTCACAGTTAGAGTCTGGGGTTTTGGATAGAGGGCCAGAGACTTAGAGCTCAGGCTTTTTTTATTTCGGGGCTTCCTGTTTAGGGCTTTGTGTCTAGACTCCAGGGTTTCGCATTGCACTGGGGTTTTCAGGCTTACACTAGAAGCCAGAAAGTTGGAATATCATTATCGTAACCCCTTTAAGGTAAATTATAGGGGATCCTACCATTAATCCATATTCCAACTTTCTGGAGTTCCCTTCAGGGTTTCGGGCTGAAGGCTCGCGCTTGAGAGTTCGGAGCTCGGCCTGGAGCCTCTAGAGCCTCGGGTTTGGGATTTGAGCTAAAGGTACAAATGGGGGTTTCCGAAAATTAGGGGTACCTTATTGGGGGGGTCCTTATAATAAGGCTCCTACTATTTCAGGTACTATATTAGGGTCCCCTATTTTCGGAAACTCCCAAATGCCGAACCCTGACAGATCTAAGACCTAGAGGCTGTGGGCATACTGCACCATTTCAAACTCTAGCACACTGTACTGCAGTCTACTCTACTTTACTACACTACATACTACTATGCTCTCCTGTACTCTGCTATGCATTACTTAAAAATACCAGCAGGGCGGCGTGCAGATCACCAGGAAGGAGATCGGCATGAGAGTTGCCTTAGCCACTCCAGGCTTTCGCAAGCTTTAGGGCTTAGGGTTTAGGGTTTAGGTGTTTAGGGGTTTAGGGGTTTAGGGGCTTAGGGGCTTAGGGTTTAGGGTTAAGGGGTTTAGGGGTTCAGGGTTTAGGGTTGAGAGTTTTAGAGTTTTAGGGTTTTAGGGTTTAGGGGTTTCGGGGTTTAGGGCTTAGGGGCCAGGACGTAGGGCTAAGGCGTAGGGCTTCGGGTGCAGGGCTCGAAGCTTCTTCCTTACAACCTTCCACTAAACCATGAATCCAACTGCCCCAAACCCCAAAGGCCCTAACTCCTTCGACGATGTCACAACCCCTAAACCCTAAAACCCTGAGCCCTCAGCCCTAAACCCTATACCCTAAGCCCTAAGCCCTAAATCCTGAACCCCCAAACCCCTGGCTATTTCGGGCCCTACACCGGGGGCAGACCCTCTCGAACTTCAGCTCCAACACCTGAAGCTCCACTTGTCATCACGGATTCTAGCGGTCAGGGGTTTAGGGCTTTGAGATTAGAGCTTCAGGGTCGTGCGTTTAGGATGTAGGGTTTCGGGCTTGAGGGCCTTATGTTTTACAGCTTATTTCCTGTCGGTGGGCGAACGTAAACATGAAACCGCTATCGCTCCCAGTCTCTTGAAGATCCTCGCTGTTTGCGTGTGGGAAGGAAGTGGTGGGGATTCACAACACCCTAGACCTTAAATCCCTCAACCCTAAACCGTAGGCTGTAGGCCCTGCTATGATCCTGGAAGCTCCACAAATCGTGGACTCCGGACAATAAAACATAAAACGGCAGAGGAAGCTGCTGTCATTTCAAGCATTTCCACAGACCCGACGTTTTGGGAGGGTTTAGGGTTTAGGGATTTCCGGCCAGAAGGCAAATCCGCCGATAATGCTCATGTGCAGATGCTCGTCCTCCGGACGAAGATCTGTGCGGTGCTGAAATAGTTATGGTGTAGTATAGTACGGTATAGCTCATAGTATAGTCGAGTATAGAAGAGTATAGTTTAGTCTATAGTATAGTATATAGCTTTGCTTTGTATAGCATACTGTGGTATATAGTATATAGCATAGTACAGTATAGTATAGTATAGTCTGGCATGATATGGTGTGCTACGGCATAGTATAGTCTAGTATACCATGAACCCTTGACTCGCGAGTGTCCAACCCTACCCTGAACCCTCAACCCTAAAACCGAAACCCTGAACCCTCAACCCAAAATGCTAAATTCCAGGGCTTGGGAACCGGTTGCGGTTTCTGCGTCGGAGCTTAAGGTTAGTGGCTGGAATTCTGGGCAGGCTTTAGTGCATGTTGTGATTACCGGGTTTGGCTGTTTCTTCGGCGTTAAACCCTCGACCCTCAAGGCTTAAACGCCCTGTAAATTCCGGGAGTCTAGTTGCAGTCCTGGTGTTTGGGGCGAGCCAGGTTCGCAACAAACCCTAAACTTAAAACCTGAATCCCGAAATCTAGTGCCGCAACCTGGGGCCGGATGAAGGGTTTAGCGGTCCATGAAATAGCAATGTTATCGTTATGCCTTGGGGGCTTTTATGGTCATAAGCCGATTAGAGTGTGCTGCAACTGCTCCCTTGAGATCGATGGCTCCTGGGAGGACCGAGAGAGCCGCACTCCGTATTTGGTGTAACTATGCGAGAAGATGCCATACGCAGAGACTCGAATATCCCTTAATTCAGGAATTTACCTTGAACTATAGGAGGATCCCTAATATGATTTAACGTATATTATTTAATTAACTAAGGGACATTGGAGTCTCAGGGAAACCCTCATCCCTGATATAAATTAAGGGATATCGGAGTCTCTGGGCAATACACCCGCAAAAACCCTCTCCACTCAGGCCATGGTATAACGCTTTCCTCCGAGCCCCTCAACCCCCCGTCCTGCCCATCGCAGAAAACGGTATGGTACTCTTGGACCGTGGACCTCCAGATACTTAGGGGCTGAGTACCCTAGCCCAAAAACAGGCTAACCTTTTGAATGATGGTAGGATTACAATAACACCAAAAGGTTAAAGATTACTTACTCAGCTAAGCCAGGGAGTCTATATGGGAGTTTCCGACAATTAGGGTGGGGTCCTTATTTTTTGAATCCTACTATACGTTTTAGGGAACTATATTAGGGTCGCCTATGGTCGGAAAACCCCAAATAAGTCTCGAGCTTCAGGAGGTTTGGGGGTTTAGGGTTTTGGGGTTTAGAGTTTAGTGGTTTAGAGTATAGGGGTTCGGAGTTTAGGGTTCAGGGGTTTAGAGTTTAGATGTTATGAATTTACGGTTTAGGGGTGTAGAGCTTAGAGGTTAGGAGGTTAGGGTTTGGGGTTTTTTGAAGTGAAGGCGCTTTCTCCTCCATGCTGCAGTCAGGATACCAAGCTTGATGGAGCCATGTTCAGAGCTTCAAGGTTTCAGGGATCGTGGGGCGTCGGTCTTCCCCAATTGATGGCCACAAAACGGCCCATGAGATCCCTGCATGTAGGTGGCTGTCAAAATTAGGGCCCCTTTTTGGGTCCTTAATATACTAAATGCACCTAATATTTAGGGTACCCAGAAAAAAAACCCTAATTTTGACAACTACCTATATAGGCCCTTATGAAACCCCAAACTCACAAACCTTCAACCCCGAACCCTAAACCCTCAATTCTCGGCCTCCCGTTGGGATGGTAGTTGCACTGGAAGGGGGCCAGGATGGCGGTGAACACCGAGATGTAGAAGATCCTGGGGGGGGGTGAAGGCTTCGCATGTCTAGGCTCCCTTAATGGGCCTAGGGTCCAGGGTAGTCACAAGGTTTTGGGTGTTTTAAGGGTTCCTTAATGGGTTCTTTGTAAGTTTCCGTTGAGGTTCTTTTTGGGATTCTTTTACGAATTCCTTCAAGGGTGAGCGTAATGGCTGGTCTGACGTTTCTAGAAGGGTTCTACACGGGTTACACTGTGACTAGCTACCAGTTCCTTGGATAGTCACTGAATGAAAGATTAGGTTTTTGGTGAGTTCAGGTGGGGCTCCGGTTTAAGGTGCACGGCTCCTTGTGTTTTGAGGGAACAAGAGTTTAGGGCTCAGACTTTAGGAGCTGAACGTTGAGCGATCTGATGTTGCGAGACCGTCAGGGTCCACAGGCGCCCTTGACCCAGAATCCCAAACCCTAAACCCAAAGCCCCAGACCCTAAATTTTAAATCCCCAAACCCTAAACCCATAGCCCTAAAAACTTAGAATCCCCAAGTCCCAAAACATACTCTGGACCCGGATACCTATAATCCTGGACTGAGGTAAGATGTTGTGGTACCTTCATAGAACCCTCCTAATGGTGCCGTGGTAGCTACCCTTACAGGAGTCGAACGCTCTGCACTCCTCTGCGCTGAACTGCACAGTGTAGACTGGGGAAAAGCTTTACAGTCTTCAGCCCGAAGACACAAGCGTAAGCCGCACCCGCCTTGCAACGCCCAAAGCAGCTATTTCACTAAAATCCAGCTACCCCACATCATAACCCAGTCTAGAAGAACCCTTAGGTGGAGAACGGGGCAAAGGCTGTTGGTACTCAGCATTCAGTCGTACACCCGAAGTACAGGTTTTCGGGTAAATTGTACGAGTGCTGCATAACGAGAACTTGCCTTCCTTAAGCCTGATGTGTAACCCTAAACCCTAAACCCTAAACCCTAAACCCTAAACCCTTGCGGCCGTGGGGGCAAGAAGAGTGAGCCGATCGTCCGAAGAAGCTGACCTCTGTTGCGGGCAGCTTGAGACTCTGAGCCCTAAAACCTAGACACTAAGGTTCAGGATTTAGGGTTTAGGGCTTCGGGCTGGGGATGTAGGGATCAGGGTTTAGGGCTTGGGGTTTAGGTTTTGGGGTTGAGGGCTTCGGGTTTGGGGGTTTAGGTCGAAGGTGCACAGGAGGTGACGAGGTTCGGGGTTCGAGCTCGCAGATGACGGAGCCAGAGCTGAGTTTCTCGAAGATTTCTTTATACTGAACTTAGAACCCTAGCAAAAATCATAATTTTAGCTGTTTGTTAGGGATTATGATAACCAAAAATTAAAACTATTTCTAAGTACCCCTAAGTTCTGGGGGTATATTAGAGGTATATCTATATAGGGTGACATGGGACTAGAAGGGACTAGGGTAATACTACCACGAGGATTTCTGCAGTCTACTCTGGGTATAGTCTAAAGGAACAATAATTCTGAGCGGCTAGAAGGGCATAGTACTAAACTACCCTCCACATGAAACAAGCCTAAGGTTTGGGGTTTAGGCAGGGATGCTGGAAGTTTACGCAAGGACTGTAGGATTAGGTAGCCGGGTTGCGGGCATACTGTGTGGTGTACTGGCTGTCACTAGCTTGTGGCCGTCTTGCTCAGGCTTTGGGTCCAGGGAACCCAGGCCCCAAAACCCTGCAACTCAGGCCCCCTAGCAGCAGTAGCAGCCGCAGCCGCAAGAGTGCAGTAGTCGTGGTCGTGGGTTTGGTAGCAGCAGCAGCAGCAGAAGCAGAAGCAGCAGCAGTTGCAGGAGCAGTTGCAACGGCAGCAGTAGCAGCAGCAGCGGCAGCAGTAGTCTGAGCAGGGAGCACAAGACCAACCACCCTAACCCTAAACCCGCCCATGAATCGAGGGGCTGATTTCCAGGTCACCACCCTTCGTCAGCTTTCCCTTGATCAGAAGGTTGAAACCATGCCTCGTTTGCTTGCACACACTGATACAGGCTTCGTTAGCAGGTTTTGTCTGACAGCTCAGGGGTAGGCTCTAGGTTGTTCATGAAACCATAAATCGGGCCCATTGTTCCAAGCTTGTCGATCAATGCCGAGATTGACCAAAAAGCCTGGAACATTGGTCCCACCATTATTCCCGGGTTTTTGGTCAATCTCGGCATAGACTAAAAAAGGCTACTATTACTAATACTACTACTACTGCTACTATTACTACTATTACTACTAATACTACTATAAAAAGGCTAGAACACTCGTCCCACCCTTGTTCCAAGCGTTTTGGTCAACCCCAAACTGGGCTGCGGTTGCGGGGCAGGTTGGCGAGGTGCTACTTGGAGGGTCGGGGGACTTAGTAACTGGTTATTTTAGGGACTTATAAGTGCCATAACCCCAATTAGGGTCCCTTTTAGGGTACTTAAAAGTCTACGTACTACCTACTTGCTAAGTCCCCCGACCCTCCAAGTAGGGTGCCCAGAATCTCCAATACCCCTCTTAATTGAGGAATATACTTTACATCATAGTAGGATCCCGAAGACCCCCGTTTAGGGTTTAGGGTTCCATATTGCTTGTATACCGGAAAACGTTAAGCACCATCCTTCAGTTCAAAACCTTTAAACTATTACACCAACACAACAGAAACGTGGCCCTTACTTACGTGCTTGGAGCCCTCAAGCAGGAACTGCTGAACCATGAGGCCAAACCCGCCAAGTGAATCCGAAGTCTTAAATTAAAAACGGAAAGGAATCAACTTAAACCCTAAGCCCTAATTCGCGACACCCCCGACTCACGTTCCCAAAAACCTGAAACACCGTAAGGCCTGCTACTCGAAACCATAAGCCCCAAACCCATACACAAAACTTCATAATCATACGTGTGAAGCCCCAATCCTAGCAACCCCTTGCAAAATTCTGTCTCGAGTCTCGGGCAACACGTCATCATCGCCCTCGCCCTGGCCTTCCGTAGAGCCTGACGCTGTGGACGTCAGCATGCCAGATTCGAGAAGTTCCACAACCTTCATCGTAAGGTCGGGTTTGTCTTCCAGGAAGGCGAACACACGCTCGTAACCCTCGCACGAGCTGTCTTCTGTCACCGTGGCCAAATCGGGGTTTCCGAAAATTGGGGGGGGTACCTTATTTGGGAGTCCTAATAATAAGGATCCTACTAGTAAGGGTACTCTATTAGGGTCCCCTATTTTCGGAAACTCCCAAATTGGGGCCCCTAATATAGTACCCTAAATAGCAGGATCCTTATTACAAGGACCCCAAAATAAGGTACCCCTAATTTGCGGAGACTCCCATTTGTCTCGGATTTTCCGGAACTCGGCCTCCTTTCGAGCCGATTTGCGCGACTCCGTGGCGGCGGCCCAAGAGGCTGAGGTTGAAGACCAGAGATTTGCAAGTTCACCTGTTGATGATATACATCCTGCAGGTTTAGGGTTTAGGGTTTAGGAATATACCATAATTCCCATTTATTCCGTATTTTGGGTAATGCAGGATTTATATAATCAACAGACCCAGCGGTCATGTAGTGCGGTGTGGGATTTTTCCTCGAGGTGCCTGGACCAGATGGGGGGCTAGTCATGGCACTGAATCCTGCACCTTGCAACAAGCGAAGAGTTCCACTTTCTGGAACTCCGCAAGGAACCCTTAGGGGTGTATTCCTCAATTAAGGGATATTGGAGTCTCTGTCGTGGGCCGGGGAAGGCCCTGGGGCCGTTGGAGAATAAGGTTTAAGGTTTAGGGATTAGGGGTTAGGGTCTGTCTTGGGGCTTTTTTCCACCTGCCTGTAAAGGGTAAACGGAAGGCTCGTTGAGCCAGGGTTTAGACTTTAGGGTTTAGAGCATCATCGCCAGAAAAGATGAGGCGCCTAGAACCCTGAAGCCGGAAAGCTTTGTAGAACCATTCTAGAGTCCGTAGCTTAAAACGACTCCGACCTAGCTCATGGCAAAGACCTTTAGGGTTTAGGGTTTAGAAACCCTAAACCCTAAACCCCAAAGTAAGCCCTCAGCCCTAAACCCTAAGCCCTAAACCTCAAACTAAGCCCTCAGCCCTAAACCCTAAACCTCAAACTAAGCCCTCAGCCCTAAACCCTCAACTCCAAACTAGGCCCTAAACCCTAAGCCCTAAACCCCAAACTAAGCCCTCAGCCCTGAACCCTAAACCTCAAACTAAGCCCTCAGCCCTAAACCCTCAACTCCAAACTAGGCCCTAAACCCTAAACCCTAAACCCTAAACCCTAAACCCCAAACTAAGCCCTCAGCCCTAAACCCTAAGCCCTAAACCCCAAACTAAGCCCTCAGCCCTAAACCCTAAGCCCTAAACCCCAAACTCAGCCCTCAGCCCTAAACCCTAAACCCTCAACTCCAAACTCAGCCCTCAGCCCTAAACCCTGAGCCCGAGCCCGAGGTGCAGGACCACAACTACGCAGACGAAGATCGGAGAAATTAGGCTCCTGCTCGAGACTTCAGGGCTTCTGCACCTTAGGGGTTTGAGGGCTTCCGGTTTGGAGATTCGGAATTCGGGTTTGTAGGCTCCTCGACAAGCAACTCGAAGCTCCTTTAAGGGTCCTTAAAAGGGATCTATAGGGATTCTATAAGGGTATAGGGTTTAGGGTTTAGGGCTGATTAGGCTGCAGGGGTGTGGGATTTAGGGTTCAGGGTTTGGGGTTCAAAGGTTCAGGGTTTAGGGTTTAGGGGTTCGGGTTTAGGGTTCAGGGTTTCGGGGTTGAGGGCTTAGGGTTTAGGGCTTAGTCTTCAGTCTCCGGCTCTCTTCAAACTCGAAACCCTGAAACCCCTGAACATAAGACATCCTAAGACCCCAGAGCTGGATCGCACGAGTTCATGAAAAGCCCTTCAAAAGCTCTCATGGAATCCCGGAGCCCAAAACCCTAAACCCTAAACCTAAACCCTTCATAAAAACTCTCATGGAAGCCTGGAGCCCTATACCCTAAACCCTTTCAGGAAACCCGAAAAGAATGAGAAAAAGCATCCTCAAGCAAACCTCTCTCGGAGTTGGGCTTGTTTCGGCTCTTGGGTTGCGGGCCTTCAAGTCCAGGGTGTACCTGGTTTCTAGATGGGAGTTTCCGAAAACTAGGGGTACCCTATTTTGGGGGTCCATATAATAAGGATCCTACTATTTAGGGTACTACTTTAGGGTCCCCTATTTTCGGAAACTCCCATAGGATTCTAATGCAAATCTAACAGCATCTCTTAAAGCAAGTTTGGCCTCAGAGAACCTATGCTTTGCAGGAGTTCTGTAGGTTTTTTGTTAAAGTATGTTTCGCTTTCAGCATTAGGGTTGCAAGGTTTAGGGTTTAGTGCTAAGGACTAAGCTCTGAGCGCTAAAACCCTAAGCCCAAAGCCCCGAGCCTTAAACCCAAAGCCCTAACCCCTGCACCCCTATACCTCACACCCTTTCTTCGAGACCTCAAACCCGTAGACCCTTAACCCTATGTACACTCATAGAGCCAGGAACCCTACCCCTTTCCTGTTCTTTTCCGGGCCTTCGTTTCGATATCTTCTGTAGCAAAACGGGATGCTTCAGTAAGCGATACGGAACCTTCTGAAGGGCTCTGCAAGGAGGTTTTAGTAAGGCTTCGAAAGATCCTTCACCAAGGGATACTGAACCAAACCAACCCAAATAAGAAACGATCCTTTATGCTTAACATAGGGCTTGTGGCTGCATTATAGTACAATAGTAGCAAAGTCGACAGCGAACAATGGTCTCTACATCAGCAGTCTTCCGCCCTTACAGCGAACCCCAGCAACTTGGAACATGGGTTTAGTATTGTTTGCGTGCTGGATCCCTTACACTCTACCTTAAGGCCACGAGAATGATACCGTTCCAGCTTTACGGCTTCTGCTATACTAGGATGCCCAGCAACCTAGGAATAAAACGGGCTCCCTTTTTGGTATTGGGTAACTTTATAAGGAACCAAGGACTACAAAAAGGGAATAAGGGTAGCACTGGGCATCCTAATACATGTTAGCAAGGGTCAGCCTGGGTCTCAGGGTTTCGGGTGTAGGCTGCAGGGGTGTGGGATTTAGGGTTTGGGGTTCAAGGGTTCAGGGTTTAGGGTTTAGGGTTTTGGGGTTTAGGTTTTTAGGGTTTTGGGTTTTGGGTTCAGGGTTCAGGGTTCAGGGTTTAGGGTTTTTGGGTTTTGGGGGGTTTATTTTCCAATAATTCGAGCTCAGGGCTGAGAGCCTGTCCACTTCAGGGCTGCTGGCCGTTTGAGGATTACATGGGCTTAGGGTATAGGAAGTACCTGATTTTGGGGGCTCCTTATGATAAGGATCCTACTATTTAGGGTACTATATATGGTGTGTGGGTTTATGCAATATTGCTCTCTATGAGGGCTTCTTGGAATCAGGGGTGGCCTATGTAAGGGATCTGCTGACACGGATCATACGATTTGCGGTCTGCATTCCCCAGAGACTCCCATGTCCCTGAATTAAGGATATACCTTAAATTCTAGTAAGACACCTAATATGATTGAAGGTATGTTGCTTAATTGTGGGATATTGGAGTCTCTGGGTATATGAGGATCTCTGACTTTCGGAAAATTCCCGGTCCCTGCCTCACTGCGTATTTGAAGACGGGTCCCATGCTCGTGACGCAGCTGATGGAAAGCCTGTTTGAAGTCCAACGCCATGAGAGAGAAACTCTGCACATCAACAGCGCAAAATCTCTGAGATTGGGGTATAGAGTTTAGGGTTGAGGGTATAGGATGTCTTTTCTTTGAGCTCATCTTCTCCAGAGGCAGCAGCAGCGTATAGGCTTTAGGGTCAAGAGAGAAGCCCTTTACCCCCTACCCCCTACACCCGACTGCCTTTGCCTAACTCCATCAACCCGAAACAATGCACCGTACTTATAACCCAAATTAGGGGACTTATAACCCCACTTATAACTACCCATGAACCCTAAACCCTATACCCTGATAGAATCCCTAAAGATCCCTTTAAAGGGGCCCTTAAAGGGACCTTTATAACTGCCCCCCCCACCCCCCCGAACCCGACACCCGACACACTAAACCCCAAAGCCCATAAGCCCGGAATACTAAGCCCCAAACCCTAAACCCCTCTAAACCTCAACCCCTAAGCCTGAACCCCTAAACCCCCCCTAAATCCCTCTAGACCCCAACCCCCTAGGCCGTGAAGCTGTAGTTGGAATCCTTCCGAAACCTTCCGAAATTCGATGAAAAAACTCGTCCCCCAAACACCGAAAAACCTTATACAAAGCATGTCGAGAAAAACTTGAAAAACAAACGAAAATGCATGTTGTCTGTGAAGGAAAGCGGCATGTCCAGATTCAGGGACATCAGCTCGAAGAGGTTCCTAAGCTGTTTAGGGGTTTAGGGTTTAGGGGTTTAGGGTTTAGGGTTTAGGGTTTAGGGGTTAAGGGGTTTAGGGTTTAGTTTAGGGTTTAGGGTTTAGGGTTTGGATGGGGGAAACGGTTTTGGGGGTTAAAGTTACGAGTTTTACAGGGTCTTCTAAAGGTTTTCACAGGGCTTTATAAGGGTCCGAGTGATTGGCACTTGTCCTTGCGGCTTTGCTTGTTTGAGACGGTTGTTGTGGCTGGCTTGACGGTTTTGGGTTTTTGACCTGTGAGGTTTAGGAGTAGGGTTTGAAACAACAGCGTGGAGAAGCCCTAACCGGTTTTTGACACCCGAAGCGGGCGTTCGGGGTTAGGATTTTAGGATTCAGGGGTTTAGCATTTTGAGGTTTTGGTTTGAATGGGACTGGCGAGCTTTACTCGAGGTAGCAGCGGCTCCCCACGGAGGGGCTGACCGCGTAAGTTGGAAGGTGCAGCCTGGTGTGTACGGTTTAGAGTTTAGGGTGTAGGGGTTTAGGGTTTAGGGGTTTAGGGTGTAGGGGTTTAGGGTTTAGGGGTTTAGGGTTTAGGGTTTAGGGTTTAGGGAATTGCGGCATACGGTTTGGAGTTCGACGCGGTAGTTTAGTGTCAAGTGGGCCTTCAGAGTTGGCTGTGTCTACTTGCCTTGTTTTAAGGACCACAACAGCACATAAACAATCAAAACTCTTGAAATTTGACCTCAGCAGAAAGTTTCGGTTTAGGTGGCCGCACACCCTAAACCCCAAGCCCTCAACATTAGGGTCTAGAGTCTAGGGTTTCGGGGTTTCGGCAAGGAACAGGATACTAACCACCGGCTCTCTCCAGCTGATCCGGAACTTCTGGATGACTGTCAGCTTCTGGATGACGGTCACCAACTGACCTGGGACTTCGGGTTTAGGGAATATGCTCTAGAGTTCAAGGTGACGAGTAGAACGATGAGTAGACAATTTTGTGACCGCCATTCAATACGAACGTAAGCATTGTGATCACCACGGTAGGCAACATTATTAACATCCATGTCGCCCTCATCATCACCATCATCGTCGTCATCATCTAACCCTAGACCCTAAAACCGAAACCTTCTTCTCCCTGTCCTTCGTCACTAGCAGCACAGCAGCAGCTGCTCGGTTAAGTTCAAACCAACAGACGCTGTTCGAGCTCGGAAAGTCATGGCACAAAGTTTCAGAGTTTGGGGTTGTTGCTTCCAGATCAAGAAAGAAGGTCGTGAGGTGAGCTAACACATATGCCTAAAGACCCGGGCCCGGCCTGCATCCATGATCTACGCCGAATGACGCAAGCAGGGACTTTCGAAGAGCATGCTCATCTAAGAGATACTACAGGGATTCGAGTTTACTATACGCATTTTAACAGGGTGCTCCTGACGAGCTCTAAACCCCAGGGCCCAGGCCTGTAAGATGGTGGGATCTCTGAATTAATTACCAACACATATTTCGATCCTCAAGGCTCCAAAATCTTCCGGGTGCTTCTCTCAAACACCTCGCAGAGTCTTTGGGTTTAATTCTGCGCTTTTATGTTTTGTTTAACTCCTTGAGCCCCAAAGCCCCATGAGCCTTAAACTCCACACCACGAAGCCTTCAACCCCAAAGCCTGAACCCCCACAACCTAGCCCTACAGCCCAAAACCTTTAACTCCAAAGACTCCAAGCTCCCCAAACAGCAGAGGCCACGGCTAAGCCCCAGAGCGATAACGAGCAAATGCCCCGGCTGCGTATTCCGCTCGCCCTCGCGCATAAGGAAGTAGTACCTGAGAGTGCGTGGGTTCGCGGTCTAGGGCTTCCCCGCCCCGAACCCTAAACTCTGATTCGGTACTTGGAGGATCAAGGGACTTAGTATGTAAGGTTGTAGGTCCCCTAATTGGGGTTATTAGTATTTATAAGTATAGTTACCTTATTTTTAACCCTAATTACTAAGTCCCATGATCCTTTAAGTAAGCATGGTTTAGGATTCGACGCGTTTGGTGGGAGTTGGGGCTTCCGGGCTTCAGGCTTTGAGGGAGTTAGTGGGCGTAGCGCCTGGCGCTTGTCGGGCACCAGGGTTTAGGGTTTAGGGTGTTCACATTAGGGTTTAGGGTTTAGGGATACTACATTAGTACTGGGCTCAAGGCTTTCGTGTTTCAACGTACCTGAGCCACTCTTGGTCCGCTGCGGAAAGAGCTTACGACTTGGGTCTTGGAGTGGGGGAGCAAGCATAAGTTTGTGTATATACATATGCATATTTGCATAATACATATAGATACAGATGCGTTATATATATATATATATATATATATATGTATCTCTCTCTCTCTCTCTCTCTCTCTCTCTCTCTGTTTGGGAGTTCCTATAAAGGAGACTTACACAAGAGCGCCGTATGGTCTATGTTGTTTTTTCTGCGTGCCGAACTCGTCGACAGGGTGTCCGAGTTCGTAGTGCGCTTCGTGTTGGGGGATTCTGTTTCGGGATGGAGCTTGGGTTTAGGGTTTGGGGCTTTAGGGCCTGAGGTTAGGGTTTGGGGCTTTAGGGCCTGAGGTTAGGGTTTGGGGCTTTAGGGCCTGAGGCTTTAGGATTATGGTTCAGGGTACCCCAAAGCCTAACCCGCCAGGGCACAGGCCGACGATGGCACTTACGGAGATGAGCACGACGAACAACAGCAGTGCATAGTCGCCTCTCATGACAATGCGCGACATGTCCAGGGTGTTTTTTCGATTTGGGGCTCTCAATCACTGGGCTCTCAAAAGGCTTTTGATCCAAGACTGACACCATGAGAAGGAGTATTCCCTCGTAGCCCCTGCGCAGGACATCATACTACCCGCAACCTGATCGAACTATCGCCCGTCGCGAGGGTCCTCCAGCACAGTCCCAGCAGTAGCCAGCGTCAACTGCTCGAAGCCCGGGAAGGCAATCGTAGCAACTCACCTTGCGTTTAGCGCCCTGGGTTCTAGCTTTGGGGTTTGACAAGGGATTCAGAAAGCTTCTGCAAGGGCTCTATCATGATCTTGCGGGGGTGCTGTTTCGGGTTGAGCTTGGCCGTCACATACTGCCCGACACTCCTAAACATGTCTGCCTAGAAGCCCAGAAGCCTCAACCCCCAAACTCCCAAAACCCAGAGCCAGACCCTCTCGCATAGGGTCATTAATAATCAGAATAGGGCTTTGGGTGGGTTTTAGTATACTCTAATCATAATGGGGAGTCCCCAAGATAGTATGGCTAACTGTGCAAGCCCCTAGATTACCATCGACAGTTCACCATCTAATCGGTCTGGAGGATGATTGTCTCTCGGGGCTTTTTCATTCTACCGGCACGACTTGCATACTGTTGATGATATAAACCCTGCATGATCCATAATTAGGAATATGCCATAATTCCTATACATTTCTTATGATGGGTAATGCAGGATTTATACCATCAACCGTAGTGCCATGGGCATACTCGGATCGCAGCTCAGAACATGCGAGACAGGACATGCTTTCGTTCATGTCGTCACATGATACAGATGTAGGGGCCTTCACAACTAGAATACTTGGAAGCCCAGGGACTTAGTAAGTAGGTTATAAGTAGGGTTACAGCTAGGGTAACTCCATGTAGGGTACTTATAACCCTACTTATAACCTACTTACTAAGCCCCCTGGGCCTCTAAGCTCTCGTGTACATTATAGCACAGTGTTTAAATGCCTATCATGGGATGCTGTTACAAGTTGCTCCGACCCCCAGAACCCGAGCTTAGGGCCTGACGGGTTGAGATTCTAGGGATAGCTTGGGGGTTTTGGCTTAAGGATAGCTTGAGTTGAAAGGTGGAACTGCTGTGACCAGGGCTCTTTCTTATGGTTGTGGGCTTGCCTTCCGAAGATCTGCGGATTCTTGCTCCGGGTGTGGATGCTCTCGGTGAGGGTACGGGGATTTGTGTACGGCTTGGGGTTCACGGTCGGTATAGAACTCCAGAAAGTTGGAATATGGATTAATGGTAGGATCCCCTGTAAATTACCTTAAAGGGGTTACGATCATGATATTCCAACTTTCTGGCTTCTACTGTACCTTCTTGCTGCGGAGCTGCAATATGCAACTTCCTTCATACTCGGCTCTAGGCTTTCAGGGCCAAGGAGATCTTAGAGTTTAGGGTTGCCTAAGTTGCAGGTAGATTACAGTGTATTATGGTATATCTAGTATATTAAATGATAGTGTTTTCGAGTACGGTATAGTATACTATTTCATACTCTACTTGGAGGCTCATGGGTAGTTATAAGTGGGGTTACAAGTGCCCTAATATGGGTAATAAGTCTAGTTATCCTACTTATAACCCTACTTATACCTACCCATGAACCTCCAAGTAACATACTATACGGTTGATGATATAAATCCTGCAATACCTTAAGGACCCGAAACTATGGGAAATATGGTATATTCCTTATTATGGGGTCATGCAGGATTTATATCATCCCTAAACCCTAAACCCCCTATAGAGCCCTTAAAGGAACCCCTTAGAAAGGTACCCTAGGATTATAGATCCCTTTAAAGGAACCCTAGGGTTTATATCCCTTGTGAAGGATCGTTCTCAGACGGCTCGGTCGGGCCACGGGCCCTAAAACCCTAAATCCAAAACCGCATACCCAGAGACACCAATATCCCTTAATAAAGGAATACCTGGAGTTCCTTTAAGGGATCTATAGGGTTTAGGGTTTAGGGGGTTCTAATATCCCTTCATCAAGGAATATGCCTTAAATGATAGTAGGATCCCTAATATGATCTAAGGTATACTCCTTAACTAAGGGATATTGGAGTCTCTGCGTAGTCACCCCAAGGCAAGTGGCACTGTCCGTGTCACGGCCAGGAGCACAAGTCCCCGGTTCACCCCCGGGACAGCGGAGCTTGTTCCCGAAGCACTCGTAGACTTCACCTGATTTGCTCACTCTAACCTAGTTCACTAGTAATAGTAATAATAGTAGCACAAGTAGTATATAATAGTAGTAATAGTAGTAATAGTAGTAATAGTAGCAATAGTAGCAATAGTAGTAATAGTAGTAATAGTAGTAATAATAGTAATAGTAGTAATAGTAGTAATAGTAGTAATAGTAGTAATAGTAGTAATAGTAGTAATAATAGTAATAGTAGTAATAGTAGTAATAGTAGTAATAGTAGTAATAGTAGTAATAGTAATAGTAATAGAGTATACCATAACGTACTCCAATGCATTATAATATACTAGACTATTATTACTATTATTACTATTATTACTATTATTACTATTATTACTATTATTACTATTATTACTATTATTACTATTATTGCTAGTATACCATAGAACACTCTAAAAAGTATATCCCCGTCCCGGTCTTGCGGGCTTACGCTTGCGCCTCCTTGGACGTTTCCTTTGTGGCTTAGGGCGGATGCGGGGCGCGGCATGTATCCCACTGCCCGAGTGACATCTTCTACTGGAACTATACTGAACTTAGAACCCTAGCAAAAATTATGATTTTAGCTGTTTCTTAGGGTTATAATAAAAAAAAACTAACAGAAACAATAATTCTAAGTACCCCTAAGCATCCCACTGCCCGAGTGACATCTTCTACTGGAACATTACCAGTCGGACATCTGACACCAACAAACATGCTTCCAATTAGAATAGGTGACAAGGTTCGTTTAAGGGGTTCTCTAAAAAAGGGGGGCCTACACAAGTTACTATAAGGGGTTCTTTTCAGGGTGCTGGCTGGAGTGTTGAAGTGTTCTGTATGGGGAGGGCTTTGGGATTCATTGTCGCCTGTGGGTTATTAGTAGGGCCTAATCGAAGCTTGTCGAAACGACCATTGCGGAAAATCCGGGCCAAGTCCATCTCATGAACACCCCTTTTTGGCTTCAGGGATAGAATTGGGAGCTGGGATGCGAGGGTCTTACAAAGAAAGCAGAAGCTGAAGCTTAGAGACCCAATCTAAAGCTTCATAAGATCCTGAACCCCAAGAGACCCTTCAAGACGATATAAACCCAAAAGGACCCGAAAAGATACTGCAACACTCCGTACAACCCCCAAAACTCCCAGAACTGAAAGCCCTGCCTAAACCCTAAACCCTACTTGGAGGTTCAATGGGTAGTTATAAGTGAGGTTATAAGTCCTGTAATATGGGTTCTAAGTAGAGTTGCCCTACTTGTAATCCTACTTATAACTACCCATGAACCTCCAAGTAGACCCTAAGCCCTAAACCTTAAACTGGCCTGGGCTGTCTAGGGCGGAGAAATAGCCCGGAAGAACTGTTAGCTGCCCGGAGCCGGGGCAACTCGAACCTGGCAAAAGTGTTAGGGTTTCGGGTCTACTTGGAGGTTTGGGTAGTTATAAGTAGGATTACAAGTAGGGTAACTACACTTGTAACCCATATTACGGGACGTATAACCCACTTTTCATGTTCAAGCCGCGGCTTCCATTTTTTGGGTCTCGGGTTTACAGTAAGGTCTAGGGTTTAGGGTTTAGGGTCTAGAAGTCCGGGTTGCAAAGGTTTCTACTTGGAGGTTGGGGTTATAAGTAGGGCAACTCTACTTAGAACCCACATTAGGGGACTTATAACCCCACTTATAACTACCCATGAACCTCCAAGTAGGCCCTAAACCCCATACCCTTATAGACTCCCTGTAGATCCCGTTAAAAGGACCCTTTAAAGGAACCCTTTGGGTTTCTAAGGCTTGCAAGGCGAAGGTGTCGGAGCTTGGTTCGTGGAGTTCGGGCGCTTAGTAGTTCGGAAGATCTTCAAGTTTGCGGGCATAGACTAAACAGGCCTTGCTTAGAAGCTGCCCCCACCCTGTAATAGTGACTAGAAGGATTATATAGGATTATATTAGGGCCCTATTATACTCCTATTCTACCACTATTACAGGGTGGGGGCAGCTTCTAAGGCCTTGTTCCAATCAAAGGGGAAAAGGAGGGACCCTTAATGGCGACCCCTACCCTATAATGGGCTATATAATGGGTATATAATGGCTATATTATGGCTAGTCTAGGGATCCTCATTAGGGGTCCCTCCTTTTACCATTTGTTCCAAGCTTGTTGGTCAATCTCGGGCTGGGCTGCGGCTGCTGTTGGCGAGGTGTTAGGGTCCAGGAGACTCCAATACCCCTTAATTGAGGAATATACCTTACATCATAGGATCCCTAAGCCACCGAGACCATATTGTCTTTATACCGGAAACTAGGATGCCCAGTAACCCAGGAATAAAAAGGGGCTCCCTTTTTGGCATTGGGTAACTTTACAAGGAACCTAGGACTACAAAAAGGGAATAAGAGTAGCACTGGGCATCCTAGTCTTCAAGTTTACCAAAGCTAGGTCTTTAGGTTTTAGGATTTTTGTTTCAAGTGTAGTAGGTTTTAAGGCTTTTGCTTAAAGTGTAGCAGGTTTTAGGTTTTAGTTTTCTGTTTAAAGTGTAGTAGGTTTTAGGCTTTAGGATTTTTGTTTGAAGTGTAGTGGGTTTTAGGTTTTAGGGTCTTTGTTTAAAGTGTAGTAGGCTTTAGGTTTTAGGGTTTGAGTTTAAAGTGTAGTAGGTTTTAGGTTTTAGGGTCTTTGCCGGTCTTCGTTTAAAGTGTAGTAAGTTTTAGGGTTTAGGGGATTAGGGTGTAGGTGCTAGGGTTTAGGGTTTAGGGCTTTAGGGTTTAGGGAATTAGGGTTTAGGGTTTGGGGTTTCTGGGGCTGGAATGGTTCAGGGTTCCGAGTTCATTATTTTTGGGCTTTAGGGAGTGGGGTTGTGGGGGCGGGCTCGGGGTTCGGTGTTTCCGTTGGTCTAGGTTCTCTTGGTGTTGCGGCGTGTATTTGGCACCCGGCACCGTCTCCGAACCGGGCTGGTTTGTGGCTGCATGCTTTGGAGGTGCTGGCTCAGGGAACGATTCTTGTCCAGTGTCTTAGAGGAACTGAAGTAACTAAAGGTTATCCTCTGGGACTATGTAGTGATTGTAATACACCGAAAAGGTTACAAGTTACCTACCCTGCTACTAAGCTAGAGAACTAGACCCTAAAGCGGCATGACGTGACGAGCCTTCCATGCATTTCTGGCACTGGCCATTGTGCAAGAAGTAGCCCTCTACCTCTGGCGGCAGTGATTTGAAGCCCTGGGAACACTAGACTCTCAAATCGTAACCCTCAACGCCTCAAGCCATTAGGGTTTAAGCTTCTTGTTTAGTGTAATGGCACACCTTTCTCCAAGCAACGGGTTTAGGATTTCAGGCTTAATTGCAAAACCTGCAACTTGCACACCGTAAAGCCTCGAAAACCTCAAGCCCCAAGTTCAAGGAGCAGCGAAGTCGAGACCAAGACAATTCGGGGTGCTGCTGTTTTCTCAAGGCTCAAAGGACCATGTTCTAGCACACAGAGACCATACTCTCAATGCCTTGGGCCATATTCACCCTTAGGTTCAACATCCCTAGATTTGCCAACTGGATGGGGGGGTTCAGACCCCGTAGTGAAGGACATATACCTGAAATTGTAGGGGCTCTTTATTATGATTCTGGGTGATGTCTTAATCAAGGGGTTTTGCGGTATCTGTTAGAAGCTGCCCCCACCCTGTAATAGTGACCATAAGGACTATATAGGATTATATTAGGGCCCTATTATACTCCTATTCTACCACTATTACAGGGTGGGGGCAGCTCCTAAGGTATCTGGGTGTGTTGGTTTAGGGGGGCTTCGGGCTTTGAAGCTTAGAGCGCACTTCGGGCTGAGGGCCGAGGCTTCGAGCTCCGGGGTTTTGGGACTGTTTGAGGGTTTGGGATCACGACGACCACCATCGCCAAACACGGCCAACCCAGAGACTCCAATATCCCTGAATTAAGGAATATTCCTTAAATTATGGTAGGATCCCTTATATGATTTAGGGCATATTCCCTAATTAAGGAATATTGGAGTCTCTGGGAAACGTGCCCGGTTCAAGTTCGGAAAGGGCACGAGGCCTCCCGCAAAGCCTAATGCAAGGCAAGCTGGCTTAGGGTTTAGGGTTTTGGGTTCAGGGTTTAGAGTTTAGGGTTTAGGGTTTAGGGTTCAGGGTTTAGAGTTTAGGGTTTTGGGTTTAGGGTTCAGGGTTTTAACTATACATCCACACCATGATGAACCAAAAGTAAAGTCCCTAAACCCTAGACCGTCTGACCCTAAACCCCTAAACCCCAAACCATTCCTTAGCTTTAGCAAGACTTCAGTCAAAGGTGCACAGACACAGAAGCTCGGTGAGGATGCACCCGTGATCTGGATCCACTTCTCCTGCGCCCGAGAGGACGGCTGTGGGCTTTGCCCTTGGGGTTTAGGGTTTAGCGCCAAGCCCTGCAAACTCTATACGCCCTAAACCTTCGTGTTGCGAACTTTCGCGATTTACGTGGGTTTTATCATTTTTAGGGATCGCCGACTGCGCGGTTCCTTGGAGGTAGAAGCTAAGCTAGAAGAAGACGGAACCCCGCGGATCCCGGAATAGGAAGCATCATTCCAGCTCCCCAAGCCCTAAAGCTTTACCTTGAAGCCTGAAACTATAGGCTGCCTACTTGCCCAGACCATTCCGTCAGTCGAAGACTGACTTCAGAAGGCGGAAACACATGCACAGGGGTGTGGCCCGAAGACAACAGCGCAGGCAACCTCATGCCTTACCCCCGAACGTAAGAACCCCGGCAGGCTACGAGAATGAAACCCCTAGTTAGACCTTACAAAAACGAAAAACCTTCAAACCTTCACAACCTTACACGAGCGAGACCTCCCCGCGGTCAATGACGGCACGGCTCGTCGTCCAAACTTCACTGCCATCCGCACAAGGAATGCATACCTTATCAGATGGTTGCCTTTAGCGTTTCGGATTCAGAGTGTATGTTTTGGGGTTTGGGGTGCAGGGTTTGGCTTGGGATTTCGAGTTTCAGATTGCTGCTTAAGGATGTGGGGTTTAGGCTTGTGGTTTCGGTTTCGCGTTCAAACTTGTTCAGGGCTTCCTGTTTTGGCTTTGGGGGGTTGGGGGTTTGGGTTGGGGGCTTTATCGGATGGACTGCGCTATCTACATTCGAATAGAGGTGAATATGCACATACACTGCTTCAGGTACTAGGTTATACCTACATGTAGCATGACATGAACATGCAGACATGTCTTTTTGTACATATGTACGCAAGTGCATATGTACATATTTGAGTACGTGCAGGCAGGTGCCAGGCAGGCATGGAGGTATGTATACATGAGTGCATGTATGTATGCCTAAACGTTAAGACTTAGGCAGCTGTAGACATAGCAATAAGACTACAAATACTTCAACAGAAAACACGTCAAGCAACCTCTAAAACCTTAAAACCCTACCCTACACCCTAAATCCTAAACCCTTAAACCCTAAACCCTAAACCCTAAAAACCTAATAACCCTTTAAACACCCTTAAAAAACACAAAAAAAACACACAAAAAAAAATACACATAAAAACTAAAACACCCTGAAAAACCTAAACACCAGGCCCTGAAAGATGGTCCGTTGGTTTTTGGGGATCCGAGGCTGTCGTAAGGTGGGATGCAGACACCAGCGCAGAAAAAAAAACATACCTTAAGCCCAAAACATTAAGCTTTAGTGGGTTTAGGGTTGAGGGTTTTTTGGATTTAGGGTTTAGGGGTTTTTGGGTTTTGTTTAACTATGTTGACGGTCGGAGCTTTTTCCAGCCTGCCTGTTTAGGGTTTAGGGTTTAGGACTTAGAAGTTAAGCCATTGCGTTTCGGGTTTAGGGCTTCAGGGCGCTGCTGAGTAGCGGCTTTGCCTTGTGATACTCAGGGATTGGGGCTGGGGTCGTTGCACTGGGATGCAGAATGTCACCGAGGAGTTTCTGAGATTGACAGCCTCCAAAGCCCCCAACAAATCCTGAACCCTGAACCCCCAAACCCAACTTCAGGTCCAAGTGGCTGTCTTTCCAGTTTCATTCGTGTAGCTGCCGAGATCACAGGGATTGCCTTTTCAGCACGCGGTTTTTGGACCTCAACCCTTATGCCAGATTTTATATGACTGGAGCAGCGCTAAAAGGCTATGAGATGCTATGAGTGGTTCTCAAGCGGCTATCAGGGCACCCTAGTCCCATGCTCTGAACACTTGTCAAGAAGAACTTCACCCTGAACGGGTGCATGCATCCTACATTCTCAATTGCTCAGCTATGACGGGGGTCTGCGGTTTAGCACCTCGACTGTACCCACAGGGAATGGGCCCAACATATCATGCCCGAATCATGGGTGCTTCTGCTTCGAGCAATGTGCCTCTTCGCCTGGGGCTTTGGGCTTTTTGTGAAAACGAGCGCCTCTGCCTGAACCCTCCATTATTCACATTTCTTATATATTATCATTATATATATATAACGATATACAGTAGTAGATGGTGTATGATGACTGTGTGGCAGCCGACTGCCTCTGATCTTCCCAGCCATCAGAGGCAGTAGTTGGAAACCCGGGCATTGCATGACGTGCGCCAAAGAATAATCATACTTTGCTCTTGCGGGAATGATGATGGCTCGGTCACTGGTTTTGGAGTACTGGGGTTTAGGGCTTAGGGTTTAAGGTTAAGGGCTTGGGGCTTAGGGATATTAGGGTTTAGGGTTGTAGGGGTTAAGGTTTAGGGTTAGGGTTTTTATGGCTTCTTTTGGGCATGATGCGAAGCAAACGAGACCCCAATACTTAAACACTTAGCCCCCGGGCCACAGCTTTGAACCATGGAAGAAACTCCTAAGACCAGCAATCCAGGGTGCAGAGATTGGTGGGGTCGGGAACACGAACCCTAAACCCTAAGCCCTAAACCCTAAGCCCTAAACTCTAAACCCTAAGCCCGAAACCCTAAACCCGAAGCCGTGGTTTGTGAGAGAGCCCCGACGCCCACGCCTTCTAGCATCTTTCTAGGCTGAAAACAAGGGGCTTGAAGCGCAAAAGGGCTTCTGATGGAGTCGGTTTCTAGGATACCCAGTAAGCTAAGAATAAAAAGGCCTCTCTTTTTGGTATTGGGTAACTTTATAAGGAACCTAGGACTACAAAAAGGGAATAAGGGTACTACTGGGCATCCTAGCAGTGCTGTCTGTGGGGTTCAGGGTTTAGGCATCCACGAAGACGAGTTCCTGTGGCCAAGTCACACTCCACCTGACCATGTAAAGACGCCACCTTAATTAAGCCGAAGCTGGCGGACATGGTTCGGGTTGAGTATTTAGGGTAGGGCTTAGGGTTCAGGTTTTGACTTTACTTGCGGCTTGGGGATTTAGTGTTCGTCTGGGCCACGCCAAACGCACAATTTCCAAGTTGACCATTTTCGGCCTTTACTATAGCTTTCAGGTTTTGGATTTTGGTCTCGGGTTGACGGCTGGGGCTTCAAGTGCGGAGCTTGTCAACAGCTACCACCGCGTACATGAACGTCAGTCTTGTGACTATGTTTCGAGTCCTTTGTATTTCAAGACTGAGTGCTCGCATGACATTTGCCGCGAGTGATGCTGCTGGGTCAAGTCGACAGTCCTCCTAGTGGGCGACCCAGCGGACACTCGCAAGTGAATGAGTAGTGTACAGAACTGCGAGTGACAAAGGCGCCGGGCCTTTCTTGTCTAGTATGTGTCCGGCCAACGCGGTAAGAACGGTACAGATGTTCACCGCGTGCCACGTCGACGCCACGAAGCGGCGTTTGCAAGTCTTGTGTTCTCCCTCGTGCTGTGCACGTGATGCTGTTGTTAGATTTGGTGCATCCTGATTTCTGGCCGGAGTGTGTCTCCCGGAAATCGTGATGAAGGGGATGCGGGAGACCGGTACCCTGGATTCTCGAGGTCGCGTCCGGACGTGCGGCCCCTCCTTGCAGGTCATATCCGGGATCACTAGTTGACCATGGTCTGAAAGTCCCGTGGCCAACGATGTGATAGGGGTGTTTCTTTGTCTGACCTCGGTTTTGGTGCTTGCCGAGATTGGGATTTAATTGAGATTGATTGTACAGCTCTCATGTGGCTCGCTGCACCCGGTGAACCGCTTAGCGCGGCGGGGTGCAGTGGACGGTCTGCGCCACAGTGTGCGTAGACCTTTGTCGCTCGGGCCATTTGTACCGCTTCGCGCGGCGGCCTGGGTAGCACTCTTTGAGGGAGTGTTGCCGTGTGCCGTTTCGTGGACTTTGTTGCAAATTGTTTAATAAGGAGGCGGGTTGTTGGGACGACCCCGTCTGCCCTCAGTCCCACAAGACGAGAATGTTTGAAGGTGGTTTCACTGCGCCTGGCTCTTCGGAGCTTCGAGCGACATCCATCCATCCATCCGCGAGTGATGCTGGTGTTGTTGTGTTTGTTGCTGCGGTCGCTGCTGCCGTTTGTGCTGTGTTCGTGCTATTGCCGCTCAAGGTGTCGTTCCTGCTGTCGCCGGCTAGAACTGCTGTCATTGGTGATGGCACTTCTTCCGTCGTTGTCGCCGTTGCTACTTTGTCGATATCGATGTTGGCAGTAGTGTGGTCATGACGACTGTGTATTCTTGATGCACCGTGGCACTGGCTCGCTTTTGCTCAGTATGCTTGGGCCTCTGGTTAAAGTTGCAAGCATCGCCACCATGCTGCATCTTGTGCTAATTGAGCGAATACTAGACTTTGCGATCCACCTATGATGATGATGATGACGATGATGATGATGATGATGATACCCATCACGACTGCGAACCTTGTGGATATGCTGACTGTTCTGCCTCGTGGTATAGCCACAGCCACCATTGACTCACTTTCCTTGATTATACGTGCTCGTCGTCCTTGCTAGGTCTGTGCTGTTCTAGCAGTACTAATTACTGCAGTATTACTGCCCGAAACCCCTAACCCTAGACCCTAAACCCCAAACCCCTAAGCACCGTTCACTTCTTTCTGGGACACACCCGCAGCCAGTTCCCTAACCGGCATGAGCCGGCGGGCCGCCGAACGCCCAAAATCAGAACACTCCCACCTTCAAAAGGAAAAACAAAAACTAAACCTGGGTTTAGGGTTTAGTGAAACTCTAAATCCCCGAAACCCCACACCTAAGCCATGAAGCCCTCAATCATGAAGCCCCAAACCCTGTCGACACCAAAGAACCCGTGTAGTAGCCCCTTACAGAATAATGGCATTACAAGAACGAATGCCAGAATCCTTACGGAACCCACGAAGGTAAACCTTACAAGCACCCTTCTGGGAACGCTTAAAGGAACCCTTCATGGGAACCCTTGAAGAAACCCTTACATGAACCCTTTATGGGAACCCTTAAACAGATCCTTAAATGGGGATCAACTGAGCTCGTGGCCGTGCCCGCATCACATGCGCTGCAGGAGGTTTCCCCCTGGAGGCTCTGCGCCGTGCCTGACTTAATGTTTAGGGTATGGCTTCGGGGTTGTTTCAGGTGCAATTGGACTTGTCGAACTGCGGAAGGTTTCAGCTACAAAGGCCTCATCTTCAGAGGGCATGGGCATGGGTTTTGAGCCCGGCCTGGAGCACAGGACTCACACCGGTAGCTCTGACCGACGTCGTCCAGGACGGCGGAACTGAAAGTTCCAGAGGGGCAGAGGCTGCAACCTCCCAGAATTAGGGTATATAGGGTTTCAGGGTTTGGGATTTAAGGGTTTAGAGTAGGGTTTAAGGTTTACGGTCTAGGGGTTTGTTTGTTTCGGATGTTGCTAGACTCGATGCGACGCACAACTTCATTCAACGTCAAACTGTGCTAGCGGATAGTCTCAGCTTTGTAGGCGTCAACGAGGTTGTTGGCTCCTACATCAAAATGAGAACCATCCCAGAAAGCTGAGTACCCGCCAGCAGAAAGTTCATGCTGGTCAGCATGTTCCTGGCATGCAACTCAGCTTCGACCGACGCGGAGCCGATCTTCTTGTTGCTCTTTGAATCAAACATCTTGATGCTGTGGATGCCACTCCCTGCAGGGAAGTGCATGAAGGTGTTGTAGCCCTTGTTGGCCGCACTGAGGGCCTCGGGGTTAGGTTTCACCGCTGCGCCCCGCCGGATCCCAGTTTGGAATGAACTCTTGATACTCTTGCATCCCAGCTTCCGTGTTCGATCCGAGTGCCAACATGGCCAGGTGACAGCCATGAACGTACCGAAGCTCCGTGAGCAGGTCTTCGCCCTTGAACATGAGTTCCGACTCGGGAATGTCTCGTGAAGGGAGGCCACACAGTGTGAGGTACGGGGGTTTAAGGTTTACGGTTTAGGGCTTGGGGTTCAGGGGCTAGGGTTTAGGGGTTAGGGGTGTGGGGTTTGGGGTTAGAGTTCCCAGCTTGGGTTTCCGCTTCACTCTTGGGCCTTTACGGTTTAGGGCTGTTGGGGTTCAGGATGTCCGTATTATGCTACTTGGAGCTTCTGGCATCCAGGGTTCCACTACGACTTGGTAAGTTTGTTGCTTTTTGGATTTCTGCAATGCGTGTAGCTGTCAAGGTTACTACTTCAGCTAGTACTACTACGATACCACCGCCACTACTACTACTACTACTACCACTACCACTACCACTACCCCTACGACTACGACGGTTTACGATGCACTCGATGATTCCTGCAACCGCCGATATGGGAGTTTCCGAAAATAGGCTAAATAGGATCCTCAATATAAGGACCCCGAAATAAGGGTACCCCTTATTTTCAGAGAATCCCATATTTGCATTGCTTGGCAAGCGTCAACCCCGAACCCTGAACTCAAGACCTTTACCCGTAAATCCTGTACTTGGAGGTTCACGGGTAGTTCTAAGTGCGGTTATAAGTCCCCAAATATGGGTTATAAGTCTACTTACCCTACTTATAACCCTACTTATAACTATCCATGAACCTCCAAGTAGGCCCTAAACCCAAAACCCTTGTAGAATCCATATAAATCCCTTTAAAGGGACCCTTAAAGGAACCCTTATAACTATCCATGGGTTAGCTACTTCTAACTCCAAGTACTCGAGAATCTCCAAGGCATATGTGCTACACCCTAAACCCTAAACCCTAAACCCTAAACACTAAACCCCCTAAACCCAGGAGGTCTGAAGCCCCATGGAAATCCGACCCCAATGTAGAATCCTGAGAGGTTTAGGGTTTTTTGGGTTTGGGGGTTTAGAGTTTAGGGTTAAGGGCTGAGAGACCCAACCCCCTAGAATCCTGGGTTTAGGGTTTTGGGGTTTAAAGTTTATGGTTTCGGGCTGCGAGACGCCGTAAATAAACCTGCCATGCCAAAATCGTGAAACCAGCTGGGCAGAGGTCTGGGGATTTCGTATCTGAAAGGCCCCGTTAAAGACCAAAAGATCTTAACTTAAGCCCTGAGGTAGACTCTGACAGCCAAACCCTAAACGCTAAACCACCAAACCCCTAAACCCCTAAACCCCCAAAACCCCTAAACCCCTGAAACTCCAAACCCCTAAACCCCTAAAGCCCTAAACCCATAAACCCCCGAACCCTCAACCCTGAACCCTAAAGCCCTAAACCATAAACCCCTAAACCCTAAACCCCTCAACCCTAAACCCTTAAGCCCAAGAAAATCCTTCGCCTGTTGCTTCCTCTCGAGTGCTCACTGCTATGCCCTCTGCATTGGCGAAGCCGAAGCCGGGAAGGCAGTTGGTGTTGACGGGAATCCTTGGCTTTAACACAACAATAGCAATAAGAATAGTACTAATTGCAATAATGATATTATTAGTAGCAGTAATAATAGTAGTAAGAATAATAGTAAGATAATACTAATAACTAACAATGAAATGAATGCAACCCTGACATAAGGGCCTTCATAACTCGAAAAAGGTTTTGGGGGCATACTATATCGTCATAATGAGGAAACCTAAAGGTGCGAATCCCATCCTTGGCTTAAGGGCTGATGATTAGGGCGTACGTCTTTTCGGGTTTAGGGTTTAGGGTTTAGGGTTTAGGGTTTAGGGTTTAGGCTTTGGGTGCAGTCGGTGTTGAGGGGAATCCTTCTCTGCCAGGGTTTAGGGTTATACAAGCAGTTCAACAGGCTTCCTACGGGCTTTAAAGAATGGAATCCTTACCTCGTGCAGGTTTACAGTTTAGGTCGAATGTCGAGCTCGATCTTTTTGAGCACGACAGATTTGTCGTGCCCGGAGCGATTACACAGTGTTTCTTGTCCTGGACCTCATGAAACACTGTAATGCTCCAATATTCCGAACATGTTCAACCCTGAAATTCACTATTAAGTGTGCAGTGCTAAGATATTTCCGAGGTTTCCAAACTAACTTACCATGGTCTGAGAAGCTCAAGAAAGTCCAAAACCTTGAAACACACTCTTGACATACAGATAAAGATATAAACAGGTCGATGGATAGGTGAATAGGTAGGGAGGTAGGTATGGCAGGTAGATGGCTAGATAGAGGTAGATAAAGGTAGATAGACAGATAGGTAGATAGAAAGAGACCCTCAGCGAATACAGTGAATGCTCGTGCTGCGTAATTTTTCAAAGGCCCCTCTACTGAATCATAAGTTGGCAGCAGGTCATGTTGTTGAGCCCGTTTTCTTACTTTTGGTTAGTAGGGAATGGAGGAATGGGGTACAATCATAACAACTATTACTACTACCATTCTTGCATTCCCTACTAACCAAAGGTAAGTTTTTCGGGGTGCTGCAGTACATTCGCCCCAGAGAGGCGCTACGGCTCCATGGTTCATGCAGATCCGTGGTTTTAGGGTTTAGGGGTTTAGGGTTTAGGATCAAGGGTGTAAGGTTCAGGGGTTAAGGGTTTAGGGTCTAGGGTCTAGGGTCTAGGGTTCAAGGTTTAGGGTTTCGGGTCCAGGGTTTAGGGGTTTAGGGTCTAGGGTTTAGGGGTTTAGGGGTTTAGGGGTTTAGGGTTTAGGGTCCAGGGTTTAGGGGTGTAGGGTTTAGGGTCTAGGACTTAGGGTTTAGAGTTTCGGTTTCAACTGTAAACTCTAAGCCCTCTGTTTTTCGAGCATGTCAGAGCCCGTAAACCAGGTACATTAGGGTTCACCCTCCTAGCGAACCCTATAGCACCCTAAAGGAAGAACTGGAACCCTCTGGCACTGTTGAAGGGGCGTTTAAGGTTCAGGTTCAGGGTTTCGGGTTTGGGCTTTAGGCTTTAGGGTTTAGTGACGTGCAAACCAACCCCAGGAACTGCTCTCACTCAAGTCCGGCAGAGACACCAGTGCTCCCACTTCCTCCGGTTCGCAAGCAGCCACTCACAGGAGGCGTTCCTGGGATTGAGACGCCGACAACTGCCCGAAACTCGAAACCGCTTGTCTCAAACATGCCTTCACACATAAACCCTAAACCCCCTGAATACCAAAGCCTAAAAGCCTCAACCCTAAGAAGCCTTAAGCTCGAGGTAATCGGGGTTCTCTGTTTGAACCTCCAACTTAAGTTTAACTGTAGGGTTCAGGTTGTCGGGTTTTGGCTTTAGAAAGGCCCCGAAATCCCAGATATTCGCAGGTGATATAGGGTTTCAAACTCCCCATAATGCTGCTTCTTCAGGAGCCCAAGTCAGGACTTCAGGACCCGACTTGGAGGTTCATGGGTAGTTATTTCAGTCGGGTTATAAGTAGGGTAAAGTTATACTTACCCATAGGCCCCAAAGTAGTTCCTTTTTGGGATGACCTTCTAGGATTCTATATACGAACCCCAAAAAGGAACTATTTTGGGGCCTCAGGGTATATAACCCATGTTAGGGGACTTACACCACCACTTAGGAGACTTTATAACTACCCATGAACCTCCGAGCAAGTCGGGAGCAGAGACTCAGGATTTTACACTTCGAGATATCGAAGCCGCTGGATTGATTCGAGGCGTCCCGACTTGTGCGATCCAACCCGGGACAGGCCAAAAAATGCATCTTTAGATCGAAACTCTCTCTCTCTCTCTCTCTGTCTCCCTCTCTCTCTCTCTCTCTCTCTCTCTCTCTCGCGCGCGACATCAATCCCAAAACGAAAGCGCTTGGAGGTGGCAGGTAGCAGCTGTTGATTCAACCAAGGCTTACATCCAGCGGACCGCCAGTTCCTCAACTCCAAACTAGTGACGAACCCAGAAGTAAGCCCTACACTAGCCCTCGAAGTCCCCTTGTGGTACTTAAAGGATCATGGGACTTAGTAACTAGGGTTATAATTAGGGTAGCTATACTTATAACCCCAATTAAGGTACTTATAACCTTACTTACTAAGTCCCATGATCCTCCAAGTAGCGCTTGTAGTAACCCTTACAGTAGACCTTATGGTACCCCTGCGGTGCCTTCATTGTAGCCCTTACCCCCTGTCGTGACCCCCCTTCTGAAATCAACACAAACCATCACTTGGAGGATCATGGGACTTAGTAAGTAAGGTTATAAGTACCTTAATTGGGGTTATAAGTATAGTTACCCTAATTATAACCCTAGTTACTAAGTCCCGTGATCCTTTAAGCAAGGACCGCGAATGAAATTGGAATCGCCGGCCCTGAAAAGCTCCTGGAGGTTTAGGGTTTAGGGTTTTAGGGTTTTAGGGTTTAGGGTTTTAGGGTTTTAGGGTTTAGGGTTTAGGGTTTAGGGTTTAGGGTTTTAGGGTTTAGGGTTTAGGGTTTAGGGTACTTATAACCTACAATACCCCTATAGCAACCGAAAAACCGTGGTAGAAGCCCATGAAGAACTCCATAAAAGTCCTGCAAACCCTTCCAGAACCCTGGAAGCCAGCAAAACCATTGCAGACACTACAGAACCCAACAAAAGCCTATCAAAACCGATGCATTGGGCGCAGATTCGAAAGCCAGACCCTAAACACTAAACCCTAAACACTGAGCCTAACATGAGAGGCTTAAGCCCCTTGTACCCCTGTTGTGATGGGGCAGCAACCCTACCAAAACGGAAGCTTTGGAGCCAGATTCGAAACCCTAAACCCTCAACCCTGAAGCCCTACGCCCTGACCCACCTAAACCCTAAACCCTAGCTCACAAAAACCCTACACCCTCAACCCCAAAGCTCTAAGCCCTAAAGCTCCAGCCCACCTAAACCCTTCACCCCAAACCCCAAGCACTGGAGCCCTAAACCTTGGGTACGGCCCCCACTCAGTAATGGGTGAATAATATTCATAATATAGATAAAGTAGGATCTTAATAGTAGCCCTATTATAGACTCTTACTGTATGGGGGCCGTACCTAACCTAAACCCTAAACCCTAACCCACGAAGAAAATCCCTGCCAAAGATCCTGGAGGCAACCTTTAACCCTAAACCCTAAAACCTAGGCCCTGAACTCTAAACCCGACCGAACCCGAAGCATTGGAGCCAGATTCTGGAAGCTAGCTCCGCTCGCGACGCTCAGGAGGAGCTCAGAGACCTGCGATGCTTGGAGCATACTCTAATACACTGTATTGTAAAATATGGTATATTATGATATATTGACATTATAAACCCTAAGCCCTAAGCTCTGCTTGGAGCTGCCCAGAGACTCCAATATCCCTGAATTAAGGATTACCCAGGGTTCCTTTCAAGGGATCCTAAAAGGGACCTATAGGGTTTAGAGTTTGGGGAGTCTAATATCCCTTAATAGAGGAATATACCGTAAATTATAGTGAGGATCCTACTATAATTTACGGTATATTGAGCTTTGCTTGGAGCTGTGCGCGAAGCTATGAGTGGGGTTCCTTAAGGGATCCTTCAAGAGTTCCTTTAAGGGATCCTTTAAGAGTTCCTTTCAGGGTTCTTTAGGATTTGGGAGTTTTGGGTTGAAGTTATGAGTGGGGTTCGGGTTCCCTTGACTGTACTACAGGGTTGCAACATGAGCTGTTCTTTAACGGCTCTTAGGATTCAGGGCTTAGGGTTGTAGTTACAAGTGTGGTTATAAGTAGGTTAATCATACTTAGAAACATTTAAAACACATATTTACGAGGGGGACTTCCAAACCCCCACTTAGAACTACTCATGAACCTCCAAGTGAGTTTGAACATTGTCGGACTGTTGGGCTTTCGGCTTCGGGGCTTAAGGGCCGTTTACGAAAGCCTTTGGGGCTTTGGGGTGTAGGTGTAGGGCTTAGGGTTGAGGGTTCAAGCACCCGCACCCAAGATCTGTCGAAACCCTAAACCCTAGACCCTAAACCCAAAGCCATGAAGCTCGATTTGTCGGCGCTCAGATCGATCTCAGCTTTCCGCTTCAGGGCTTTCAAAGCCCTGCTTCCATCGGCCTGAACAGTCAATATCTTCCCCGAGAAGAGTGCAATTGCAGACTGCAAAATGCGACGCAAGGAAGGCACAAAAAGTGCCCCCCGGCCGCGACGGCGGTCGGCAAGGCCTATGGCCAGGCTACGAGGTAGTTCTTTCACGGCGCCTGCCATTGGGCCCCCGCAGAGTGCAATTTCACAAGCTTCGTCGATCATACGATCCACACACTTCACCGGTTCGAAGCCATCACTGGCGAGTAGGTCTGTCAGTTCCTGCGCCCGCTCCTGTGGCAGAGCCAACACACGACCCGATCTGGACACTGATGAAAGAAGCACTCTATCTTTGGGCTGTGGCTATGGTGCACGAAATAGTTGCGAAGTAACGGGAGAATACCCGTGATGAAAGAGGTTCCGCGGTTAGATTGATATGACTATCAAAACTTATGCAGCCCCACCTGCTGAGTCCACCTGCTGAGTCGGCGAAAGGAAAGCAATGCGGAGCTATCCGCTACTGTAAAACAAGCCTTAAGACACCCAAAGCCACGAAGCTTGAATTGCCGGCATTTGGAGGTTCGGCAACTGACACTTCATTTGCCGCGGTTGTGGGGCGACGCGACATAGGTGCTCTTTATGACCATAGGGCTTGATAATGCCGATGTGGTATCACCAACTGCCTAGACCTTGAAGCCTAAAGCCCCGAGCCCTTGTCAGAGACTCCAAAACCCCTTAATTAGGGAACATACCTTAAATAAGAGAGGATCCCTGAAATGATTTAAGGAACATTCCTTAATTCAGGGGTTTTGGAGTCTCTGGGTTATCTGTATCTCCCCGGGTTCAAAGGCCGAGCTCCTTTCTCAAGAAAATTCGAGTTTAGGGCTGCGGGTCTAGGGTTCGGGTGTAGGCTTTAGGGTCTGGGACCTTTTCCCATCTATGCGGTCTAGGTTTCAGGATATTTTTACGGTCCGGGGTCAAAAGTTTAAGGGGTATGCAAGTTTTATAAACCTCACGGCCGCCTGCACGACTAATAAACCCTAACCCTAAGGGTCTAAAGGACCCAATAAGTAGGCACTCGGTTTTCGGATTGTAATTATGTAGGTCAGGATTTTGGAGTGTATAGGGTACAAAGTTCAAACTGTCAGAATAAGACTATACCTTATGCGTAAGAGCTCCGAAAATTGAAGAGGCTGGGTTTTTATCCATTAAGTTTGGAGATTTGGTAGTAAAGCTCCGAAAATCCCAGAGTCTGGATTTTAACCTCTAAGCTAGAAGCTTTGCTAGAAGATCTCCGACAGTTGAGAAGTTTGGGTTTTAACCACTAAGTTAGGAAGATTAGGGCTCCTTCTTCACCCGACCTGGGCTAACTCAACCCTGAACCCTCAGACCCCTAAGACCCCTAAGACCCCGAAGACCCCTAAACCCTGCTTGGAGGTTCATGGGTAGTTATAAGTGGGGATGTAAGTCCCGAAAAATATGATTTATAATCATACTTATCCTACTCATAACCCTACTTATAACTACCCATGAACCTACAAGTAGGACTCCTAAACCCTAAGACCCTTAAAGGACCTGGGCTAACTCCATCTCCATCTTGTCCAGGAAGGCACGCACCTTTCGCAGGGTTTAGGGTTTAGCATTTAGGGCTTGCAGGGTTTAGGTTTCGGCCTAAACCCTCAACCTTCAAGCCTAAACCCTAAACTAAACTCGAAGCCCTAAGCGTTTAGGGCTTGCAGGGTTTGGGTCTTGCACGGGGTTGGACGCGCCCTTTTTAGGACTTCTGTATGGGTTCGATGCACGAAAGCATCCCATCCCCGCAGCCTCAATCCTTGTCTTCAATCCCCTCAACCCCTAGAACCCTAAGGGTACTATAAGGGATCTTTAAGGGTTACTATAAGGCATCTTTAAGGGTTACTATAAGGGATCTATAAGGGTTACTATAAGGGATCTAGTAAATCCATAATCAGTAATCCTAAATCCCTAACATTGTGTCCTCAATTTCGATTTGAGGTATATACTACATACCTTAGTTATACCAGAAAGAAGGCTTCTGATTAATATGGAAGGTGCAATATGAGAGAGAGAGATATATATAGGGAGAAAGAGAGGGTCTAATCCGTAGTCTTAGTCTAAGCCGTTTGTTGAGTTGTTGGGTTTTCTTCCTACTTCGTACCGCTTCTGAGATCTCAGGGGGTTGCATTGCCAGCGCGGGTTTGAGGGGCTACGGGATGTAAGGATTTAAGGATTATGGGATCTATGGCTTACGGGTGTTGACGGCCTGTAGGCATTGAAACTAAATGGGTGGTTGTCAAAATTATGGTCCGCTTTTGGGTCCCTATTATAATACGGCACCTGTTATTTAGGGCACCCAAAAAGGGACCTGAACTTTGGCAACTACCCAAATCGCTTTCGGGATTTCGGCACCTGGGGCGCTGCCGTGCGCAATTGCAGGCTGACCAACTTGCCGATGTAGCTGTCTTCGCCTGTTTTGGTTTCCTAGGATACCCAGTAACCTAAGAATAAAAAGGCCTCTCTTTTTGGTATTGGGTAACTTTATAAGGAACCTAGGACTACAAAAAGGGAATAAGGGTACTACATAGCAGCCCTTTACAGAACTTCTATAAGGGAACCCTACCCTTATGGATCCCTCATAGTAGCCCTTATAGAACCCTTATAGATCCCCTTAAGGAACCCTTAGGTACCCCTAATAAGGGTACTACTGGGCATCCTAGTTTCTGTCTTCGCCTGTTTGGGTTTCTCTCTTCGCCTGTTTGGGTTTCTGTCTTCGCCTGTTTGGGCTTCGGGTTTAGGTGCGTTTAGGGTTAGGGCTTAGGGTTTAGGGGTTGATGTTTAGGGTTTAGGGTTCAGGGGTTTAGGGTTTAGGGGTTTAGGGTTTAGGGCTTAGGGTTCATGGGTTTAGGGTTTAGGGTTTAGGGGTTTAGGGTTTAGGGTTTAGGGTTTAGGGTTTAGGGGTTTAGGGTTTAGGGTTCAGGCGTTTAGGGTTTAGGGGTTTAGGGTCTGCAGATTTGATGGTTTGGGGGATTTTAGTGGGGATTTGGGCCACGGAAACATGAACCCCAATTTCTGAGTTCTGACCCCGAAACTCCTGAACCCTAAAGGCACATCCAAACTCTGAACGCCTGAACTCGAAACCCCTCAACTCCAACTAAACCCGGCCCTAAACCCTGAGTCTCTAAACCCTCACTACAGTATAGGGGCCTTAATGATTAGAAAAGGGTTTTGGGGCATAATATACTATGATTATAATAAGGAACCCCAAAAGAGTGTTGGTAATTACATTACTTACCCTACCTGGGGTTACAGAGCTTCGGGACTCCCTAACCCCTAAGCCCTAGACCCGAAACCCGTTTGGGGCTTGTAGGGCTGGAATTTGGGGTTTTAGGTTTTAGGGTTCAGGGTTCAGGGGTTTAGGCTTTAGGGTTTGGGGGTTTGGGGGTTTAGGGCTTAGGGGTTATAGGGTTTAGGGCTTATAGGGTTTAGGGTTTAGGTCCTCTGAACATTGAACCTCAACTTCCACTTGAGTGCTCCGGTGCCCAAAACTCTCCGAAACCCAGACCTGGTTCAGGCTTTAGGGTTTTGTGGTTTTAGGTTTAGGAGTTCGGGCTCAGCGTTTAGGATTGAGGGTTTCGGGCCACGAACAGACATGCATGTGAGAGTTTCCGAAAATAGGGGGCCCTTATACAGTACCCTAAATCGTAGGTCGTAGGATCCTTGTCAAAAGGACCCCCAACTATCGCACCCCTAATTGTCGGAAGCTCCCATTTAGCTACGAAGTGGGGTCGCAACCACTGCTCTGAGGGGCGGCCCCCGCACTAACTACAAGCAGGCAACATGCCACATCGGCATCGCAGACATGCGACAAGTGTGCGATCACAGGAATTTATGAACGGTCCCTGAAGCCCACTGCGTCTACCCAGAACCCCAAGCTCCAAACCCTGAACCGCAATGGAAGAGCCCATGCCTGTGCCACGAGTGACGAGAATCTCTGACCACTAAGGATACAACCATCACAAACACCTGAACCGGGAAGACCCTTAGAAAAATCCATCAAGCGAATCAAAACAAACCAAAGCCCTCAACACCCCATAACATTCAACAGCTCTTGCCTGCGGTTCTCAGATTCCCGGCTTCCCACTCACTGGCGATGTGACGTGGGAAGACCATCCCCGTCGGATTCAGCTGTCTCGGCTGCAGGTTAAGTAAAATGTGGTAGTGATGTTTTGGAGTTGAGGATTTACCTACTAGGATACCCAGTAACCTAAGAATAAAAAGGCCTCTCTTTTTGGTATTGGGTAACTTTATAAGGAACCTAGGACTACAAAAAGGGAATAAGGGTACTACTGGGCATCCTAGCCTAAACCCCTAGAAACTTCCCCTGTCAGGGCTCCGTCAGATGATTTCATGTATGTAAGTCCTTCCAAAGTCGGCTTTGTGGGGTTTGGGTGGGGCTTAAGGTTTAGGGTTAAGGATTACTAGAACAGACCATAGTATTCTATGACACTACGATCTACTACAGCATACTTTAAGGTTACGGTTGATGATATAAACCCTGCATTACCCGTAATAAGGACTGTACCATAATTCCCATAGTCTAGGGCCATAAGGTAATGCAGGATTCATACTATCATCCTAAACCCTAAACCTTAAAGTACCCGTGTAGATCCGTTTAAAGGAACCCTAGGATTCACATCATCGACAGTATGGGAGTTTTGGAGCTTTCGCGGGTTTCGGACGTCGACCTCCGGGCCGAAACCGCAGGCTTCGAGGACTCAGGGGTCTAAGGGGCTCCTTTAAGGGATCCTTTGAGGGATCCCTTATGGGCTCCTTTAATGGATCCTTTATGGGTTCCTCTAAGGGATCCTATATGAGGATTGAGGGCTTTAGGGTTTTAGTAGATAGAGTTTAGGGGTTTAGGGTCTTAGGGTTTAAGGTCTTCGGCTTTAAGGATTTTTTTAGGGTTTAGGGTCTTCGGGTTTAGGATTTTTTTTAGGGCTTAGGGTCTTCGGGTTTAGGGTTTACGGTGGAATAACGTGTAGGCGATAGCATCTTGCAACAAGGTTGTGTCGGGTGCATCGTACTATGGCGATGAGCTGTCAAGGCCTGTCTATAGAAGGCGGTTCCTTCGGCCAAACCGCCCAAACCCAGTCCTTTCGGGGTTTTATCGTCCGTTTCCTTCCGTCAACAGGGCAGAGCAGGGCAGGGCACGGCACGCCAGGGCAGGGCACGCCAGGGCGGGCAGGGACGGCTCCAAGATGGTATATACTTTAAAGGTACCAGGACGTCTAAACCCTAAACCCTGAACCGAAAGCCTGTTCGGACCTAAACCAGCATTTTCTTCTGCATGATCGCAGGCTCGGGGTGGCTTTGCGAAGGGCTTTGTGGGAAACATGGGCTGTCTTGTACAACACAGGACTTCTGTTGATGAAAAATCTTTGGACCAACTACGCCGCAACAACTCTCATAGTTTTAAAGTTCTGAAGGAGGTGCAAAGTTTTGTCCGTCAACATGGTTCAAATTCCGACAAGTTCCGACATCATCTCCAAAAAGGAAGGCCGAGTTGCATATGCGTCGCATCGGGCTCCCACCAATAGAAAAGCGTCTTGTAAGTAGCCACCTGGTGACATGCACCCGTTTTTGGCAAGCCCCCTTTCCGGCGGCTCAGGTCGCAATTCCGGTTTCGGTTTGCATGGATGTAGGTCTTATGATACTTGAAGCTAGACAACTAACACTACTTTAATAATGCGCGTTTGTGGTGATTCTATCTGGACCATGACTGTCGTCACCGATTCTACCGCCTGGATGTCCTGCACGGCACTGGCCGTCGAACACCTCTTTAAATCTGGTCTGGGCAATCGTAGTGTACAATTTAGTGTTTAGGGTTCAAGGTTTAGGGTTAAGGGTTTAGGGTTTCGGGCATAAGCACCTGATGCACGTACAAGTCCCAGGTTGCGGCAATGCCGATCGCGGCAGGGAATCCATACGCAGTGGCCCACTGCATCTGAGCATCTATAATCCAACCATTGCCTGTGAGAACAGGGGTCTTGGGCTCCCTGAGAAAGAGTAAGGAACCCTCAGAAATAGTATTGGTAATTATTTAGGCTTCTGCATTAACTAGGGTACTTTATAGAGGTCGGGCCGAATGGTTCACAAACTTCGGGATTGGGTCTTTGTTGAAGGGAACTCGCGACCCGACGAAGAAACAAACCTCCGGATCGTCTTTGCCCCGCACCTGCCGCAATGATGGGAATGCAGCCGGACGGGTCGTGGCGACAGGCAGGCGAAAGCCAAAAATAACCATCTGGGCAGTAAGCGACATAGCCGTCGGGCGTCAGTGTTACCCCGGCCTCATCCCCAGTGTACTGCACATAGAGATCCATCCGCACGGTATTCACAAATTCGTTCCCTGGGGTGTCACACGGGAAAAACTCCGACTGTGGGATATCTGTAAAAGAGTCGAAGTACTTCTTGGGATCATGGTGGCTCGTGTTGTAGCTCCTGGAGATCCGTCGCGAATGGGCGGGGCGGCGGGATTCGGGTTCAGTGTTTTTTAACTCTATGCCTTGAACCCCAAACCCCCAACAGAAACTCAACCCTAAGCCCCTAAAGCCTAAACCCTAAACCCCAAGCCCTAAGCCCTAAAGCCCAAAACCCCCAAGACCCTAAAAGCCCGACCCTGGGGTAGAAGACTGTCAGACCTTCAGAAGAGTTTGGGGCTGATCCGGCTTAGGGATTTTAGGGTTTACGGCTTTAGGATTTTAGGGCTTTAGTGCTTTAGTGTTTTAGGGTTTAGGGCTTAAGGTTTTTAAGGCTTTAGGGTTTTAGGGCTTTGGGGTTTAGGGTTTGAGGGTTTTGGGGCTTTAGGGCTTTAGGGTTTAGGGTTTTAAGGCTCTAGGGTTTTAGGGTTTATAGGCCTTGAGGCTCAGGCATGCTCAGAGTTCAAGGGTTCAGAGCTTATTGCGGGTTTCAGGTTGAACTTCACACACCCCCCATCCCATCGAAGTCTAGGGCTGGCCCTAACCCCTAAACCCTAAACCCTAAACCCCAAACCCTAAACCGAAACCGCCGGTCCTGTAGAATTCCAGTGCTAGTCCGACGTCGTGATAAGCCTCGTCTCTGACGTGGGCCTTCACGAAGAGGTTGTGGTTCCCGAAGTAGCCCATGGTACCCATGTCCTGGTGCGCTTAGGGCTTAGCGTAAGGGATGTAGGGCTAGAGTTTCCGGTTTAGGGTTTAGGGTCGCGGGTTTTGGATTTGGGGTTCCAATCAAGTTCCCGCATGTACCGGAACGTTGGCGGCAGGATCCAGGACTGCTGCGAACATGCTCTCCCCATGTGGTTAGTTCTCTACTAGGTTGGCCCCTTAAAGCCTCTGAAAAATATTCGTAAATAGGGTCCTACTAAACCCAATAAGGGAAAATATAAAATGTCCCAAAGGCCTACCTAGTCTAAAATCCTTTCCCTTTTTGGACCCCCGATATAGTACGGCACCCTTAATCTCGAGGCTAACATGAACGCGGCACTGCAAGCACGCTTTCCCGGCCACGCCGAGTACAGAGAGGCTTGGCATTTCCAGGCGAGCATGAGCCCATGTATCGGAATTTACAATGAATCGCACGTTCCGGAAGATGTGGACACGCTTGAAACAATTGCTATCAAATCCGAAAACAAACGTGTCAGGAGAGGGTTGTCGATTCCGAGCACGAATCCGTCACGGCACCCCACATATAGTGCAATGTTCGGGGCGTGGCGACATCCGCCAGCCGCGACAGAGAATCACACGAAAACCTCACCTCATGCGATCCATCAAACATCGAGGATCTTGTACCTCATGAAAGATTATGACGGCCGCACATCATGCCTTCCATGCAAGATCAATCCAATCCTATAGAAACCTCCACGGAAAAAGACAACCTTCTCGAAGAAGTCGGTGAAAGCAACAAGCCCTTAAATCCCAAAACATCCCCAAACGGTGAATCCTCCGAACTTGGAACCCCACGTTCCGACCTTGCTTGAGAACTCAATAGTCCACGGGTTCAGAGTTTGGTACTGGAAGTTCGGGTACCTCAAAAACCAGAAACAAGAACCCTGAATAGCTGAATCCTTAAGATGAGGACGCCCCAAAAAACCACTCCTGATTTTCAGCAAACACCTCGCAAACACCCGCTCCCCCCCCTCTGCCGACAACAAGCATACCTCGCCACTGACAAGCCCTTCCACGACCCTTCTACAAACCCCTTTAAGCTTCAAAGCAGCACATGATACCCTCATTAACCTCCTTAAACCCGAAACTCCGAAACCACAAACCCGAGTCCTCCGGGCAAATTGCAGGGTGCGCATCTCGAAAAAGTGGATAGAGAGTGATCACTTCGCTAAGCCAGCTCTCTACCGCCACATGCCTTCGAGAGCGGGGTTCAGGGTTGAATATAGAGGCCGTAATAATTAGAATAGGGTTCTGGGGCCTCTTATACTATAACTATCATAAGGAACCCCCCAAATAGGATAGGTAACTGTTTAGGCCCCTATATTGGGGCTTAGGGTTTCAAGCCTTTCCTGGGAGAAAGAGAACACCCCAAAGGAAATGTGGCTTTGGGTGCTCTGGGATCAGGACCTTTTGTAAGAGAAAGTTTTCTTCCTTGTCGCCCAACATATCCTCAACCCTTTGCTGCCAATTTTAATCCCTCGTAGCATGCCCGGCTTGGTTTAGGGTTTAAAGTTTAGGATTCTGTCGAGCTCTAAAGGCATCTGTTGGCCCTGCTAGGCTTCCTCGCCACATGGGCTCGAACTAGTCCCGTGTAGGCAGATCGGGCTCCTTGGGGTTGTGCATGAGGAGTTCTCTCGTTTAGTTAGGGTCTCGACGCCAAGAAGGACCCGAATTTGGAGAACCCTGAAAAAGGCTCATGTAGCCAACCAAGCAACTTCCGCTCCACGGTTGACGTGCAGTCGAAATCCTGAGATGCGGAACCACAGCAAAACGAACCGCGAAGTTTCAGGCTTTGCTGCATCGGAGCGACATGTTCCAAAAAAGGGAAAAACAAACCTTACTTGTCCAGCATGCTAGAGGAACTGAAGGTTGACGTAGGGATGAGAGTGCCCCAATGCTTCAATAGGCTAAAGACAATAGGCTCAAGATTACTTACCCTACTAGTGCCCTACTGCTCAACCAAGATTTGGAGTTCAGGGTTCAGGGTCTCCGTTCTTCGATGTCATGCCTGCTGCTCCGCTATACGCAGCGGGATTTAGCTAAACTCTACTAGCGACCCAATCCCACGCCCCTAAACTAGACCCGAAACCCCCCAACCCACCAAACCCCAAACCCACAACCCTGTGCTCATGCAGGGACTCCCGCAATTAAGGAACATACCTTAAATCATATTAAGGGTTCTAGTATAAGTTCAGGCATATTCCTTAATCTAGGGACATTAGAACCCCCTAAACCCTACACCCTAAAGATCCCTAAAAAAAAACCCCCAACAGATCCCTTAAAGGAACCCTAGAAAGTCTATGCCCATGGCAGATACGAGTCTGTACATCCAGCCAGGGCCAGAAGTCCCTCGAAGACGGTCACCGTCCGTTCGGAGTCTAGCCTCGCATGGTAGCCGAGGACCTGATTGGGTTTAGGGTTTATAGAGGGGCTTAGGGTTTTACGGGTTTAAGGGTTAGCCGAGGACCTGAAAGGGGAAAGGGTTTAGGGGCTTAGGGTTTGGGGTTTAGGGCTTTAGGGTTTAGGGCTTAGGGTTTAGGGCTTAGGGTTTAGGGGCTTAGGGCCCAAACCCGTTTAGGGTTTAGGGTTCAGGTGCAGATCTTGAAATCTTCGAGACCAGACACCCGAACGAACTCTGTGAAACCCGTCGTAGCTGGTTTAGGACACTACAGAACGGACTGCAACCGAAGCACCCTGCCAGAAAGAAGTTGGGGCTCAGGGTCTGGGGTTTAGGGTCAAGGTTTAGGAACCCCGCACGTCAGACCCTAAACCTCGGTCAAGGTGAAGTACCGACACCCCCCCACAGAGACATATGAACGAAAAGAATATAACATGACGCAAAAAACAACATACTATGAAATTCAGTCTTCTGTCAGATCAGATGAGATAGAACCGGACAGGGCAGGATGAGACCAAAAGAATAGGTTCACAATAGAATATATTACAACACAATGCAGCACCAAATTGCGGCATATTGTGTCTACGATACAACTTGAGACCAGATAGGATGAGACCACATACCATAAAGATAAAAGACGAAAAGGTAAGATATGATAAATCAGGTTAGATAAGATGAGACGAGAGACGAGAAGAAGACCAGGTAAGGCAACATAACCGACGAGAAGTTGACACCAAGGAAGATATGATAAAATGAGATAAGACACGAAAAGATAAGGCAAGATAAGATGGGATAAGAGACGATCAGATAAGATAGAATGGGACTAGATCAGATAAGGCGAAAAGACAGAAGGTGAGAAGAAATGAGGCAAGCTAGACTAGAAGATAAGAATAAGACAAGGTACTATCACAGTAGCACAGCATAGACTGTCTTATCACATCATACCATATAATGTACCCCAAACCCTACACTAGCTTCTTTGCCTCCTGGATCAAGATGGCCGCTATCGTAGAACCCAGCTCTGCAGAGGCCCAGTCGTAGATCAGCAACTGGACAGGGCTGCTGCCACTGTCCAGTTCAAGATACTTCCTGAGTTTAGGGTTTAGGGTTTAGAGCTTTTAGGGTTTAGGGTGTAGGGTTTAGGGTGGTCTTTGCTTTCATAGGAGTCACCAATGCTTAAACTCCAAAATCTAAACCCCGAAACCCTATGTGTACAGCTTTTGATACTTGGTGGTGGGTCCAGGGGTCGAACTGGCCCCATACCCTAGCCCTAGACCCCAAGACCGTGAACCCTAAGCCCTACATCTTAAGCCCTAAGCAATGGATCCTAAATGCTGAATCCCCAACCCTAAACTTAAGCATAAATCCCAAAACCTAAGACATAAACACAACAAGTTTCACCCTGAAGCCCTAAACCCTACACCTTAACCCCTAAACCCCTAAACCTTAAACCCTAAACCCCTAAACCCCTAAACCCTAAACCCCTAAACCTTAAACCCTAAACCCCTAAACCCTAAACCCCTAAACCCTAAACCCCAAAACCCCTAAACCCTAAACCCTCAACCCCTAAACCCTAAACCCGAAAGCCGTGCAAGGAGCCGACTGGATTCCGGAACGGCTTCTGGCAGGCACGTGCCTGCACTTGGCACCAGGATCAGGGCCAAGCACCATACCTGGGTTTAGGGTTTAGGGATTTTAGGGTTTAGGGGTTTAAGGGTAAGGGGGTTTAGGGTTTGGGGATTTAAGGGTTTAGGGGTTTAGGGTTTAGGGTTTGGGGGTCTAGGGTTTGGGGGTTAAGGGTTTAGGGGTTTGGGGGTTTAGGGGTTGGGGGTTTAGGGGTTTAGGGGTTTAGGGTTGTAGTTTTGGGGCTCTGCAAAGTATTTATGAATAGGTACCTCTATAGGAACCATAAGGGAAATTAAAAAGCTTCCCAAATTGCCACCCAGATACGAAAAGTCTAAGCATCGCTTGAACTGCTTTCATGCCTTCGGCAAACAGCAGCTTGAGCCAACATGCTGCTGGGGTCTAGGGTTTAGGGTTGTTTACTGCAAGGCAACTGGATAAGTACCAATAGTATTAAAAGCGGTAACAGATCTCTTCTAGTCAAACGAGGCCCCAAAGAGAGTGCCTCGATTGTCTGACTCTCCCTTTCAAGGTATCACCCTAAACCCAAAACCCAAACCCAGCGCCCCAAATCCTCCCGCCCAACCCCCCCCCCCCCAAAAAAAAAAAAAAAACAATGCACTATGGGGATCGGAAAAATTTCTGATAGTACGGCCTTGCAGCGCCTACTATAACCATAGTATACTATCCTTGCGATTAATACTCCCTTATCGCGCCTAATATAACTATAGTAGACTATCCCACCAACCCCCGGCTCCAAGTCTTTAGGCACCCATGCTGGATTCCGAGCACCTCTGCTCCTCAAGGTGCGACGAGAACAAAGGGATTGAGCCGCTCCCGTGAGCTCCCCAGAGCTCTCCAATATACCTTAATTAAGGCATATACCTCAAATTGTAGTAGGATCCCTCATATGATTTAAGTAACATTTCTGAATTAAGGGATGTTGGAGTCTCTGGGTACCAGCTTACATGAGCATCCTGCAATATTTGCACAGCAAAGAAGGACGGACGTAGTCGTGGTGTTCCTGTACAGAAATAGTATCGCTGTGCATGTATATACACATATATATGTATGTACACAGTACAGGTAAAGCATCCCTAAGGAAGACTATTGGCAACTATTCAGCCGCTATACCGGCTTTGGGTGTGGCAGGCCTTGGGTGTAGGGTTGAGGGTATAGGATTTAGGGTTTACGGTGTAGGTGTTGCTTCTCTGTAAAACGTCTCAGTTTTTAGGGTGGGTTCCCACTTAGGTGAGGTTGAAGTCAAGATGTGTGAAGAAAGGAGCCTTACGGCTGATGATATCAATCCTGCATTACCCATAATAAGGAATAGGGGATTTATATCATCTGCGGCCGATCCGTCCTTTTTCCTCGGCAGAAGCTTTCTTCTCCTCGGACCCTTAGGTTAAGGGTGAGGCATTAGAGAATGGGATCAAGGGCTGAGGGTTTCAGAGACCCTCCACCCTTAGCTCTACCCAGAGAACCCAATACCCCTTAATTAAGGAATATAGCTTAAATCATAATATGAAGCCCTATATAATTTAAGCCATATTTCTTAATTAAGGGGTACTGGGCTCTCTGGGTACACTCAGAGCTTCGAGTTCTACGTCCGACGAAGCAGAGCCATCGCTCTGCGATTCGTGAAACCGCACGGTGTAAACTGTGAAAGCCAGAGGACCCCGTTGTTCAGGGGTGGCTTCGCGTTTTGGGGGTTTTGGGGATTAAGGTTTAGGGTTTAGGGTTTGGGTTGCGGGTTTCGCGGATTTGGGGATTTGGGGATCCCGTCAAGCAAAGACATGGGAATTGTGGCTTAGTTTGTTGGGTTCGTCTTCAGGGACCCAATGTAAGGTTACCCGAATGAGGCCAGCATATCCTCAAGTAACAGAAAACCCAGTTCAGGGTTTAGGGGAATAACGCTTTAAAGGAACCCCCCAAAAATATAGGCAACTCTTCGGGCCCCTTCTAGTACATCCACCCAGAGCTGGGGATCCCCCCGGCCACGACCAACAAAAGGCCTCAGAGGCTCCGGCTACCTGCAGCCCTCACGGTTTAGGGTTTTAGGGTTTAGGGTTTAGGGTTTAGGGTTTTAGGGTTTAGGGTTTAGGGTTTAGGGTTTAGGGTTTAGGGTCCAACCAACCCAATGCTATTGCCAAACCGGAGTTGAAGTAGATTGTATTACAGCTTGTAATTATGCTGTATTGCACAAACCGTATATGAAAAACTACAGGTATATATTGCAGGTTATATTTTGCACATTAAATTAAAACCCCGTCCTGTATGTTCCGACAAACCCCCGCTTTCATAGCGACGAGGTTTCAGCCTTGAGGCCTGCGATAGTCTCCTCCCAGGGTCGCAACTACAAGACTCGCTGGAAGCATCAGGCTTGGGTACTGCTCCCATACAGTAACAGTCTATAATAGGGCGACTTTTAAGGTCCTACTATATCTATATTATGAATATTACCCAACTGTTACTGAATGGGGGCAGTTCCCAACATCAGGCCCTGAACACGAGTAATGCGACTAGCATTGCTAATGCCGATGATGGTGGTGATGATGGGGATGGTGGCGATAACGGCGGTGACTGTGATGAGATGACCACCACCACGATGACGATGACATCGGCGATGCTGCCGATGAAGATGATGAGGATTATGCTCTGATCACGAACATAAAGATGGTGATAACGATAACGATGGTGGTGATGATGGCGATGCCAATACAGACAGGCACAGCAAGATCAACAAGATCTTAGCCGCAGCAATGATACAGAGATGCGACGCTAGCGAAGTTGACATTGAGAAGGAGGACAGCATGGGAATGAGAACCGGAGTGACAGACACTGTGACAATGAGCAAAAGATCTCGAACTCTACCCTAAACCCTGAACCGAAACTGCAATCCCTTTTCCTAAACCGAGACTCTCATCGCTCATCGATCTACATGGAAACGAACAACGAGGGCCACCTGAGAGTTATGAGTCCTGAACCGTGAGACTCCGATATCCTTTAACTATGGAATAAAACCTTAAACTAAAGCAGGATCCCTCATATGATTTTTTGTTATATATATATATATATATATATATATATTGCTTGATTAAGGGACATTGGAGTCTCAGAAAAACCCTCATATGGTCCCACATCAGGCAACTTGGATTCCCCGACGCCCCTGACACCCTGATCAGTTGAGGGGGCTTAGGGATTCAGGGTTTTGGGTTCGGGTTTCGGGTTTAGGGGTTTAGGGGTTCGGGTTTAGGGGTGAATCCTACAGCCTGAGGAGGACCATCCAGAAGAGGCAACACTGCCCTCGCACACCTACATACCTCCAGGCATACTAGCATTCATTGATTCATTCATTCACTTTTGCTTTCCACGATGCAAAGGCGTGACTTTGCTACTCAGTCATACATTCATTCATTCGCTCATTCATTCAGATATTCAACCATGCATTCATTCATTCTTGGGTGCATGCCTGTACACACACACACACACATGCACGTACATTTTCGTTGGCATGCACATTTCATGCACATGCAGATTACAGGTATAGATGCGTGGACATAGATAGATAGACAGACAGATTGGTTCACAGGTACATGCATAAAGAAAGAACGGTACATGGACAGATACATAGATACATGGACAGATAGACACGTAGATAGATACATAGATACATAGGTACATGGAGAGATAAACGGATAGTCAGCGTGTATGACAAGTGTATGAGAGAGAGAGAGAGAGAGAGAGAGAGAGAGAGAGAGAGAGAGAGAGAGAGAGAGAGAGAGAGAGAGAGAGAGAGAGAGAGAGAGAGAGAGAGAGAGAGAGAGAGAGAGAAAAGAGAGAGAGAGAGAGAGAGAGAGAGAGAGAGAGAGAGAGAGAGAGAAAGAGAGAGAGAGAGAGAGAGAGAGCATGAAACGGTGGTCAGAACCGGAGAACCCCTCCTCCTAAACCCTAAACCCCCAAACCCCAAAGCCCCCAAAACCCTAAACACCTGAAAACTAACCCCCTCCTCCAGCCGTCCCAGGCCGTCACGCAAAGTCCTTAGGATCCTCGGCTTCGAATGTTTGCAAAACTTGCTGTTTTCAGTTTTCCTGGTTAGGGTTTACGGTTTAGAGTTTGCCTAAACCCTGGACCCCAAAACCGAAACCCTAAATAGAAAGCCTCAACCGAAAAACAAAAAAAAACTGATTGGGGCTGCAGATTTGTCGGCTAGGCCTTGCGAGTGCGCTTCTGTTGCAGTCCGGGGTTGCGGGGCCTAAACCCTAAACCCTAAACCCTAAACCCTCAACCCTTTGTCGAGCACCATATTGCCAGATGCGTAGAGCCGTAAAGAAGGAGGCCGCAGGAGAGCTATATGGGTGGTTGCCAAAATTAGGGTCCCTTTTTGGGGTACCCTCAATATTAGGTGCCGTACTATAATAGGGACCCAACAAGGGACCATAATTTTGACAACTACTCATATCATGGTCCTTTTTGGAAATCGTATGTCCGGCCTCTACGTCTCAAAATGCCTTGCTTAATTGTGATGCATCAGGAGTAGGATTCAGGTCATGCCCTGTCTTCGCCACGAGGAATGCAGGAATTTTAGCGATGTTTGTATATAGGGTGTTGGGCAGTTCCAGGGATGTGAGAGGTCGGGGTCAGGGTTTAGGGTTAGGATTTGAGGGTTTAGCCGGTTTCAAGTCTCAGGACATCGGCAGGCAGCGAGATTGCCGGCTGTGTCAATTCTCAAGTGCGTTGTCTCAGTACATGCCTAGCATCGCAGTTGTTCTTGCTAGTGCCATGTTCTATCAACATGTACAGGACTCAAAGGCTTTTCTGCTGGAATTGTGCCCGAGACTCTTCATCTGCTGCAGGGCGGAGACAGACACGTCTCGGAGCAAGATGTCCAGGAGCCCTTCTGCGAACTCCTCACGAGTCACGACGCCGGACTTGTCCACATCCTGAGGAACATTAACATAGGGGCCTTCTAATAAGAATAGGGTCTTGGGGCCCATTATACTCTAATCATAAGGGCCCCTATTTCCGATACTCCTAGTGTTTAGGCTGTAGGAGTCAGAGGGGTCGGGTTTAGGGGGTAATATAGGGGCCTTAATACTTCGAATAGGACTTTCTGGGGGTATATAATACTATATAGACTATACTTATCAGAAGGAATCCCTGAAATAATGCTGGTAATCATTGAGGCCCCTTCATTCTATCCTTACAATAGCCCTTATAGTAATCCTTATAGACCCCTTTAAAAGGAACCCTTTAAAGGAATCCCGTATAGGTAATTCTTCAGGCCCCTCTAGTAACTAGTAGAGTTCACTTCAGCCTCCAGGGCCCAGAAGCTCCCAAAGCCGAGCCACCAAGACATTGAAGAGCTCGGTCATGCTGCTCACGGAAGCCTGGGTTTATAGGGTCCTTAAGGGAGGTGGTTCAAGGGGGGAGGGTACAAGGGATCCTAGGGAGCCCCCTCCCATAAGGATACTATAATGGGTTCTGTGTTGAGTGAGGAGTTTAGTGTAAGTTACCATAAAAAGGAAAGAGTGTAGTGTAAGTTACCCAGCTAAGGAACTAGGTGTAAGTTACCGTAAGAAGGAAACCACAGTAGTTGCTGTGGATCCCTCTTACGGTACCTTAAACTTAGTTCCTTAACAAGAGCCCTAATAGAACCTTTATGGAACCTTTAAAGGAACCCAAATCTCCCTAACCTACACCCTAAACCCTAAACCCTAAACCCCCAACCCTAAACCCTAAACCCCCAACCCTAACCCTAAACCCTAAACCCTAAACCCTAAACCCTAAACCCTGACCCTAAACCCTAAACCCTGACCCTAAACCCCCAACCCTAAACCCTAAACTCTAAACCCCCTAAGCAAGAGCCCAGAAGCACGATCCAGGATTTGTTCTGGAACGTGCCCGGCTTCCTCAAATCGTCGCATCTCGTCGATGGCAAGCTCGCCACTTCCGTCCTAGAAACGCCCAGGAAACCCTGAAACACCCAAGGGTTTAGGGTTTTAAGGTTTTGGGGTTTTCGGGTTTAGGGTTTCGGGTTAAAGCCCGAAGCCCTGAAACCCTCAAACCCTAAATCCGTCCTCGTCCGCTCGGTCGAAGAGCTCCAAGATCTCCGGGAGCATCTGCTGGGTGTTGGCGCTCCGCATCCTCTCCTCGCTGTGGTTTAAGGTATTTGAACCTTGGGTTTAGGGTTTAGAGTTTATGGATTTAAGCTTTAAGCCCTCATGAGAAGCGAAAGAAAGCCATGATGACAAGGACTTTTTGAGCAATGGACTGTGGCCTCTCCATGCAACAACGAACAGAACAACGAAGACGGGTGCAGGGTTAAGGGTTTCGGGTTCACGGCTTAAAAGCATTATCGGTTATCTGAAAATGCGACATGTCATCAAGCAGACTTGAAGATGTTCAACAAACCCTGTCCAGTGAGTCCCGAGGGCCACCACACTGAGACTCCAACATCCCTTAATTAAGGAATATACCTTGAATTGTAGGGTCCCTAATACTATTTAATGTATATTGCTTAATTAAAGGATATTGGAGTCTCACGGCAGCTCAAATCTCACCCCTGACTCCGTGCCTCTACGACCCTACTATAGGAGCCTTAATAGTTAGAAAAGGGCTTTGAGGGATATTATACTGTAGTCATCATAAGAAACCCCCACAATGGCATAGGTAGTTACCTCGGCACCTGTCTTATCAAACTTTATCTACCCCTTGCGAAACGCTGCAAAGCTTATGGGAAGCCTGAAACCGCCCTGCTCACTTCACTACCACAAGCTCTTCAAGTCCTCCTCCTGTCGCAGCATGCGAGCATTCTCTAAGGTGCCTTCTACCAAAGCAGCGGTAACCTTAAACGAGCAGGATTACAGTTTGGAGCTTGGGCAATTGCGGTTTCGATTGTAGGATCTCCGGCTACACCCACGAGGACGGATTTAGGGCTTAGGGGGGTTTTAGGGTTGAGGGTTTGAAGGAGTTTGTGCACGTTGGGCCAATTGCGCTAATGCAGGGCTCAATAATTAGAATAGGGTCTTGGGCCCGGTATACCATAGTTTTAACAAGGAAACCCCAAAAAATAGTTTTCAGGCCCTACATTATATCCTGTTTATAGCCATTGTAGTAGCCTTGATAGACCCCTTTAAAGGAACCCCCAATATGGTATAGGGAATTATTTAAGCCCCTATATCTGGAGTATGGCCCGGCTGCCCGTGGCACACTACCACCGAGTGGAGTAGCTTTGCAGTGTAGGGTGCATTCAACGCTTTCGGATCTTAATATTTACAGAAGGGTGTTTTTGCAGTTCTACACCAAAGACATGTTAGGTAACCCTGCGCGGAAATACTACGAACTATGCAGGCCCTTATATCATTCTGATCCTCACCGCGCGGACTACCAGGACCTGAACAACCGAGCATGCCCCTCCCTGCATGAGCCAGGATTTAAAACATCCCGAACATGCTTCCACACATGAACGAAAACGCAAACCTCCTTTTTGTAGAGGTCTTGCCATGGAATATAACATGTGTCTTCCATGGATCCCGCCGTCCCCAGCCCTCATGCTCGGGTCCCGGGAGTTGAAAGTCCGAAGAAGCAGGGAAATGGAAAACAGAGATTAGGGTTTAGGAGTGAGGGTTTGAAAGTATGATATGGAAATGATAAGGATATGAAAGAAAGACCACATACTTTCGTCTGGTTGCCACGTTCCGCTTCTTATCTTGATCTGCAACCATGTATGTCTTCACACTTTATGTCGCAACTGTAGCACCACACCGCAATCTGTTTCCGAGATTTTTCCAAGCTACATGAGCCCTCCCTCCCTGACCAGTTCCATTATGGCTAACTTAACTGGTCAATGGGAAAGGGCACCTGGCGAATGGCACCACAGCTCCTCAACCCTGCGACTTGCCGGGTGGTTCAAGGCACCAGATTCATGACGGAGGTTTGCGGCTTCTGGTTTCGGGTTTAGGATTTAAGGTTGAGGGCTTCGGATAGTTCAAGGCACCAGATTCATGACGGAGATGGAGACGATGGCGATCAAGAAGGCGAAGTACAGCATGAGCCAGGGCTGGACCCTGACCCGATCGAGAGGGTTAGGGCTGTGGGCTTAGGTTTAACGCCTAGGGCTTAGAGTGTAGAGTGGTCTCGAAAAAAAGGGTCTGCTGGGTCTCTCAGTTTCCTGACGTAGAGCTTGTCCAGTGTTGTTTACAGGGCTCAACGGGTTAAGGTCGATAGGTTGAACGGATGAGCAGTTGAAAACTTAGTATGCAAGCCCATCATACCGCAACAAAAAGAACATCAGGCACCATCCGGAGAACTTGCAAAGGGCGAAGATATTCACAGAAGTGCACTTCAATGCTATGTAAGTGCTTCAAGATCACCTGATGCCTGTGGCAAGTCCCACTGCGGAAAACAAACTTTTTCTAGTATATCATTCTATGATTCTATGAGGCCTATCCCGGGCTTCAGGAGTGTTTTTTGGCGGGGACCGCGACTTCAGGGCTTTAAGGCTTTCGGCGTCGGGTTTCCCAAACCGCGAGAGGCCGGCAGCCTTAAAACGAAAGGCATCCAAAGCCCACACCCGGAATCGAAAGCCCTAAACCCGAAACAGCAATCCTAAGCCCTAGCCTGAGAACCCCGGCACCTCACCAAGGGAAAGTAGACAGCCGCGATGGAGTCCAAGGTGACAAACTGGGCTAACGTGATCATCGTATAGCCCAAAGAACCTCCCGCAAGAGGTTTACGCGCTTCTGGCTTCGGGGTTTACGGTTTCAACCCTAAACCCTAAACCCCAAAACCCCTAAACCCTAAACCCTAAACCATAATGTTTCAACTGCGATAATTGGTGTTATGGTTTCGACTGTAGGATGCTCCTAGATTCCTAGATCCTCTTGAACAAAAGCTGCGTGCGATTCTGACCGTGGGGGGTAGGGGACTATACTTCCTTAAATAGGCCTTACTACTGTTGATGATATAAATCCTGCATTATCCACAATAAGGAATATACCATAATTCCCATAGTCTAGGGTTCTTAAGGTAATGCAGGATTTATATCATCAACCGTAGGTCGTTATTATGTGCATTAAGGCCCCCTACCCCCCCTCCCCCTACCCCCCTAAGGGACCCTATGATAAACCTCAAAGACAGTGAGGACTCAAGCAGCTCCGTGGCATGACGGCTGCAGGATTGGGGGCTGTAATATAGGGGCCTTAATAATTCGAATAGGGTTTTGTGGCCCATTATACTATATTTACAATAAGGAACCCCCAAAATAGTAAGTATTGGTAATTATTGAGGCCTGTTGACGGGTATCTGGCTCGTCAAGCCTGTTCGGGTTCTCGTCGTTCGTAGGTGCTTGTGACGCCATACCACAAACCAGTTCTAAATCACAGAAACAGCTTCATGGCCATGGGCTCACTCACAAGAATTCCCTTTTGTCACGCACAACATGCTCTGCATAGTTAAGGCTTGCGTACTCAGTACTGCAACTGCCTAGCTGTGACCTAAAGTGGCTCTATACATGGCTTCTGCCGATCATGCGTGGCTTCTGCCGATCATGCGTGGCTTCTGCCGATCATGGCCGTCAAGGCCACCGCGAGCCAGAGGCTTGCGGTTTTGCATCATTAACACTTCAATCGCAAACGCAAGTGGGATTCCGACACTCCTCCTTGACCTTTCTTCCCTTTGGGATGAAGGTCACCTACTGTCACTTCGGGGTACCGCTTGCAAACAATACCGACAAAACATTCTTCTGTTGGTTCGTACACCCCTTAAGGCGTGACAGTCAGGGAAGATGTGCACTACCCCTGGCGTCCTACTACTAGATGTTGTCAGCTCTATCTCGCACAGCTCCTCATGGGTAAGTCCAACCTTGCCATGAGTCTGTACTCCTACTTCCCGGGTCCTTGGTAAACCAACCTCACCATAAGCATGCGGGGCAGTGGATCGGGTACCAGCACAAGGATGGGAAGTCAAATATGCTGGTGCGGAGGACGAGGCAGACGAGGCAAAGGTCGCAGGATGGGATGACGAAGCCGGTAGAGGTGGAGGTGGAGGCGGTGGTGTCACCACTGTAGCCCCTTGTAAGTCCAATCCAAGGGTTGAGGAGGTGGGCTCATTGGACACGTTCGTTTGTCTTGCATCAACATACACGACTGGCCTTCTTTCATCTGAACGTGTTGTGCTCACCACACCATCATCTGAACCCTCGGAACCCGTAAACCTCCTCCTCAACGTCGGAACCTCTCTTTCAATAGCACGCCTAACCGCATCCTGCCTTCTGGACCTTCTAGCTCTATCCGAGTTATCCTCCTCCTCGACCCTTACTGCGCGTACCTCAGCGGTCTCGCGTGGTCTCAGGTTTCTCAGGCAATGCTTTCCAGCTTCCCACACAAACAAAACTGAGAACACCAACATGGTTATCACTGCACTTAACTCCAGACTCAACGGTTCATCTTCATCGGACATATCCATAGCTCCTGAGCACACAAGTTGAGAAAGGAGCGTTACAAGTCCCATCAGCTTACTCAGTGCTCCTGCAGTGGATGTTCCAATTACTTCACCTGACTCTACGGTGGTGACCTGTGCAGCATAAGTAACCTCAGCCTCACCTGGCACCTCATTGGCAGCCTGTGCGGGATGCGTGACCTCAGCCTCACCTGGCAACTCGTTGACAACCTGTGCGGCATGCGTGACCAACGTGGTCTCTGCATCTACTTGGTTTAAATAACCCGGGGGGCCTAAACCCATTAGTCTACTAAGGTATTCATGTCGGGGACCGGGTAAAATCTTAGTCAAACCGTCTGCCAACTGCACGTCACCTGGGCAATGTTCAAGCTCTAGCTCAGAACGCTCTTGCATTTCCTTCAAGTAATTTCCTCTTACTCTGAGGTGGCGTGTCCTGGAGCTACCGTTACCTTCACTCAAGGCTATAGCTGCAAGATTATCAACCCTCAAGAGTATGGAAGCCAGCAAGGGGTTGAGCGTTCTCATTAGTGCCAAGGTACTCTGTCCTAGCACCGTGCCCTCAACAGCTGAGATCAACTCAGATTCTGCTGTGCTCAGTGATATCAGTGCCTGCCGCTTCCCTTTCCAAAGGATGACTCTACCAAGGTACATTATAAGTACCCCTGTCACCGAGTGTCCTCCATAAGGTGCAAAAGAGGCATCGGTATAGACTACAATTCGCCTTGGAGCGGACAGGTCAGGGACTAAGGACAACCGATGGTGTCTAGTTGAACCTATATATTCCAACAACCTTAGCCCTATTCTTTCAACTGCCACGGGGGCACGCATGCACCACGAACTCATCAAACTGACAGCGTATCCCAGATCCACTCTTGTGCGTTGAGTGATCCACAAGAGTTCTCCGGTAATCTTCTGCGCCTTCTTGAGAGCCTCCGGTCCATACTCCTCCTGGTCAGGCTGCTCCTTAATCCAGTCCTTTGGAAGAGGACTCAACCTTCTCGAAGAGTTAAGACCATAAGATCGAAGAAGCTCCTCAATGTAACCAACCTGTCCCAGCTCAAAGCCCGTTGAACCTGAATTATCCTTTGCAGCATGTATGTCCACACCCAGGAAGGTGATCGGGTCATGCTCAGTCGCTTCCTGCAAAGGCGTGCACACCCACTGGGCAGTGATATGAGAATGGAGAGCTGTGGCCTGTTCCTTTGTGGAAAGTATCAAAATGTCGTCCACGTAGACAAGCATGAAACCACAGACTTCACCAGACTCTGTTTCTATAAACCACAAATTTGACTCAAGGTCGCACTGCCTTAAATGCATCTTCACATCATGGCAATTCCACACTGCCTTCTTCAAAACACCATCACGGTAGTTACCCCACCAACGGGGGCTCTGTCTGAGTCCGTACATAGCCCTGTCTATTGCCCAGTACTCATCAAGGTCCACTATGCCCATATCATAGAGAACCTTCGGGGGCTTAAGAAGGATACGGACCTTCTCATGAGACGGGATTGGGGCAAGCAGGAATGCGTTACGCACATCCGTAACATATGCACCATACTTCCTAGAACCGGATTCTATGAGTGTACCCCGTAACACGTCCGCCGGGACACCACCTGCATAGACATCGATACCGGCCTCACGAGTTTCATAATTCCCACAACCCACTACTCTGCATTTCCTGCGATACAGAGACGCCGCAGATCCTGGCTTCGCTGTGAAAACCGTCTTGGCAGGAATGACCTGTGTGCCCGGCAACTTGAGCTCCCTAGCAGCCTCCTCGCCTTTCAACCTTCTGATGGCCTTCATCGTCACCAAAGCTGTGACTTCAGTTTGGGCAGCTTCCTTCCAGCGCGACAAATGCTGTCTCACCTCACTCGGCGACACATTGTGCACTACACGAAGTGCTGTAGTCAATGACTCAAGGATACGCTCTACATCCTTCGTGTACATCCCTTCATCAACCTTAGCCACTGACGCTTCACGGTTGACGTCCGCCTCATTACTGACTAGGCCTTCATGCAAAACCCTTGTTGGATCACTGGTTGGGACACCAATGGTGCACATACTACTCGACCCAGTCGAACCTTCTGGCAACGCAACGGCCTTACAGGCATGATCTATACCACCTGACGACCTGGGTGACTCCACCGGATACTCTGGCTGAATCTCAACGGGAGGCAAACCACTACTACTGCTGGCATCTCCCGGAGTGCACACAGGCTGAGCAAAAGGGGACATACTGTTGAACATCGCATTTTGCACGTAGTAGTTGAACTCTTCTTCATCCTCAGCATCCCATATGGCCTGGAGTCTCATAGACTCTGCTGCGTAACCTTCCACTCTCCTTGATGGCTGGTGGCTCTCGTTAGAGCTGCATGAACCACTGGGTTGTTGCACACCTATCAACGGTGACTCCACGGGATACTCTGGCCGTTGAATCTCAAAGGGAGGATCTGAACTACTGCTTGCAGCACCGGGTTGTGGAAGCGGATTCCTATCGGGTTCTAAACCGAAACCTTGCCTCTGCTCTATTTCTTCCCAGTCCTCGTAGTAAGGGTCAGCATTCTGGGGCCTACCACCCGTATTGATGCCTAAACCCCTTACTGGAGGGTCTGGTGACTTCTCGAACAGGGTACGGTTCTGCAGTGACCAGGGAATCTGGCGGTGCTTTCTATCCAGAAGGCGAACTTCGCCTGTAGTCAGAGAACACAACGATGGGTTATCAGGTCTCATTGTACCCTCCGGATGGATTCCCCTCATAGCCATTTTTGCCTCTTCGACAGGTATCCCTATCTCCACCAAGTCTTCAACGTAGAGATAATACAGGTCGGCGGGGCACTCAACACCTACCACTGTCAACCTTCTCAACAACCAGGGTACACCCCTTTTCTGAAGGAACACCGCCATACTTTGTTCTTCAAGATTGACTTGTGGAGCCCACGTGGGGTCCCTTCCAGACGGATCCCATCCTATGAACGGCGTATAGCTGTCTTCCTGAAGATCTTCGTCCATCGCATCATGCACTACATCTTCTTCCTCCTCCTCTTCCTCGTCACTATCATCACTGCTGTCAGAAGAAGAGCCTTGCTCAAAGGTTTCACGCACCATGCAAACTTCTGGGTTTGCCTTCATAGTTTGAAACATGAAACCCATGGCCTCAAGTCTTGCCTTGTCATCTTCATTCAACTTGTGGGAACCCAAAGGGCTATACCCAACTAGTACCCAGTCCTGGGTTCTCTGCAGAGCGTGTCGCCTCCTTGGATCAAAGGTCGTAATTGTCTCAGACAAGTTGACACACTCCGATGCTTCCCAGTCTGGTTCCTCACTGCTCTTACCCTTAGATGGGTCCTCAGGACTAACCCAAAGTCGTAGGGTAGAAGGGAGATAGGCAACATGATTCCGTGAGTGCCATTCATTCCTGAAATCCCGGTGCACCGGCACATCCTCAGCCTTCATTATCATCAGAGCGGTCCAAGCGCGCGGAGTTGAATCATGCTGCGACAGCCTACCTCGCAGGTAACTATTCAGGTACTTTACCGTTAGCGGATACTGCTGCGAGACCTTGGTGATCCCTCTATTTCCGCCATGGCAATAAGCACCCAAGACTAACCTCCCAGAAAATTCTCCCCGTCTGTCCGAAACTGGGTGAAGATTCCCACATAGGCTATCGACAACCTCAGCACAAGCCTTATTGCTGAAACAATCCTGAGCGATGGCTTCAAAGGAAATGTGCTCCGGATCCTTGGCAACATCTGCTTCAACGAACTTCACAGAGGTCTTAAACCTCAACCTTTTATCCGGAATCCCAACATGGGGTCCCTCAGTAGGCTCAACTTCCAGATCCTCATTCTCCTCCTCCTGCAATGGCTCAGCTCTGGCTTCTTCCAAGGCTGTCGAATCAATCACGTCCTTCCGGAAGCCCTTCGATGAAACCAAAAGGTTGTCACCCGTAAGCAACACGTGGCCCTCCGGGACAGTTAGATGCGGTGCCATATACCTAGTCATAACCCATCTGGTAGAGAGGTCCTTGAGTGCTCCAGAGGGTCGCTTCAGCTTATGCAGCACTTCCTGACCGAAGTGTGGTAAGGGAGGCTCATTGAACACGGTGCGGTTATGGGCCTCAGTCGCCCAGCGTGCCGCTAGAGGCCAAAACCGTATATCCACAGCGGCTCCGGCTATCAGCGTCTTCATTCTACTCTTTAGCCAACCAACGGTGCGCTCGGCCAGACCATTGGCTTGCTTGTCTGTGGGAAGGCTATTCTGAACACGCACAGAGTGTTCACTGAGCCATCTTGCAAGTTTCGTTGAAATAAATTCGGTACCCAAGTCGCAATGCACTATACGAACCGGAAACTTGCGGTTTATTCCTAGGATCATCTTCTGAAGTCCCTCCGCTACATCTACACCAGTCTTGGACCGCAACCCAACGAAATATCTCAAAACCACCATGTCGACCGGTTTCTTCAGCTCCTCCACCATAACCTCCAAGTCATCACGACTCATTGGGGTTTCTTCCTCCTTGGAATCTGGAGAAAGGTGTTCTGGATCCTCTAGGGGAATGCGATCCAGTTCATCAAACAGGGACAAAGAGTCCTCCTCGGGAATCACCGTAGAGCCTGGAATCAGCTTCAACTCACTTGGAAATGGTCCATTGTCTACCTCCACAGCCTTCTCCTCAGCTTCTTCACATCCCGAAGGCACGTAGTCCAACAACTCATCCACTTGTTCAAACTGCGAATCCTTATTCCCCTTGGGTTTACACACCTTTCCCTTATCTGGAAGGAGGGCCTTAGGAACTCTAAACGCACCGACTAGGCCGTATTTTACATGTGGGTTGCCGGACACTGATTGCTCATCCTTGCCCGACTCATGCTTGGGAAGCGGACCGAATAGGTCTACTGACAGGGCGAACGCCTGCGGATACTTGACCCGCCTGTGCTGGATGCCGGGCGCGGCGCCCTCCACGCATTGCCGGCAATCTCTCCGATACGGGAGGTGCCCGTTCGCTATGTGGGCGCGCCATGCTTCAAGCTCATCAGCCTTGAGCTCACCGATCACTGGTTGATCCTTTACATCAACACTCTCGGCACCGGATCGAACCCACCTTTCATCACTGTCAGAAGAACTTTGCTGCTCAAGAGATTGGCCTTTGGTCAGACCAGCAGAGATAACCCTATCAAGCTCTTCACACGACGGCATGGGAACCCTGCCTGACAAGGCGCTGGCTACCTCCTTGCGCAACTGCTTAGTCCATCTTCCCTGGGACCCAGAATCAAACAGACGGACCCCATTGCTCATATGCTCTATGGGCTGCCTTGCAAGGTGCTGCAACTCAAGATTGGTAATCACAGTGGCAGGGACCACATGGATCCATTCAGGGTCCACCGCACAGGGAGAGAAATCATTCATCATCGACCAGGTCTTCCAGGCTCTCTTGAGGCCCTCATCACCAAACGGCAAATTGGAACTGCGAAAGTATGGCACACCTCTACCCTTTGCAACCGAGGCCAAGGTCCACAGGAACATGTCCTGTACCGCTAGAGGAGAGCCCACTTGGAACGCATCCTTTGGTGGGGCAGACAACACCCCAGCAACTCTGCCTGAAGCCGCAGCCCAGAGGAGGACTGACCAAGCTCCCATTGCCTTACGAAGATCCCAACCCTTACCTCCCGGAGATAGGGTGTCTACTTGCAGTAGCTCGCAACCACATTCTTCGGCCCATTGCCTCAATGGATCGTCTGGTACCGGTGTTCCGGAGCATAGATGCACGATCCATCTGGTAGAGGCAAGGAGAGTTCGGCGACGGGCACGCTTTAGGGGAAGTCTCTTTAGAAGTTTCCTACCCACCTCATCAGACGTACCCCCTATATGTTCAGCTAACGGAGTCTTCATCTCATCTGGCAACTCCTTCAAATACGGCTGGGCGAACACTGCCCTCAGCGCATCTGAACGCTCACCTGTCTTGATGTACGCCTGTACCGCTTCCGTTGGATTCAGCGGGGTAGTCAGCATATGCAGATGACACTCCAAATCCTGTACATCTGATTCAAACTTTCTCAAGCGCACGTCTTCGAGCTCCCGAATCAACGCTAAGGCCTGGGACTCCTGTATATAAGGGCAAGTGTTCTTAGAAATCCCTGTCTTCAACGGGCCAAGAGTAGGGTGAACAACCTTCAGTCCCGCCCGACGGGACCATGACACGGTGCAACCCAAAGACTCCACTAAAGCTCCCAACGGCAATATGGTCTGAGGGCGCTCATCTGAGCCAGTTGCCCTATCCGGAACCACAAGGGTACCCCCGGCTGTTCTCAGCCACTCTGCCTGAGCATCACCTGCCAAGGTAACTGGGACCGGTTCCAAATTCCGGAGTTCACTGGAGTACCCGATCACAGCATGCGTGGCCCCGCTGTCTAGGAGTGCCCTTACATCATCATTATTCTGGGATAACATCTTCTTTGCAACAGTCACAGTCTTAACCTCAAAATCTCGCGCCATTGCCCTTATACCCTCCAACTGTGCACTTAGGGATGCTAGGGAAACCGGGGTTCCCTGGGCGGTCGGTAGTCCTTGCGAGGCGGCAGTCCCATTGGCGGTTGGGTTTGTACTGCTCGGTGACGCTGGTCCTGGGCTAATTGGCGTAGGAGGACTGGTTTCCACTGGGGTTGCTTGCACCGTCACGGGAGGCATGGCTTGCTGCAAAATCAACGCTGCATCTGCCAGCATAGACTTGATCTGCTGCTGGTGGGCACCACTATTATTCTGAGGTGGTGCGGGTGGTGGTGGTACCCCTTCTGACGTATTCTTGGGACTAGCCTTAGGTTTCGGAGCAGGTTTCGCTTCCCCTCTATCACCCGGCCTAGCTCCGGCTTTACAATCAGAAGCCCGGTGCCCTCTTCCCCCACAGTTACGGCAGCGTTGCGGTCGCTCGTTCGCTGGAATGGCATTCCAAGCATGATCATACGTACAGTCCGCTCCCTTCTTGCAGCCTGCCGTGCTCAAGAAGAACGTACACTGTGGCCTGGCAGGAGGGGCTCCTTCAGCTTGACCCTGGGACTTAGGGTTAGGGGAAGCCTTAGGAGGTGGCCCTTTGGGCGGCTTAGGGCCCTTTGGCGGCGGTGATATCCCGCCGGGACCTTCAGATGCCTCTACACCCTTAATCTTCGGTGGGGGCGCCACGTTCCCATCCTTCGGACCTTCCCGGGACCCATCCTTAGGACCTCTGTGGTTCAGCATCTCGAACTCACTAAGCAGCTGGGCATGAAGCCTTCCTACCTTAGTATCATCTGGCATACTGTCTATCTGCAGGGTATGCTTTATCAAGTTCACACGAAACGCAACATCAGGGTTATTGGCCAACGCCTGCTTGCAAATCTTATTCAAAGCCTTAATTTGCAACGCTGCGTCGGGCAAGATACCGCCGAGTTCTGTCATGCGAGCCGTCCAGCGCTTCCACTTCCTCAAGCCTTCCACGGTATCAGAAATGTGGACCCCAGCCGGGGGATCGGAGATACTCTTGAGTCCGATTTCACGCTCACTAAGACTGCCCGGAGCATAGATGGTGTACAACTTGCGCATGAGAGGAAGGAGCCCACTTACTCGCGACGCGCTCACTTCATCTTTAATGCCTCCTGGAAGAGCTGCGAGAATCATGGTTTCGATTCTCCTCGCTACCCTAGCCCACTTGGGTCTCTTAAGGTTCTCCGAGGGGCTTGGCTTAGAGGTCAGCCTACCAAGGGGGTCTAGCTGGAGGTAGCGGCTATACCATACTCCAGCCTCCTGAAGCGTACACTCCCAAAGCTCTTCGCTCGTGTCACTTATGTCACTCAAGGGCGGTCTAGAGCCGTGAATCCAGTCTGCGAACTGAAGGCAAGACTCCGGTCCTGGGTGAGGTAGCTCAGGCAAGGTCGTCACACCCGGTTTTATTACCTCGGGGCGTTCCTTATCGGTGGCCTTAGGGGTATTGGCAAGTTCTGAGACTAAGCCCTGTAGCTGTGCCATCCCTGTGAGGACCACGCTCAGAGGATCGACAGATCCCGCATCACCAGAACCTGTGGCCTCAGGTCCCGCTGCAGCATCGAGCTGCTGACTCTGTACCTGATCATCATCATCAACCACCGGGAGAAGAACCTGAGGTCTACTCGCCACCTGGGGAGGCGAAGGTCCTGTAAGTCGGGAGGCATTGATGGAGTTCAAGGCCTGATGCTGTCTCGGGCCCTCAACGTATGCCTGGTGCGCAACTGGGTCAAAAGCCTGTGGGTCATCTGACACAACACCATTAACCTCGCGGTGGAATGGAACCTGCGGTGGAGGAGGAGGCGGTGGTGGAGGTGGTGGATAATCAAAATCCAAAGGAGGCGATGCCCTTGCATGCTGGTTACCACCCAGAAGAGAACCAATACTTCTACCAAACCACCCAAATCCAGGAATTCCACCTTGGTTTACCAGAGGTCGGGAAACAGACTGTACACCAGACTGCCTACCCAACTCTACTCTCTGCCGCAACTCCACATTCTCAGCTGTCAAGGCCTCCAGGTGTTCACGCAATCTTCTCGTCTCTGCGTCATGCGCTGTCATGACCTCAACCAACTGTCGTCTCACTTCTGCTTGTATGTCACTTGAAGCTGTAGAAGCCGCCGTGCCCGGAGGCACTGGCTCACTCGCAGGAGCATACAGGTGCGGGGCTGCCTCCTCTAGGTTCCTCAGTCTCTGTAATGCCTCGTCATCAAAGAGCGGGTCACCAGGATTCTGAGGATCACTACGCAAAGGCTTCCCTCCATCTACAGTCACAGAAGATCTCACAGACGCATACTCCACTCCATCACCTGCAGATGGCGACGCCGCCCGTGGTGGGGCAGGCATTGCCCCGCCTACAAACCCATCCACAACAGCCGGTAGTGACTGAACCACTCTCCTCATCCCATCTAGGAGAGCCGGACCAGCACCTCCTTGCACTCGTAGGTGGGCCCTGTTGTCAATTGATCTTCCATCCGTAACAGGAGCCGTGGGCTCGGAAGCCACAGCCGCCGGCAGGACACCCGCCGGAACCGCTCCACGATCCACTTCTTCCCGTCTTCGGTAAATCAAAAACGACTCAGGTCCACTCTGTCTCGCTGCTGCCGCAGATGGATCAACGGTTTCACCATCCATGTTCTGATGGCCCCTTCCGTCAGGGAAGGTACCATTCACAGTCGTCTCTACCACGACCCTCGCCGGAGTTCCCACGCCGGCAGCACTTGGGCTACTCATAACCTGTTGACGGGTATCTGGCTCGTCAAGCCTGTTCGGGTTCTCGTCGTTCGTAGGTGCTTGTGACGCCATACCACAAACCAGTTCTAAATCACAGAAACAGCTTCATGGCCATGGGCTCACTCACAAGAATTCCCTTTTGTCACGCACAACATGCTCTGCATAGTTAAGGCTTGCGTACTCAGTACTGCAACTGCCTAGCTGTGACCTAAAGTGGCTCTATACATGGCTTCTGCCGATCATGCGTGGCTTCTGCCGATCATGCGTGGCTTCTGCCGATCATGGCCGTCAAGGCCACCGCGAGCCAGAGGCTTGCGGTTTTGCATCATTAACACTTCAATCGCAAACGCAAGTGGGATTCCGACAAGGCCCTATAGTATGAAACCGAGAGACTGAAGTTGCTCTCGAGGATCGCGTTGGTCACTGGGTCGCTTTTGAAGCTGTCGCTGGTGGCGATAAGCTCCACGCCGAGTACCCCAAAGACATAGAGTACCTAGGACGAAAAGGGTCTATTTCATTGCTTCCATGCTGCTTCGGTTTCTAGTTTCGAAACTTAAGTTTCAGACTGGGGTTTCAGGCTTCGGTGTTGTGGACTAATTTCTTCGCCTACATCATAGACTACAGAACCCTCATAGTAACCCTTCGATATCCTTAAATATAACCCTTTACAAGGAACCCACGGCTGTCACGCTTCTGCATCTCAGGTAGGGGTTTTCCGAGGCTGTTGGGCACCGCCGATCCCAAATCCTAAACCCCAAAACCTAAACCCTAAAGCCGACCCTGCCCACCAAGACCTAAACGCTAAAGCCCCAAACCTGAACCTTGAAGCCCACCGAAACGGAGGGCACCACATTCCACACCTTCAACATCCTCGAAACCCCCGCCCACCAGCCCTGATAGTGCCCTTAAAGAGCCCCAAAAGCACTTTTCTCGAACCCTTGAAGGTACCCTCCTAACCCCCTTTTTCTAGGAGGGGCTTTTCAAGCCAAATATTAGTAGGTGAAGTCCTCTTAAGCCCAATAGGAGCAAATTTGAAATGTCCCAAAGCCCTACTTAGTTTTCCACCGGAAGGACCAATGCCAAGAGGAGGAAAGTGGAAAGCACAGTGTCCAGGGAGGTCATGAGCCCATGCACCAGCCGCCAAAGGGGCCGTACCTGCTGTAGGAAAGCCGTGTTCAGAGGCTTCAGGTCTTGGGGTCTAGGGTTTAGGGTCCGGGTGTTCAGGGTGTGAAATTGACCATACCCAACGACAACGACGACGACGACGACGCGATGCGACGACAGCAACAGAGACACTGACGCCGAGCTCAAAAATAAAAACTTGAACATTACTAAGCACGTCGGCCTGATGAACAGGCTGGGATCACCCGTTTTGGCAAATACAGGAAGTCACACATCAAAACAAATCTCAACTTGGCGTGCCGAAGCTCAAGAAGACCGGTCGAAAAAGACAGGTACTGCCGCAGCGGTTTAGGGTGTAGAGGGGCATTCCTACCAACAGCTGCCTCTCAAACAACAACCAGCGCAAAGAACCGTAAAGCGCAGGTTCACACAAACTGGCTGCCGCCGCTGCTGACGCTCCTCCTCCTCCTCCTACTACTGCTACTCCTACTACTGCTGCTACTACTACCATTTCTACTACTACACTACTACTACTACTACTACTACTACTACTACTACTACTACTACTACTACTACTACTACTACTACTACTACTACTACTACTACTACTACTACTACTACTACTACTACTACTACTACTACTACTACTATACTATACTACTACTACTACTACTACTACTACTACTACTACTACTACTACTACTACTACTACTACTACTACTACTACTACTACTACGACTACGACGACGACGACGACTACTACTACTACTGCTACAAAAATACGACGTCTGCACATTTTTCGTCTTTCCAGAAAGGCCGAAGCAGCACCTGCTTGACCATGCGGAAGGTGCGCACCAAACGAAACCTGGGTTCTTGCTTGGAGGTTCACGGGCAGTTACAAGTAGGGTTATAAGTAGGTTGGAGGGTTAGAGGACTTAGTAACTGGCTATTTTTGGGACTTATAAGTACCATACCCCCAATTAGGTCCCTTTTAGGGTACTTATAAGTCTACTTACTACCTACTTACAAAGTCCCCCGACCCTCCAAGTGTTGGGGTGGGAACTTAAGTTACTGTTAAAGCAATAATGGTGATATATAATACGATATGCACATATACAGTCTTTAGATGTATTTGCTCAAGGTAAGCATTCATTTAGTGTTATTCATGTGCTTTGCTGCTGTAGTTGTCTATTTGTGCTTGTTTACAAGTGTATACACATATGCATAAAGTTGGTTTAAGCCCTATACACCCACTCTGAAGTCTCATTGGGGTAATCAAAATTAACCCAAAAACGGTCTTCAACAACTACCCAGGAGCAAGCGCAAAAGCCGGAGGAGCATCAGCTGCTCTGCAGACTCACCAGAGATGAGCTCAATGACCCGCTCCAGGTAAGAGCTTAGAACCAGCAGGGCATCAAAGGCAAACCATCCATCACAAGGAGTGCCGGACCTGCTTGTAGGGCTGTGGGCTGCAGACTTGGGGTTGATTTGGGAGTTTCCGAAAATTAGGGGTACCTTGTTTTGGGGTCCTTATAATAAGGATCCTACTTTTTAGAGTACTAGATTACGTGGGGTCCCCTATTTTCGAAAACTCCCATTTGGTGCTGCCTCTGCTTAAGAGAAGCTAGGGGCTGCGTCTAAACCTGCGAATCAGCACCCTAAACGCAAACCCTACAGCCAAAACCCCGCCAACCTGAACCAGATCCATGTTCAGACCCCGGAGACACGAAAGCCTGACAGCTTAAAGCCTTCGACCTGAAACCTCCACACTGCAGGAACCCTGAACCCATGGAGACAGGGCTTAGGGCTCAGGGTTTAGGGTTTGGGGCTTACTTAGCTTACTTTGGGTTTTGGGTTTGGGGTTGCCCTTTGAGCCCGCTCAGAAGCCCTCAGCTTCTAGGCTCCAGTGGCCTCCTGGCTGCCAGACGCGCGAGGATTTCCAAACCTCGTCTTGACCCCCAGGGATGATTTAGGGTTTAGGGTTTAGGGGCATTTTTAGGGATCTGTTTTTCGGATGCCGGATCTTTGATAGTACCACTTACATAAACTCTTGTCGGTTTGAAGCTCACGGCCATTGGTTGGCACATGCCTCTAGGCTTATGTAAGCTAGACATGAAACTCAAAAGACGAAAGTCTCCAACACTTTGAACCCTAAATCCTGAAAAGCCTGGGAAAGACATCAATCCGAAACCGAAAATTCCCAACTCTGCTCACCCCTGATTCAAAGACCCCCTCTCCTTTGCCGCAGAGATAGGGTTTGCATGACGCTACTTTTTGACGCGTATTCTGTTCTTTATTACGACTGTACTACAAAGGAGCCCAAAACCTCATGCTAATTGTCAAGACCTCTATATAGGGCCCAAAAAAACACATAAGCAAAAATAAGGTTAGGGGTATCCCATATAAACCCCCCTATAATGAAGCCCGATAAGGTAGGGATATCCCGGTAAAATGCTTATGTGCTTTTGGGTCCCTAACTAGAACCACGAGGCTGTACACTGCCAGGAAGAAGTTCTCTGCCAGCGGCGCCCAATCCAGGGCCTGCTGCGGAGCATCCGGAAGCAGTGGTCTTCTTGGTGGATGTCTGTGCTGTTTTTTCAGGTACTTGGAGGGTCGCTGGGCTTAGTAACTGGTTATTTTCGGGACTTATAAGTACCATAACCCCAATTAGGGTCCCTTTTAGGGAACTTTTAAGTCTACTTAATTACTACCTACATACTAAGTCCCCCGACCCTCCAAGTAAGGGTTCGGGGCTTAGGATGGCTTAGGGCTTTGGGAGTATTTGTTTCAGGTGGAGTGAGGGTTAAGGGTGTTCGGGGTCTTGGTAGCTTCGAGTTCTGGGCACAGAGCCTGGGGGAGATTGGGGTGGTGGGGGGATTAGGATTCCTTTAAAGGGATCCTTGAAAGGGATCCTATAAGGGTTCCTATAAGGGATCTCTCAGGGGATTAGGGTCTCGGCTTAGGGATTGGCATAAGGGTTTGCGACATTGTAGCTTTGGATTTGGGCGGTGCCCGAAACTTCAAACGAGAACTATAGCCTTTAGGGTCCAATTGGGATTGGCTCCTTCTCGGCTACTAGCTAGGAAGCTGTGCTGCGTCAACGTTCGTGCATTCGGATGTGCAGCTTCGAAAACACTGTAAGCGCAGAGGCGTGATTCGTGATTAGAGCAGACTTTTCGGGCGCATTGCAGTATAACTATAACAGGAGCCCTAATGTTGGCCTAATGTTGACAATTGTTTAAAAACTGAACCCTAAACCCTTATAGATCCCAAGGAAGCCTAGGAACCCTGAAGGGAGCCTTGAAGGGAACCATGAAAGGAACACTAGAAGAATAGTGTTGGTAACTATTCCGGCCGATGTATTACTATTATTACTATTATTACTATTATTACTATTATTACTATTATTACTATTATTACTATTATTACTATTATTACTATTATTACTATTATTACAATGTCGACCCGACACTGGGACCCCTTGAAGCTCTAGAGGCCCCAGTTACAGTGCATTCGGGGGCTGAGGGTTCAGGGTTTATTGAGGTGTAGGATTGGGGATTAGGGCTTAGGAGTTAGCATCCTGGGATAAAGGACTGCCCTGAACAGTGCCGCACGAGTACCCGCAAAGCCGTGTCTAGCTGTGGGTCACATGCAATCACCTTCAGATGTGGTATACTGCGATGGCATCGAAATGGGATGGTGGTGAGACGTTTGGGGTTTCGGGCATGATACGTGGTATGACGATGAGTCTACGAAACCTTTGAAGGCTAACGTGGCTTTTGGAGCACTTCAGGACCGCACTGAACAACGTGCGACAAAACTCGTTGTGTTCAGAGCTCGGGTCCTCAGTGCGAAAACCTGAACCACACATTCCAACATGCTTTTGGTGTACTGATACCTCGGATAACCTTGGACCCCCAGGTTTATGTGACAGTCATCTTCCATCTTAGGGTAGTTTTCGTGAGCAGCGAAGACACACTGATGCAACCATCGACAAGTTCCACCTGTAATCTGCTATGCGGGCAAGAAGCCTGAACACTGGATTAGACTGGAGCGAGTCCCCGGAGACTCCAATCCCTTAGTTCAGGAATATACCATAAAGCATATTAGGGCTCCTACTATAATTGAAGGAAAATTCCCCAATTGAGTGATATTGGTGGAGTCTTTGGGTCTGGCTCCTGAAACCTCACCACCCGAAGCCCGAACAGCCGAAGCCTCCTGATTCAAGGACATCTGGCTTTCCAGGCCGATGATGAAGGAGTTGATGATGATTACCTTACTTGGAGGTTCATGGGTAGTTATAAGTGGCTTTATAAGTCTAATATGGGTTATAAGTATAGTTACCCCACATATAACCCTACTTATAACTACCCCTAAATCCCATAAATCCTACTATATCCTAAATCCCAAAACCTATAGAGCCCTTCAAGGAACCTTTATAGATACCCATGAACCTCCAAGTACGGTCGTTTCAAGGATCAGGAGTCTAGCGCCCCTGCCCAACTCCTAAAACCATCTTTAGGGTCTAGGGATAAGGATTTAGGGGATTAGGGATTAGGGTTTGGGGACTACGTCGGGTTTAAGGGTTTAGGGCTTAGGGTTTAGATCATGAACATGGATCATGACTATCATCCTTAGTACCTTCAAGGCCTAAGTGGTGTGTCACTGAACATGATTGTGCCTGCCGGTTGCGAAACTGAGCTACGATGAACGACTTCTTCATCATCATGGCCAACTAGATGATGAGTCTGCACGCAGTAGTTGTTTTGTTTGTAGCCTGTTTGTGATTGAACACCATGATTTGCTGCTTGCCGTTGGTCGTATCGGCACATACACACATGCGTTCATTCGTGTATATTTATGTATTTTTCTATCTGCTTTTGATAGGGGTACTTATTTTTGGATACAGACTAGGTTTTTGGTGCCTACGACTACAATTTTACAATTGGACGCTGCGCGAGCGGACTCCACGCATGGCGGGCGATTGCCGCACCGAGCAATGACAAAGGTGTGAAACTGCCTTGGTGTCTACGACAACAACAACTACTACTACTACTTCTACCTGTGCTACGACTACGACAACGACCTCTACAACGACGACGACTACTACTGCTACTACTGATGATAATGATGCTGCTGCTGCTGTTACTACAACAACTACTACTACACCTACTAGTACGACGACGACTCCATCTGACACGACTGAGTCTAACATTAGCACTACCACTACTAGCACTACCATGACTGCCACTACCACTGCCACTACCCCTACAACCACAACTAACACTCGGGCTACCACGACCGCTAACCATTATCACTACCACTACCATCATCACCACCACCACCACCACCACGACTACTACTACTGCTACTGCTACTGCTACTGCTACTGCTACTGCTACTGCTACTGCTACTGCTACTGCTACTGCTACTGCTACTGCTACTGCTACTGCTACTGCTACTGCTACTGCTACTGCTACTGCTGCTGCTACTGCTACTGCTACTGCCACTGCTACTGCTACTACTGCTACTACTGCTACTGCTACTGCTACTGCTACTGCTACTGCTACTGCTACTGCTACTGCTACTGCTACTGCTACTGCTACTGCTACTGCTACTGCTACTGCTACTGCTACTGCTACTGCTACTGCTACTGCTACTGCTACTGCTACTGCTACTGCTACTGCTACTGCTACTGCTACTGCTACTGCTACTGCTACTGCTACTGCTACTGCTGCTGCTGCTGCTGCTGCTGCTACTGCTACTACTGCTGCTACTACTACTGCTACTGCTACTGCTACTACTACTGCTACTGCTGCTGCTACTGCTACTGCTACTGCTACTGCTACTGCTACTGCTACTACTGCTACTACTACTGCTACTACTACTGCTGCTACTGCTACTGCTACTGCTACTGCTACTGCTACTGCTGCTCCTGCTACTACTACTGCTACTACTACTACTGCTGCTGCTGCTACTGCTACTGCTGCTGCCTCTCATTCTCGTGCTTGCTGAGCTGCATAGAGAGCTACCAAGACGTTTACGAACGCATGATGCAGTTGCAAGCAAGGTGAGTGGTCTTTCAGTTGCGTGTGCTGTGCGAGTGGTAATGTTTCCTTTTCCCAAAAGCTAGGGACGGTTTCCTCCATGAAGCGAACTGAGTACACTCCAAGCATGGCCGCACCAGCATCGACTGCCTGCTGTAGACTAGTGTTTGATGGCTCCCAGTTCGTACTGCTACGGTTTGACTGAGACTTTACCAGCCCTTGCTTCGAGGGCTTCAGGGTAAATCACTTTACGGCTTGCGCGATTCTCCATGGCTCTCCTACAGCCTTTAACCCCTAACCCTGCTGAAGATTGAACCCTGAACTCTACAGACTCCAACCCTAAACCCTGAACATCCCTGAACCCCTAAACCCTAAAACCCTAAACGGAACATGCTTACGGCTCAGGTGCACCGAAGAACAAAACAAAGGCCGCCTAGTCTCTGGTTTAAGTAGAACTTTGGGCCGTAAGCTCGAAACTCCCTAAACCTTTAGGCACTGGGGAGGGCCCCTGAACTCTAAACCCCTAAACCCAATGCCGTCAGGGCACCGCGAGGATCACGAACTCGAAAGCGAGGCTACCGACAAGCTTACGACTGATGGCCTGCACAGTCGAGGTTTCGCTCCGGCGCTTGCGGGTTTAGGCTTTGGGGTTTAGGGCGCCTCTATAGGGATCCTATAAGGGATCTATCAGGGTTTAGGGGTTTAGGGGGGGTTAGGGGTTAGGCTTTGGGGTTTCGCGTTTTTTTTTTTTTTTGAGGGCCTTTTTGAGTCTGCATGACAGAGTCTGACAGCGTTCTCAGCCCATATTGGGCAGGCAGAAAAGAAAACCCTTGGCAATCTCCGCAATGTGGCATAGGATCGTCACCCCTTTCGACTCTACACTCAGGCCACAGAAGCCCTTGTCCGTCACAACCTCAGACCCTGCTCATCAGCTCGAGCTCATAGTCCCTTGCCTCTCTCGTAGTTGCCGACAGCTCACTCTCCATGGTGTCCTCGACCTCGCCATTGGCTCCCCAAGCCCCTGAACTTGCCGAACTCCCCGAGGCAGGACTCACTTCTCCACGGCCATTTTCTGCAGACCCCTGGCTCGGCGCTCCTGGACTCAACGATGTTCCCGCCGCCCCCTCATCTTCTTCAGACCCTGTTGCAGGGCCATCGCCCTCCTCGGACAAAGCCCCAGAAAGCCGTCCAGATCCGCATCCACCTGGTGGCTCCAGGTCGCAGTCGCGCTGAACTCGATCCGCTTGAGTATCACTCCCTTGGGCTCGTCGCGCTCGACGACAAGGACGGCGCTGCGGAGTGCGACTACGGGAGAGACGACGCCGTTCAACTTCCTCAGAAAACAACCTCCCTGGAGTACTCATTGACTGCGGCACAGAAAAGCCCAAACCCTGCAGGTGCTGCTCCGACCGCCAGTTGCACATAGCCTCAGGCATAACCCGCCAGTACCATGCGGCTCTCACCCGTCTCACCGCCGACCGAGCAAACTCCATAACCCAAGTCGGCGAGGGGATCTGGTCCCATCTTGGGTGGACAGCCTCCGGTTCCTGCCACACCGCCTGCAGGAGGCCATTGAGGACACCAATGTTCTCCCTCTCGAAGCGGCCATCCTCGTACAGGTAGAAGACGCGAAGCATCTCACGTGAGAGGGCTCTCCAGTCACAGCCCCTGGCTTTAAGCGACACGGCCTGCTCCACCAGGGCACTGTACCAGGCAGGCACTTCTCCAGGGTAGAAGGGCTCATCAAAGCTCTTGACCGAGGGCCAGGTCAAAGTCCCCAACACCATATACTGGACCCACAGCCCTGATTCATCCCCGTCGTTTTCCGAGTGCTCCGTGGCACCCGTCTCGAAGGAGTCCACAATGTCCAGCTGGGTGACGACGTTGGGTTCCGAGGCAGCGATCCCTGGGAATGTGGTGCCCCTTGCGCTCGCATACTCATCTTCCTCCTGTGACTCCACCATGCGCTGGGCCTGCATAAGGTCGAGGGTGGATTCTCCCCAGACCGCCAAGACGTAGGCATCCGAGATTTCCCCTGCTGCCCACCTGCGGTATTGGGTCTCATATGTGTGGAAGTCGAGCTCTCGCGGCACTCCTCCCTCGTCCTTGTGCCTGCAGTCTCCATCCTCCGCCAAAGGTTCATCATGACGGGCAACCATTTCCGTAGAGGCCGCTGAGCCGGCAGACTCGGGGCCTCGGGCATCGTCATCCTCGTAGGTCACAACGACTTTGGTCACCTGGAGCCCCACATCAGAGGCCGGGATGGGCACACGGAGTGTGCGCTCCACACCAGGCGATCCCTCGTGAGGTGCAAGGGTAACTTCCAGGAAACGCCGCTTTCGCGACTGGCCCCCATCGTTGAGTGCTCGGAACATGGTCCAGTCTTCCCAAGCCTGGTATTCCGCTGCTTCCTGAGCTCGTACATGAGCCGCGACCATGGCCCGGGTCTCGGCTTCCTCCCTGGCCTCATTCTCCGCAGCCTCCGCCTGGAGCACATCACGTTCCCGATGCACTTCTCGTTCATCTTCCGCAAGGACTTCGCACTCCTCACGCCCTTGACTGTCCACAAGGAAGATCCCTTCGTGAAGGATGTGGCTCTGATATCCCGGTGCTCTCAGGGCAATGCGGATACGTTGCCACCATTGTTCAACCCACCCGTCGAGGTCATTGTCCTGGCTCTGCAAGTCCAGCCCTTCCACCTCGTCCCTGCTGGCTACAATGAGTGCATCCAGCTCGTCCAGTAACGGTGGGTTGCCATGCAGCAGCCGGAAGCCCCGAACCCTCATCTCCAGCCCAGACAGTCTCCCCAGTACATCTTGCCCAGCAAGCCGGACATGCGCCAGTGCAATTTGCATCTCGGTCAGGACCCTGTCAGGTGTGATGTGGGCGACCCCTTGCTCCATTTTCGCCAGGGAAGTTTGCATCAAGCTCGTACCATCAGGGGATCTTTCAACTTCCACGCTGACCTCATCCGATGAAGCATAAGCGAGGACCTGACTGAGCTCCTGCATAAGCCGTCGCAGGAGGTCAACCACGGCGATGGTCATGATGGCCGTGTCATGCTGGTCATACTCCCGCAGATTATCAACCATGTTGTCCGACAAGTCGCGAGGCAGCACTCGTCCGCCACGACGCACCGCATCGTCAATATCCCCTGTGCCACGTGGGTTGGAAACTGCCAGGAAGTGTCTCCAGATGTCGACACCCTCAGCCACTGTCAAAGGAGCTGGTGCAGCGGGGTCGGCAGGAGGAGCAGCCCTCGGTGTCGTACTAGCCACTCCACGTCGGTCGGCACACTCGCGAGAAGCCTGATCTGAGCGATGTTCTCGGCCGCGTGTCCGACCACCAGAGGCATGGGCAGGAACAAGGCGACGGACACTCGTAGTGACATGCCTCTCAATCGCCGGTTTTGGGCTTTGGAGTTTCGGGTATAGGGTTGAGGGGTTAAGCTTTTGGGGTTTTGGGGTTTAGGGTTTAGGGTTTAGGGTTTAGGGAGCTGGGCTTTTGGGGTTTAGGGTTTGGTGGAGCCTCAACCCTAAACCCTCCTACTGCGTTGCAGCCACACCAGTAGCCCCGGACCTATCCCCGGAGAGCCCGATTCTGCTTAACAAGGCCCTCCCTGGATTCTGCAAGCAATCGAACATGATTCAATGAATATCCCTCAAGAAACGGGAAACCTCAAGCCCTGGGACTTTTCGAAAATAGGGGACCCTAATGTAGTACCCTAAATAGTAGGATCCTGATTATAACGACCCAAGATAAGGTACCAAAAACTCATAAACAGTCCATGAAGTGTCCGGTGGCCTTGTGTCAAAGTTTGCTAGGTTTGTTGGAGGCTTTCTAGGGTTGTGTCTGGTTTGTTATGAGGCTTTTTCAGAGTATATGGTTTTGAGGCCCATTATACTATAAATATCACACTGAACCCGCAAAATAGTATAGGTAATTATTGACTGAGGCCCCTATATTGCATGGGCATGCGGCCTGGCCCTTACAGATGGGATTTGGGGGCTTTCAGCGTTGTGCGCGTTTGAGTTCAATCGCCTTGATGGCTTTTGAGCCCAAGTTCGGGCTCGCAAGTTTAGGGCTCAGGGGTTTAAGGTCTTGGGTTTGCCTAAGGGTTTAGGGTTCAGGGCTTGTTGTTTAAGGGTTTAGGGTTTAGAGCTTCTTGTTTCAAGGGTTTAGGGTTTCGGGCCTCGGGTTTTTGATTGGACCTTGGGGGTTTAGGGATCCCAAGGCCTTAAGCCTTAACCAGAGGCTTCCGAGCTTAGCCGGTTCAGGACGAGAAGGGAATTCAAAGCTAATATGAACGTTGAAATGCTCGCTGCCAGTATTCCTTAGTATTCCTGCTGTCATATCGCAGTATGGTATGCCACATAATTCCAATTAAAACTTCTTGAGTCTTTTTTTCCTGAGCCATGTTGTGATGTGGAACCTAGAGCACCGAAGCAAAGACGTGAGAGGAAGCCATCAAAGGACAGAGAGGCCTGGGGATCCCTCGCGAAAGGAAGCTTCGGGTTTGTCGTTTTAGTGGCTTCAGGTGTAGGCTTTAGGGTTTAGGGTTTAGTGGTTTGGGATATAAGGATCCACGCCTTAGTGGATTAGGGTATAGGTCTTAATTGAGGTTTAGGGCAGTTGATGATAGTGTGCAGATCTTAAAATCAGCAGACCCCGAAATTCATAGCAGGGGCGTGGGGTTTAGCCAAGGCTTCTGGGTGGTGTTTTGGGTTTGAAGGGTGCTTCGCAGGGTTGATTAAGAGCTTAGGGATAAGCATTTCGGATTCGGCGGGGTTCATTCTTTAGACTCTTTAGACTGTACTCCGGGATGCCATTCTGCGGAATTGAGGATATAGGGTTCGCTTTATGATTTGGGGACCGGCGATCTGAAGCCCCAAGCACACCGAAGCCCTAAACCTAAACCTTGGAAGCTGCCCCCACCCTGTAATAGTGACTATAAGGATTATATAGGATTATATTAGGGCCCTATTATATTCCTATTATACCACTATTACAGGGTGGGGGCAGCTTCTAACCTAAACCCCTCAAGCAACCAATACAGGAGACTCAACAATTAGAATAGGGTTTGGTTGTAAACAAGGCACTCCCAGAATAGTTTTGGTCCACGGTAGTTATTGAGGCCCCTATAAAACTATACTTCCCCCCCGTCTTAGTCCGAAGGATCTGCATCCGAGGCAGCCCCCGCACAGTTTCACGTCCCGGCCTCTAAGCCCCAAATCTTATACCTCACTCTTGATTGCTCACGGGGGTAGGGGTAGGGGGCCTTAATGCCCATAATAAAGCCTATTTAAGGAAGTATAGTCCCCGAAGGGTCTCAATGACTAAACAGCCCTGAACTCTGAACTTTAAAATCTGAACTCTAAAGCCCTAAAGGCAAAAGCCTAGACCTGAGTTCTTTCCTACGAGGCCTGGAGGAACGGCCAAACGCCACCCGACACAGCCGGTATCTCCTTTCTGGCTTCATGGCTTTTAAATGTTTAGGGTTTAGGGTCCAGGGTTTAGAGTGTAGGGTTTAAGCTTTAGGGGTTTAGGAAGTGGGGGAGAATGATCGAGAGACTCCAATCTCCCTCAAATTAATCAAGGAATGGACCTTAAATCATATTCGTGATCCTACTCTAACTCAAGGCATATTGGGCCGAGTCCCGGCAATTCCTCTGGATCCCGCAAGTACTTGGAGGATCATGGGACTTAGTAAGTAAGGTTATAAGTACCTTAATTGGGGTTATAAGTATAGTTACCCTAATTATAACCCTAGTTACTAAGTCCCATGATCCTTTAAGTACCCAGAGACTCCAATATCCCTTAATTAAGGAATAGACCTTAAATCATATTAAGGATCCTACTACAATGTAAAGTATATTCCTTAATTAAGGGATATTGGGGTCTCTGGGTAGAGAGGATGCTCCACAAATGATGTAGCCATTTTGGCTCAAGGTACAAGTCGGGCCCTTGCTTCACAGCAGGCCTTATTTAAAAAGATGATAAGGGGCTCGAGGTTGAAGTTGTAGGGCCCTCGAGGCGGGCTTTCTTGCTTTCTGCTTCCTTTCGCTCTTCGACACATAAAACAACCCTACCTCACGGCAAACATCAGATGGCTTGGCGTCAAGTTGTGGACCATCGCGGCCTATGCCGGCCGCTCATCGAGAAGCAAGGGTTTCCAACGATCAACCCACCCCTCGCGCACTTTGAGGGTGGAACTCAGGGATCCCAGGACGGTTTAAAGCAGGCAAACACAAAGAAAGTAGGTGCCCCCAGATCGCTCGGCACCCAACTGAAATACTGTATTTTTTTCAATTGCCGTTCTGGCGAATCGGTCGGAGCCTCGGACGCCTATGCAATGGTCAGTGCTCTCGGCAGTTTGGGGTTTAGGGTTTAGGGGTTAAGGTTTAGAGTGTGTATAGGATTTGTGGGTTGTTACATGGGGGTTTCCATAAATAGTGGCCACTAATAATGTTACAAGGACCGCAAAGTAAGGTACCCCTTCTGTTCGGAAACTCCCACACAGTGTCTGTGAACCCAAAGAACCCAGAGACTCCAATATCCCGTAATTGAGGAAAGTACCTTACAGTATGATAAGATTCCTGACATGATGTGTATATAAATAAACTCCGTAATTAAGGGATACTGGAGTTTCTGGGAACAGCAAGCTCTCTCCTCCTCAGCCATGCTGAGCAAGGTCTGCCCCGTCTTCGCCCGCTTGAGCTGCAGCGACTGGGTGGGTATACTGAACTCCTGCGATTCAGGGGGTTTGGTTTTTGTGTTCAAAGGGGTTTTGGGATTAGGGTTTAGGGTCTAGGGTTTAGCTGTGTTGGTATACTGAACTCCTGCGATTCAAGCGGTTTTGAGCTTTTGTTTGAGCTCCTTCTTCCCAAAGTCTACGGCAGCGACTCCAAGAAGCGGTCTTGGGTTTAGGGTCTAGGGTTTAGCTGCGTTCGTGTACTGAACTCCTTCGCTTCAGTGGGTCTTAGGTTTAGGGTTTTGGGATTAGCTGTGTGGGTATACTGAACTCCTGCGATTCAATGAATTTGAGGGTTCGGCGTATCTTCAATTTCGACATTGAGTGGTTTCGGATGTTGCGGCTTACGCCCAATCGGCCCTAAACCCCTGGCCCTGTCCTCTGCAAGTAGGATTGCTACCTCTGGACCCCAAACTTTTCACACTATGAACCTGCGGGTCCTATGTCCTAAAACCACAAAGGTTCAAAAACCCTAAAACTCGGAACCCTCAAGCCCTCAAGCTCAAAAAGCAACCCCGCCAAATTTGAAAAACCGTAAACCTGCAAGCCCCAAAACTCCGAAGAAAGGCCTCAACACCTTGAACTTCACTCTGCAAGAAAAAAGACAAGATAGACAAGGAAGGCGCGGCCTTCGAGCCAGTGGCAACCATGGCAATCTCCTGGGCTCCACACGGCTCTCTAAGCGACGGCTTCTTTCGGCGGGTGGGGGGCGGTGTACGATGCTTGGTGCTTCTTGGCATTGCTGTGTTGGTCTTCTTCGGGGCTTTCAGTTTTGGCGGTCGGGAATACTGCACAGGAAGTAACCGGAATAATTAGTGATGACATCCCCTTACAGTCCCCAGCAACAAGCGACACCCCAAAGGCTCCGATACCAAGCAACTTTGCTGTGCATTTAGGGGACTCGGGGTCTGGAGGCTTCCGGCTTCAGGCTTAGATTTTGGGTTTAATTAGGGTTTAGGGTTTAGGGTTTAGGGCTGAATCCTTGGGTTTTAGCGTTTAGGGTGTTTCTGTTTAGCTTTGGGGGTTCTGTGACGGTTGTCATGCTTGAAGCCTCAACTTGTAGAAGTGGCAGGTCTTGCGTCTTACGCTTGTGAACCCTAAACCCGACTTCTGGAGCTTGGGGCTTAAGGTTTAGCTTTTGGGTTTCTAGGTGGTGTTGAGTTTTGGCTTTGAGGTTAGGGCCTGGATTGTCATGATGTGGTTGAACGAGCTCCATGCCCTAAACACGCCCGCTTTCCCTTTGAAACCCTTTGCACGCCAAACCCGAAACCCCGAAGCTTACATTTCTAAACTCTAAACTGAGGTTGCAAGCAAACCCTAAAATTCTGAAGCATGCAAAGGTTCCCTCCGACTCCCTGGAAGAAATTTGTCGGATTGATAAACAATAACTAATCTGTTATGAACCCTCCAACCCCAAACCCCAATTTCCTTAAACCTGTTCGGAATCCCGGCAATGCCCTTGAACCCTAAACCGTAAACCCTGAAGCTGCTAATCGTATGAATCTCTTGGAAGCTCTGGCCAAGCCACACAAGAATCCTTAAACCCTGCACATTAAAACCCCCGAAACCGAAGCCTTCTTGGACTCTCTGACAAAATCTCAAACCTCAATCGGAACCTGTATAACTTTAAAAACTTGTAATACCTTTTTGGGGAACCTTTTGTGGAACCCCCAGAAGCTCTGACCAAGCCACAGCAGGAAAGGTGGGCGTCCGGGCGATGGAGGCTGTGGCCTGTCGTAGGGGCTAGGGTTGACAGGGTGTGAATGTGTGGTTGCTTCGGGAGGAGGTTTTTAAAGAGCCAGCACACATGCAGGTTAGGAACCTGATCAACAAACACTGGTCCTATAGCTCCAAAGTACGAGAACCCATAAAGTACGAGAACTCATATAAGTATAAAGAACCCGAATTAAAGTGTCGAGGTCACTCACTCTGGACTCGGAGCTCAGTTCGGCTCATACCGAACCTTATATGTATAAAAACAAAAAGCCCGAATGAATCTAATGACGATAACGGCAATAACAACAACAACAACGGTAATAACAATACTAGTAACAATACGTACAACAATACTATTAACAATGGTAACAGTTGTAAGTAAAAAGCATATCAATAACAATCACAAAAAAGTTAAATAACAATTGCAGAACACAAACAGTTACGACAACACTACCATTGACCAAAAACAACAATACCAATAAAAGTTCAAGATTGAAAAAATAATCATAATATTTAGTATTACCACTGTTGAAAACACTAAGTCCAACAGTAATGGAACTAGTAGTAGTAGTAGTAGTAGTAGTAGTAGTAGTAGTAGTAGTAGTAGTAGTAGCAGGAGTAGTAGTAGTAGTAGTAGTAGTAGTAGTAGTAGCAGTAGTAATAGTTGTAGTTGTAGTTGTAGTAGTAGCAGCAGCAGCAGGAGTAGTAGTAGCAGCAGCAGTAGTGTAGTAGTAGTAGTAGTAGTAGTAGTAGTAGTAGTAGTAGTAGTGGTGGTGGTGGTGGTGGTGGTGGTGACGGTAGTAGTGGTGGTTGTGGTGGCGGTTGTGGTGGTGGTGGTGGTGGTGGCGGTGATGGTGGTAATGGTGGTAGTGCTAGTTGGTACTGGTAGTTGTAGTGGCAGTGTTGGTAGTGTCAGTGGTAGTGGTAATGGTAAGTGGTCGTGGTCGTAGTTGTGGTCGTCCTCGTTGTCGTGGTAGCTCGTAAGTGGTACGTAGTAGGTGGTAGGTGGTACGGTAGTGGTAGTGGTACTGGCACTGATAACGGTAGCGGTAGCGGTGGCGGTGGCGTTGGCGGTGACGGTTGCGGTGGTAGTGGTAGTGGTAGTGGTAGTGGTAGTGGTAGTGGTAATTGCAGTCGTGGAGTACTCGACGCAGGCGTGTGCACGTGACCTGTTCATAAGCCGCTCCGGTGCTCATTTTAGTTCTTGTGAAGGGTGCATTCTGGTTTTGGCTCATTTTGCACGACACTACAAATGCAGTTTTGAGGAACACCAAGACATCGGGTCGTAGCCTCCAGCTGCTTCAGTGCAGTGGGACGGACGGGGGGGCTTTCTTTTGCCTTCCCGGGCTGAAAAGTCTACAGCGAAATGCCATAACTCTCAAGGTGAAGGCTCCCCCCACACCAAACTGGAGAAGGCGATATGTCTGAGAAAAGCTGTGGGAGAGAGCGCGACGGACAAGAGACGCGCGTAACGCAGTAGTCGCAGGAGCAGCTCGGACGACGACTGCGGTCCGGATCTGGTTTCTGTGGCCATGAGGGCGAGCAAACCGAATCGAGATCCGGAGCACAATCGTCGCCGGAGCTGCTCCGACCACTGCCTGACCCGCGTCTTAACTGCGTCTGCTGCCACTCCTTGCTGGAAGGTGGGAGGCTAAAGGATGGGTGGGTGCTGATCGGACTAGGTTTCAATACGGTGCGGGTCTTGCGAAGCTTTGTATTTCAACCAATGCTTCTGTTGTCATTTCATGTTGCAGCCATGCTGCTGCATGCCTGCATGCCTTTTTGCCATGTCCAGACTTCAGCCCTTTCGCCCTCATTTTCCATCTGCTCCGAGAAGGCTGGTTCGCTCATCCACTTGTGCAAACCTCCACACGGACTTCTGCCAAATGCTGCCTGGATAGTAGGAGCTGACGTGGACAAGAGGCCCAAGAATGCCTTTGCGTAGAGGCAGGCCGCCAGGCTCTTCAGCTCCGTGTCCAGGTTCAGGCAGCGTCGGAGGCTTGCTTAGGACCTGAGCACTCAAGAACTCCTCTAGCTCCGTAGCCTGCGCTCAGGGTCCCAGGGCACAGCTCAGCCTCCCTTTACACTCGCAATACCGGCATCGTTTCGAGTACTTGCATCACACCTGAATTCAGCAAAAAAACTCATTGGCAAACTGCCTGCATCTGCCAAACAAACCAGGACGACCTATCATGACTATGACGACCAAAATGTTTGGAACCTACTGTGCATTGGCACGGCCCAGTTCGTGCCTCGGGGCATAGTGAAAGAAGGCGGCCAAACAGCTCCTCCAAACGGCTGTCAACGAGAAGGATCGCACCGTAATAGTCATATTGAGCATCGATGCCACTGCGAGTGTCAGCTGCGGAAGTTAGCAAGCCGTATGCAAGCCCCGCGCTCAACAAAACTAGTCAGCACGTCCGCTGCTGCTTCAGCAGCCCAAGCACAAGCGCCTTGTTTTTATCAGTAGCCTGCCGGAGTCAATCAGTTGTAGTCGATCAATGGCCGTAGATGGCTGCAAATCGAATCGATTGATCGATGTCGATCGCATCAATTCAGTCACGGCATGTAGGCCTGTTACGGCAGGCAGGGAGGACGTCATGCTGTTGTAGCATCGCCTTGGCTGTCTTTGGACTGAGATTGCCAATGTCGCTGTACACTGCATACTCCATCTCGCAACTTCACTGACTGTGCCAGCGTCTCCTGGCCTCGGCAGCTGCAAGTGGGCTGGTACTCAGCCTTGAAGCGTCGATTCGTTTCCATGCCAGCCTGTTTCTTGGCCTGCTTGGTAGTGGGTGGTGGCTCCTTGCGTTGACGACCTGCCGACTTCAGTTTCGAGCACCGTCCGGCACGGTGACAATGTCCAGGACTGTCTCTTGCACAGCTGCAGCAGGCTCGGCCGGCTTAGCTTTTGGTGCCTGCAGAGTGTGAGGCTGCTCTTGCCGGACAAACTCCTCGGCGAGTTCCTCCGCAGCAGCCGCTGCAACGAGCCTCCCGAATCTTAACTTCAGGATCTCTTTGAGAGTCGTTCGATGTCCCCGTACCATCGGTAAAGGGTTGGCTTTGGCAGAGACCCGCCGTTTGTCAATGGTTAAAAACCTTAAGAGGAGATGACAAAACCTGAAACGCCAGCCTGCTACGTGTCCGTTGCACCACTGATGCTACGGACCAAGCAGCGAGCGCAGGCGGTGCCAGGAAGCTCAAAACTTGGCTTTGCAGGCTCGAAGACCATGCGCGTACGTTGAGTGCTTGCTGTCGCCCCAGACGAACGGCAAGTACATGCTTGAGAGCAGCAGCCTGTGAGGAGACATTCAAACGGAGTCGTCATCAAAGTATTGGAACATCACAGGCACAAGCGGACGAAGGAGCTGGATCGTCAGTCATGGCAGCACCACTGTACGAGGATGATCAACATCACAGAGACATCTGAGGTACTATAACGATGACGATGTGAAGGAGCAGGAGCATGATCCATCGCAGCCCCACAACCATACGACGAAGACGAAAATCACCGTAGCACCGGGGACTTCAAAACGATGACGACGACAAGCACGAGCAGCAGCACGAAACGTTGCGGCAGCAGCGAACGACACGTGCCGTGGGTGGTGGTGGTACTACTACTACTACTACTACTACTACTACTACTACTACTACTACTACTACTACTACTACTACTACTACTACTACTACTACTACTGCTACTGCTACTACTGCTACTGCTACTGCTACTACTACTACTACTACTACTTCTACTACTACTAAGGGTCTCGGCTGGAGCAATGAGGTGCAGTTAGGAAGGTCTCACATCATGGCCTTGCGGTGCTTTTTCTGGTTGAACTTTTATTTGCTGCACCTGCCACTTTATACGGAGAACATTCACCAGCTGCGTCGGTCCCAAGTCCGACGGTCATCTTCTGATACAGATTTCTACATTCGACGGAGAGGATTGAAGATGATAGACCCGAGGGTTGAGTCCCTTTCCACCCAGGGCTCGGAAGCAGCGCCACGGGATGCTGCGAAATCCACTGGAGGGACAGCTTTAGTGTCTGAAGCACACACACACACGAGCTCGGAAAAGAGCATATCGCAGAGCGCGAAGGCGCGCAGAACAGCGCGGAGGTACGCGCTACAGAGGACGATGGTGTACAGCTGCAGAACTGGGAACGGTGCATGATGGTCTGGACCAACCGCTTGAACAGGCACCTGGCCGTCCTAATGGCCCGCCAGCGTGGATGGCACAGCCGAGGCTTAGGGTGCGCAGTTTTAACGCAGGTGGACTCACGGCTGAGAGCTACGACTACCTCTGCTACTGGCTGCAGCACACGTGCAAGGATGACATCATCATCCTGCAGGAGCTGCACTGGGGATGTGGCCGAGCAGACAGCTCCTGGGCAATCCCAGGTTGGAATTTCTACATCACCGCCGATCCGGAACAGCGATTCAGTGGGACAGGGGTTATCATATCCAGCAACTTGGCAACGTCAGCAGCCGTGACGTACTGTACATGGGTACCAGGCAAGCATTCCCCAGCGGAACATGGTAGTTTTGGGTGCCGATCTCAATACCAGATGCGCTCCGATCCCTGGCCTTGTGGGGCGTGGGGTTCTGCGTAGCACGCAGGGGCGCGACCCAGAGCTCGAGGCGCTCGTTCTTGAACATAACCTTGTTTTGCTAAATACGTGGTGTAGTGCACGCGCAGCATGCAGTCACACCTTCGTGAATGGGGAGGACCGCAGTCATCGACTTTCTGGCGATGCGGCGTGCAACGGCAGACGCCACAGCACGCCGAACCGTGCCGCATGTGTTTGACCTTGCCCCGTGGAGGCGGGGCCCGAAGCATCACGCGCTCATTGCTTCCATACCCTGGCGCGCAGGCTGGACTTTCCGGCGACGTAAAGTGGTGACGCTTAAATTCGACATTAGGGCCATGCGGCAGTCGCTTAAACAGCAGGATGCCCGTGCCGTGGCGCTACGAAGCGCAGTGCTTGCACTCCTTGCAGAGAGCAGCCCGGACG